ATTCTTATCTGGAGAGCATGCGCAATAAATACTATCGGTGTAGACTGGAATAACCAGTCGCTAGAGATTGCCATTCCATTGAGACTTCTGGCGTATATCGCCGAACATGACTGAATAGAAATTACAGTAAAAACGGAATGCTAATATACATTCATATATATATAACATTATTATATACGTTGCGACCCATTTGTGTCAATTTCTAGGTCCCAAATATTTATCGACTATAATATCTATACATGTGTAGAATACTAGAATGTAATATCTACACATGTGTAGAATACTAGAATAAAATACATACACGTGTATATAGTACTAAAATATAATATCTACACATACATGTATAAAACTAGAAGATATTATCTACACATGTGCATAATAGTAGAATATAACACACACACATGTGTATAATATTAAAATATAATACACACACGATCGTATAATACAAGAATATAATACCTAAACATGTGCGTATAATACTAATAACTACACGTGTGTATAATACTATATATCTATACTCTTGTGTATAATACTCGAATATAATATCTACACATGTGTAAGATACTAAAATATAATATCTACAATAATATTAATAGTAAAATATAATATCTACTATAATATCATTAGTAAAATAAAATATCATTAGTAAAATATAATATCATTAGTAAAATATAATATCTACAGTAATATCATTAGTAAAATATAATATCTACAGTAATATCATTAGTAAAATATAATATCTACAATAATATCATTAGTAAACTATAATATCTACAATAAAATCAATAGTAAAATATAATATCATTAGTAAAATATAATATCTACAATAATATCATTAGTAAAATATAATATCTACAGTAATATCATTAGTAAAATATAATATCTACTATAATATCATTAGTAAACGATAATATCAACAATAAAATAAATAGTATATTATAATATCTACAATAATATCATTAGTAAAATATAATATCATTAGTAAAATATAATATCTATCATTAGTAAAATAAAATATCTACAATAATATCATTAGTAAAATATAATTTCTACAATAATATCATTAGTAATATATAATATCTACTATAATATTAATAGTAAAATATAATATCTACAATAATACCGTTAGTAAAATATAATTTCTACAATAATATCATTAGTAAAATATGATATCTAGTAAAATATAATATCTACACATGTGTATAATATATATACATTGTGCATAATATCAATTGATGATGTCCTCAAATTTCTTAAAATTAGTTAGCGATCAAAATGGGTTTTTTTTGTGATTTTTTAATATAGTAAACGGTGTTTTTAAGAGATAAAGAACGGGCTTGTGGTCTAACGGGTTATACGTAATGGACCTTTGGCTTTTAGGATTTTAAAATTATGTGTTGTTTAATGGTCGAGTGCGAGACATTAAGTAATATATTGATATTGCACGAGTGCGTTTAGCACGAGGGCTATATCTGTATATTACTAAAATGTCTTAGACGAGACCATTAAACAACTTAAAATACAGACACTATCCAGCACGTGCATTTCAATGATAAACGTCACGCGGGTTCAATATTTCAAGTAGTATAAATAATGTACGCTTGGCACATTGCCCGTTCCATTATTTGAAATAATGGTAGGCCAACATCAAAGGATGACGTCACATCTGTATTTTGAATATATATTTAACAATTAAATAGTGGTAGAATGATCGATAACATCTTTAAGGCTAAAGTAAAACTAAAAATTGTTTTCAATTAACATAGCTAGGGATATGAATATGAAAATTTAAAGATGTGCTTTTACTAGACTGTAAGAATCAATTGTGGATGAGTCGCAGAAGGGAAGGGGGGGGCTGGGGGAGGGCTTGGGTATGGCCGGGGGGGGGGGGGGTATGCGTCAAGATTCGCATTGAGAGGCACGTAAAAAAATATTGGATAAACAGGAATAAAAAACAAGACTTTCAGAGCTAAAGTTTCCTTGTATTCATATATGTTACTATAGTATTCGACATAGTCACGTGATGGTCTCAAAACGATTTAGATAAGCGTCAAAGAGACGTTAATCACCATTCTGTTTCATGTCCTAGCTACAGAACATTCTAATATTCCATCTAACTACATGTTGCCATGGTAAATAATTCCCTATTGTTCTCTCTTAAATATATTCATCTGTTATTTTATTCAATTCATCAAATATGAGTCTAACCATGATTTTATTACTCAGGCTTGATATGCTCAATAAATATTATTATGTTAATAGTCTCAGTTGTTATCAACAATTCCTGTTATAGTCAACATATTGTACTGTGTCCGTTGTGATTCAGGCCCGTAGTCAGAGAGATTCATTTGGGGGACGGGTGGTGCAATAAAATTATAGGGATTCTGTGAAGTGTGTGTGTGTGTGTGGGGGGGGGGGCGCTTCAAAAGTGGGCATGTCTGTTTTGATTTCGGGCCTTAAGAAGGCATATATTCTTATGTGTAGAGTTTTCTTGTTTGATTTTTGACCTGAAATATTTATTTGTTGATTTTTTTTTCACGACAATATGATGATCAGATCCGATTTTTTTTTTTTTTTTTTTTCATGACGGTATTTTTGTCGGGTGCTGCATTCGTTGCGGTGATAAATGTTGAAATTAGCTATAAATACTTGCTGGTGTCGTCCACGGGACGGGGGGGTTGGATGGCTGAATGGTTAGCGTGTACGCGCTGTATCATAAAGTCTGTCATTGAGTCAACTGGCTGGGTTTCGATTCCCCAGTTGTAGATGACAAGGAGTAGGGTCGCCTGTCCAACCTCGTGGGTTTTCTCCGGGTCCTCCAGTTTCCTCCCACTGCTAAAGACCCCTACGCGCATGCTAATTATTGAAATAAAATTAAACCATATGTTAGTCCCGAAATGACCTAGTTTGTGTCGAGTGGACGTTAAACCCCATTTCTCTCTCTCTCTCGTCCACGGGACAGGATATCGCTTGTTATTTATTTGAGACGCTGACTGACAATTTTCGTTCTAATTCAGTTGCGGAATTCTGTTTTCCGCACTAGAAAGTTGGGATCACTTTGCATAAATATCGAAATTAGAGAATTTCATTTTATTTTTGAAGCCCGACTAGGTTGTGATTATAGCCCTTGGGAATTTTTATTTATAAAAACATTAGAGTGGGATACCAAAGCATAAAGTAGGAATACCTGGAGGAAGTTATAAAGTGAAAAATGTGGTTATTATGATTATTGATATGAATGATACTTGTAGTTTAATAACGAGAAAATATTTAAATACTTGACTTAGACCGGGGTTAATATGCTAGCCTAACTACGCCTAGGGTTGTTGGCGATTAGAGACTTACAGCAGTTATCTCCCTTCCGTCCAACAAAACTTCCTTATTTCGACGTTTTAGCTTACAATAAATAACCTATCGTAATGAGAATAATTTTAAAAATGGCGTTATCTGGAATTTAAAACTATAAATGTAAAATGTTGGCCGATTTTCTCGTCCTGGTGAAAAAAAAAGGTTCTACATAAATGCGAGTTAATGACGTCCCTTAATGTGTAAAACAATTACTCGGGTTGATCAAGGTGTAAATTGGTTCTATTACGGCCTTCACGTTTACTGATGAGACGATTAACGGTAGAATTGCCTGTAGCTAACCCGAGTAATTCACGGGCCAAAGCAGCAGAAAATCTCTCTAAACAGCTTAACTAGAAATTGAAACTATCACCATGAAGAAGGTCTAAGAATTATCCAGCTCTGAAACCATTTAAACCATTGAATACCAGTAATCATGGGCAAATATTCTGTCAATTTGGCCGAATCTTCAAGTCGAACAGCAGAAAATTGTTGCCTGATTGAGAACTTGTAAATTAGAATGTTAAATGACGTATGAATAATGATATTTGGTTGTTAAGTGGCGTCGTTCAGCACGTGTTAAAGTTCCTTTCATTGTGACAGGTCAATCTAAAATATCATCATCTGAACCCATGTCAGATTAAACGAAACGAAACAAAACCATTTCAACATCACCGACGAAAATAGGCAATCTCAGCTTCATGAAAAATGTTCAATTTCGTCTCAACTTTAATATTTTTTATTTTTTTGTGTGAAATTGTTTTTCTTCTTCCATAGCTCAAGTTCTATGATTTGGGTTAAATAATATTATAATTGAAAAGGGAAGCCATGGGGAGACATCACCCAGGGCTGGATTAAAATCATTAGAGACCCTAAGCACTGAAATGATTCTGCCCCAACCCCCGATACTAAACAGTAAATTAATTTTTATCTTTCCAAATGAAACAAACTTTACCTATATCAGGGGCGGATCCAGGATTTTCAGAAAGGGGGGGGGGGTGCCCCCACTTGGGAGTACGAAGCCCGGCGTCCCCCCCCCCCGGATCCGCGCCTGTATATGTTGAAATTTAAATAGACACATTATAAAGAGGGGCCGTGTTTTACTATGAGGGATTACAATGGCTAAGTGGGTAAGCTCGCTAGCCTGCAAGTCGCGTGTTCGATCCCTGCATTGGCCGAGCAAGTTCATCCAGATTTTCCGGCGTGGTTCCCCTTGTCAGTGATGCAGGACGGAGGGCTTGACAAGGGCAGCTGTCTAGTCGTTCGGATAGGATGAAAAAGCGAGGTCCCGTGTACACATTGGTGTGCACGTAAAAGATCCCTTGGCATTTGGAATTCGATATATGAGTAGGCCGTAGCGCCGGTGCCCGGGCAAAATTTCCCTCATAGCACACTGTATGGTGTATGCCCGTCTTCATTAGCTCATAGGACGTTAAACCCTATTTCATTTTTGTATTCTGGCAAGAAGTGACATTAATTTGAATAACAGCAAGTTAATTGAATTAATTTTCTTTTTAATTAACCTTTCTAATTTTTTGTTTTGTTTTAATGAATGAAGCAGAACAGTGAAGTAGTCTTAGTAGGTTCGTAATCAACCCAGGGGGCATCATAAATTTAAATACTAATGAAACCGAGGCAAATGATGTAAATGTACCATCAATCAAGTTACCTGGTTGTCAAGAGAGAACGTGACATCTATACGTGTACAGGTAAATCCCGGTAGATATATAGTATACGTTATACCTGGTGTATTTGAGTGTATATACCATAGGGAAATACTATCAATATATCACAGTGAGACCATACGGTAGTGTGGTATATTAGAGGTGGGATATTAAAACACAGGTGAGTTATTTTACTTATCTACATTGATATATACTTTCTTATTTAATAATATATATCCGAGAGACAATGCTAAGCCCATTTACATATATTACCTGAGACTTAAAAAGGTATATTACAGGTGAGGTACTTAAATACCTGTGAGTTATTAATAGTTATCCACATTAATTTAGTATATGCTTTGTTATTTCAAAATGTATACCTTAACGTGTGTAAAAGGAAATACTAGACATATCCATAACGTAAGATTTAAAACGGAAACGCTTTAGGATATTTTTAAGATATTTTCAAACGATAAATTCATATTAGAATACACCTTTTGATACACTTTGATATTTGGGTATACTCTTCGTGTGCTGAGGATTTTATTTGTTTTCATCTGCACACTTGTCCTGCACTATCCATACCATTGGGGCGCAGTGTGTTATGTCTATGTTCACGTTCACAGTTGTCCTCCATTCTCTTTTAAATGTTAAATAATTTGGAAATACCCTAATTGTATTTTAATGTATATATAAGTTGTAAATATACCGGTCCAACTAGTCGACTAGACGAATTTTGAAATAATTTTACTTATATAAGTGTCTGTCTTATTTATGTCATAAAAACGTATATATCTTGACTTTTAAAACGTGTAAGCGGGACAATTATACCTGGCATTACGATGGCTTTATGATTGTAAAGACATTAAAACCTCTTTTGTTTTTGAAAAAAAGAGGAATATTAAGCCAAGTTAATGTAGAAATAAAGACGGTTATCACAAAAAATCTTAAAATGAAAGTACATACAACATCCGGGTGCAGTTGGGATTTAAACAATTTCTTTAATTTACTGACATTAATAGCAAAAAAAAATAAAAATAAAAAATAAAAATGGGATTGCACTCGTTGATACAACAATACACACAGCGTATATACTTTATTTATCGACAGTGGTTAATTTAATTGGAACTGAAATGAAATGGGGTTTAACGTCCTACTGTTTTGCTCCGAACTGGGCTAATCAAGACGGGCATACGCAATAAAGTGTGCTATGAGGGAAATTTTGCCCAGACAGCGGCACTACGGCCTACTCTTATATCGAATTCCAATTGTCAAGGGATCTTTTACGTGCACGTCAATGTGTACACGGGCCCTCGGTTTTCGTCCCATCCGAACGACTAGACAGCTGCCCTTCTCAGGCCACCCGTCCTGCATCACTAACACGCGGGGGGGGGGGTGCCACGCCGGAAAATCTGGATGAACTTTCTCAGTCAATGCAGGGATGGAACACGCGACCTCCAGGCTAGCGAGCCAGCGTCTTACCCACTTAGCCACCGTGATACCCCTTTAATTGGAACAGCGTCTAGTTGTACGGGTGGGATGAAAAACACAATTATCCCGGTTGGTAAATAAAAGTATGACGTTAAACCATATTGTTTACAAACGAATTTTAAATTTCCCTGCATAGAGCTGTTAAAGTTCTTTGAACAGTTTATTTTTTCAGTTATTGAGTAATTTTTGGGTTGCGAGGTCTAGTAGTTTAACGCGTGCGCGTGAAGCCACAAGGTATGTCATTGAGTCAAGTGACGTTTTAAGATTCCCCGTCGTGTGTGTGACAATGAGTATGATCGCCTGTCCAACTTTTAGGTTTTTCTCCGGGTTTTTCGGTTCCCTCCCACAGGTAAAGACCCCTACGTGCATGCGAATTACTGAAATAAAACTGAACCATGTTAGTCCCGAAATGACCTAGTTTGTGTCGAGCGGACGTTAAACCCCATTTCTCACTCTCTATTGAGCAATTTAAATATTTCCTTGATGTACAAACAAAAGAATTAATATTCACAATATTCACTGTATTAATCATCGAACAAAAACATGTATAGATGTTAATCTATATACCATAGGGAATATAATAAACCACGTGACACCATGGCCTGAAGTTCGCGGGTTCACTCATTGTGTTGACCGAGAAAGTTCATCGAGACTTTGCTGATGGGTTTCCCTTGTCAGTGGTGCGGGACGGAGGGCCTGGCAAGAACAGCTGTCTAGTCGTTCGGATGGGCCAAAAAACCAACATCGCGTATTCTCATTTGAGGCAAAATGTCCCTTATAACACACTGCACGGCGTATACCCGTCTTCATTAGCCCAGCCGGAAAACGTTAAACCCATTTCATTTCATTTCATATGACACTAACGATAAGCTGATTAGACTAGATTATCATAGCTTATAATCTCTCTTACGTCCTCTCTAGACTCGGTTATCACATCAGTTTATTTATAAACACGTGGATAATCAAAGCTACTACACGTGTTGTTTTTGATATTAACTAGATACACCTGAAATCTATTTTTTTTTTTCACCGACCTGTTTTTACAAACAAAGATTTACCCAGTAGGGCCTATTAAATTCATTTGTACTCACTTTTGATATTTTATGTGTCGTTTCGCTCGCAACTGTCTGGACGACTTAGATGCTGGGAAGCGTGTGTTTCGTTGCCTGGCAACCAGAGTTCATAAACTAATATTAGTTAAAGATGCATTATGGGAGATTAGATAAAGAGCTGGCAGTTCTCACTACAATAGTTAAAAAACTAGATAATGTAAAAGGAATTTGCTGAAAATTTCAGTCAAATTGATCCACTCTGAACCGAGAATTTAGCGATTGAATTTTCGGCCTAGTCTCGGCCATCATTACTAAAGTCGGTACGATAAAAACATAGTCTCGATTACCCATTCCATGATTAAATCATGAATGACATCGAGAGTTAACTATGGTCTGGATAAGCTAATCAATATCTAATTAATAATTTAGATAACATTTCAGGCCTAAAGAAAGACCTGAAATAGGCAGATTTAGCTCTTGCATAATGTATGTTTAATAATTATTAATAAAATGTTATTATTTACCGTATAAAAGAAAACTAAAAAACACTTTCTCTTTTTTTATTTCGAATTTCATGTTGTTTTTATTTTATAAGCGGAAGCTAATGTTTTATTTGAACAGGAAGTTTAATTGTTAATATTATGTAATACGAGTCGATGACTATAAATATATCAACAACATAATCTATATAATTTATATGACAGATTACTAACGCTCTAGGGTCTGAGTGTCACATGTAACAGACACTCACGTATTATATCATTAAAAACAAGATATAATTTATTATCTGTATTTAGGAAACCTAAAACGGATTCGGCTGAAATATTAGTACATGCTTTGCTCGCAGCCAATGAAGGCGGGCGTACGCCATTCAGTGTGCTACGGGGGGAATCTCGAATTACAACTCTCAAGGGTTATTTTGCGTGCACGCCAATGCGTACACAAGTCCTCTGTTTTTCGTCCCACCCGAACGACTATATGTTGTCCCTTGCCAGGCCCTCCATCCTGCACTTCCGACAAAGGGGTGTGTGTGTGTGGGGGGGGGGGGCCCACATCGAAGAATCCCGATGAACTTTTTCGGCGGCCAACACCTGGATCAAACACGGACCTTCCAGGTTAGCGAGCCAATGTCTTCCTTACTGAGCCACTGCGACTCTCCTGTAATTCATACCTTTGTTACGGGAGCCGCGGTAGTCAGCAGACGGGGCAATGAGATCTCGGTTAGAATTCCCAGGCTGGAATCAAGGCGTATGTCGAGAGGTATGGTCAGGCCTAAATATTAAGGCCAAGTGCAGATTTTGTCAAGATTGTGGGTTAGGGCTAGCCTTAGGGTTAGCGCTAGCCGTTTACATCTCGTGACATTTGACCGAATATGCAGTTGGCCTTAATATTTAGACCTAACCCGAGAAGAAATTTGGGATTGTCAATCCCGGTTTGCGTTCGGTGCTGACAATGAAAGCGTTATCTGGTCGTTCGGATGGGATAAAAAGCCGAGGTCCTACCGTGTACACATGGCAGTTGCACACATGATGACCACAGGCACAAATAAAAGAAATGAAATGAAATGGGGTTTAACGTCCTACTATTCTGCTCCTATACTGGGCTAATGAAGACGGGAAAACGCCATACAGTGTGCTATGAGGGAAATTTTGCCCGGGCAGCGGCACTATCGCCTACTCTTATATCGAATTCTAATTCTGTCAAGGGATCTTTTACGTGCATTCCAATGTATACACGGGACCTCGGTTTTTCGTCTCATCCGAAGGACTGGACAGCTGTCCTTGTCAGGCCCTCCGTTCTGCACCACTGACAAGGGGAAACCACGTCGGAACAGGCACAAATAACCACATGTTAGTCTCAAAACTACCATAGTATTGTAGTGACAAAATATAAACCCCCTTCCTGTTCTATTTTGGCTACGATAATACTATCTCAGGTTTTAGTTGAGACTGATAATTTATAGCAGCCGAACGGAGAGATTCGCATTTGTTAAGAGATTATTTTGAAATATTGACTGAAATTTATAAATTTATCAGATCGGCAAGAATTTTCTCAGACACATATTTGTAATAATTTAAGATTAAATATCGTAGTATTCCCTCAAAATGGCCATTAAAATATTACCATCCTCTGCAAATTATTTGCGAGATATTCGTCTGGCAAGTTAGATATAAAACGTGTGGATAATCGGACAAAATTCTGTCAACAATAAGGAAAGATCAATGACACCATTCTGCCGTGTTAACGAATCATTAACAATCATAATTTAACAAGCCATGAGCATATAACATGGTCATCTTGATATCTCGGGGCGAGAAAGTTCAATTTGGAGAAGATATCCGATTTGGTTTCCGGGGAAGAGTAAGCTATTCCATTTTTTAAAAAAAACCAAAAACCCCATTAAACACTCTGATTATATAAATGTAAAAGACTAGGTCGTAGCGCCGCTGTCCGGGCAAAATGTCCCTCATAGCACACTGTATGGCGTTTTGGCGTTCGCCCGTCTTCATCAGCGAGCGAGCGAGAGAGAGAGAGAGAGAGAGAGAGCGAGAGAGAGAGATGGGTTTAACGTCCACTCGACACAAACTAGGTCATTTCGGGACTAACACATGGTTCAATTTTATTTCTATAATTCGCTAGCACGTAGGGGTCTTTAGCAGTGGGAGGAAACCGGAGGACTCGGAGAAAACCCACGAGGTGTCTTCATTATCCCAGTCGGTGCAGAACAGTAGGACGTTAAACCCCATTTCATCTCAATGATTTGTATAACCGTTTGTCTAGATATCTTTGTGTTGACGTTATCGTAGAAAGTTCAAATGAACAAAAAGAAACTCCAAAAACCCTCAGGACTTTGTTATAGTAGTCATATAAAGTTTAAATGAAATGAAAAAAAAAAAAAAAAAACAACACACAAAAACTCATTAGAAGATAAAGATAGTCACATAAAGTTCAAATGAATAACAAACTGTTTTTTTATTGACGGAAGTTTAAACTAATCCATGTTCGCCATTTCCTATAACTTTTAAATCTATTAGGATTTCGTTGACAATGAAATACTTTTAAAGTCTCTGTCCGCCATTCGTATTTTTCGGATAATATTAACGTTTCTACGGCTTACTCCACGCTAAAATTGATCAGCATTCAATTAAGAAAAAAATATTAAAATATCAACGGTTAATAATCTGTCACCTTGGATTCTATCGGATTAAAATGAGGCCCATCAAAAGATTTTGGGGAGCCACAGCGGCTAAGTGAGTAAGACGCTGGTTCGCTAGCCTGGTCTGGCGCAATATAGCCCGGTTGGAGCTGCCCTTCCATAAAACCACATTTCATTTCATTTCGCTAGCCTGGAGGTCGCGTGTTCGATCCCGGTGTTGACTGGAAAAGTTCATTGAGATTTTAACTAGATTAAAACGGTTCGGCCATTTAATGATTAAATTTATAAATGGAGAAGCGAGGTTAAGCCTTGAATATACCAGTGCCGTGGTTACGATAATAGAAAATCAATACACACATCTTATCAAAACTACAAACAGTGATAACTAAGATGCTTAGACAAAAGTAATTTGAATAAAATTTTCAATATATTCATTTTACATTATCTATTTTTCAACTATTATAGCAAGAATGGTCAGCTCTTTATCTAAATCTTACATAATGTATCTTTAACTTCGTTATTTTTTGTTATTTTACCTAAAGAATGACATTTGCTCGAAACGTTGAATATAATTAGACTCTATATGGCATTAATTTATATTTTTCATAGTCAACGATTCGAAATAAAACAGGATATGGGCCCACAGAAGTGTTTTTTTCTTTTTAAATTGTTTATTATAAAATATGAATACTATATAGATGAAATTCGTGACGGAGTAGAAATATAGGAGATATTTAATAATAAGGGACTGTTTATTTATCATTAAAATACATCATTATTTACCTTTGTAACCAGGTGTTACAGTTAACCCATGTTTATTTACAAGTATATGATTAATACATGGCTTTATGGCTTTCTTCGTATATAAAGGGTTTTTTTTTAAGAACGTGGGAACGAATAAAATGGTTTTTAACGTCCAACTTGTCTACACCATTTAATCCAATGAAATGAAATGGGGTTTAACGTCCTATTGTTCTGTTCCGACTGGGCTAATGAAGACAGGCATACGCCATACAGTGTGCTATGAGAGAAATTTTGCCCGAACAGCGGCACTACGGCCTATTCTGATTTCAATTTCCAACTGCCAAGGGATCTTTGACGTGCACGCCAATGTATCCGTTTTTTTTACAAGATTCAAAACTTTATATAGTTTGTTATATAACAGTTATGTTTTAAATTTACTATATTGTATAAACTTACTGGTAATATTTGCCTTTTGTCTAAATAGTTCCATTTAAGTAAATGTTATTATTTCACCGAATTTAATTTAATAAATATTCTACTAGTAGTATGTATATTATTACAATTATTGACGGAGGGCCTGGCAAGGACAGCTGTCTAGTCGTTCGGATGGGACGAAAAACCGAGGTACCGTGTACATATTGGCGTGCACGTAAAAGATCCCTTGGCAGTTGGAATTCGATATAAGAGTAGGCCGTAGCGCCGGCAAAATTTCCCTCATAGCACACTGTATGGCGTATGCCTGTCTTCATTAGCCCGGTTTAGGAGCAGAACAGTAGGACGTTAAACCCCATTTCATTTCATTTATTACAATTATTACAACATATTTATAGTGCGCCCTTTCATATAACATGTTCAGGGACATTTTACAAAGTGACAATATAATCATAAATAAACAACAAGATTATGGACATGTTAACGTATATATCACGAAAGACACCGCGTGGAACGAAATAAAATATTGTTAAAAGCAATTAAGCCCATAATTAAAACTATGTTACATTGGACCGGAAAAATTCTCAATAAGCAATGAACAGCTTGTTATCTCTACTACAATCCATAAAATATAATATATACACATATCCAACGATAACATTAATTCTATTCTAATATGTTATTAAATTCAGTAATAAACATATCCAACAATAACACTTATTCTATTCTAATGTTATTAAAATAATATTGAGGCCAAGGAAAGAAATAACTGTGTTTAGGATTACTTGTCCCACAAAAATAGAGTCAGTCGGTAAATCTTTTTATTTTTTTAAATATACATTATGCAAGAGCTAAATCTGCCTATTGCAGGTCTTTCTTTAGGCCCGAAATGTTATCAAAATTATTAATTAGACATTAATTAACTTATCCAGACCATAATCAACTCTCGATGTCATCGCTAGCCTGTGATATTTACTGGATTAGCATCCGATCTGGTGCCCAACGCTCATTCGTGATTAAATGAAAAAATGGATAATCGAGACTATGTTTTTTTTCTATCGTACTGACTTTAGTAATGATGATCGAGGCTAGGCCCAAAATTAAATCTCTTAATTCTCGGTTCAGATGGGACGGAAAACCGAGTTCCTGTGTATATACTAACGGCACTGCCCGTGCAAAATGTCATTCCGACCATTTGGCTGAACCAGTTGGAGGACTAGATAAATCAATAGCTACTTTGTATGGCGGTATAACTAAACCGATGTATATATATTTATTTTATTTTCCAGATAAAGAGTCATGGTCACCTTTAGATATTTCATCCTGGTCGTCGCAATATTTGGTTACTGTCACGCCCACTCCAACCATGCCCATACACCGCCCCCTGCCGGTACACCAACACCAAACAGTTTTCACGATAAAAACATGGTGCACAATGAACAGTGAGTATATTCAAATTAAAGTTTAACTTCTTTTGTTATGATGTCAATGCTATATTATATATTATGCTTCATTTTGTTTATATATTTCGTTTTTTTTAAAAAATACTTTTGGTGGTCTCTACTACATGGAGGTCTGACCGGTTGTAGTGAAAGGTAGCATCAGATGTCATACGATCGGGTTTTGACCTATGACGTCAGACAATTGATTAACCAATCGGCGTTGATGTTTATAGTGGGTTACCCACAGTTCCGTGCACCTCACGAAATTTTGAACTATAAAAAACGAAACAAAATAGGATCTGTGTTTTAATCAAATTGGATGACAATCGAACTTTGTTGTAAATTTTACGTCCATAAATTATAAAACCGATTTTGGGTTCCACTATCGACACAGTAATCCACAAATGAAACTGAAAGTAGCACAAGCCGATTTTCGCTTGATCTGTTGGAAATTTACGAAATCGTATAGTGCTTTTACCAAAGACATCGGATCAACCCAGATAAATATTCATTTGGAGATAAATCAGAGAGGTTTAACTTTTCTATGTAAAGATATATTATTGTGATTTTATTTTAGACATTTAAAAGAACACATGCAGAATGAAGTAAATACAGATAAACAAATGACACCGGAAGAAATGGAGTTTAACTACTTCCGGTAAGTAAAATAGTCCTGTAACTGACCCGAACCTGCAATCAGAGGTACCGTACCATAATCTTTAGCTTTACCCGTATTATCATTGTCGATCTTTGGGACACGACTGATGTGTGTAAATCTAGTAAACATCAGATGTATATCCCAATAAGGATGGGGTGGGGTGGGGTGGGGGTGGCCGAGAAATGTACCGCATGTGGTTTAGATTATAAGGTCCGGCAATGGGTCAAGCTTCGTTGGGTCGACACCTGGCTAGTACCTGCACGTGACACATGGATTAAAGTTTCCTGTCTGGCCTTTCTCCGGGTGGGGTGGGGAGCGGGGCTTGGGATGGCCTAGTGGTCTAGAGTGTCGCGGTTCGACCTCTAGTTGGCTGGTCACCTCTGGCTTGCAGTCATGGTTTTGATGCCTGGTGTAATCATATGTGGCTTGGAGATAGGGGTGCCTTCTCAACCTCGTGGGTTTCCTCCGAGTACTCCGGTTTCCCACCACACGAAAGACCCCTGCTATTGCGCTAAGATAATCCAAAATGAAAAAAAAGACAACATGTCTGCGATATCACCATTGGTGGAAGCGGACGTTAAACACTAAGAGCAACAACAACTTTCTCTGGGTTTTCTCCGGGTATTCCGCTCAGCACCTACCCAAACACCTCCCTCTCTAGGAATATTCGCGGCCAGTGTCGTCATATTTGCTGGGTCACCGTGGCCCCCGTCACATGATCAACAGCTGATTTATAGAGATTTTGTATTCCAGATTACACGACACAAATCAAGATAGTCATTTAGATGGTCTAGAAATCCTCGCTGCACTTTCCCACATGTTGCCACCACCAGAATTAACACCTCAAGAAGCTAGCGGTAAAAAAAAGGAAGAAATAGACGCCATTATGCAAGCTAGACAGGAAGCCATGTTTAATAATTATGTTCGTAAGTATTTGATTGGCTAAATCCGTGGATCTTTCTTAAAACACCCTCAAATCCGATAAATATTGCATAAAATTTAGCCATATGTCCATATTGATCTCCGTAGAATTGTTTAAGAATATACTCAAATCCCCCAAAATGCCATTCATAGGCTAATATTGCCCTGTCCTAACATTGATCTCAGTGGCGTGGAGGTGAGGGTGGGGGGGGGGGGCTGTAAGACTGTAATTTTAGTTTTCGTGTGTTATCTCCCTTGACAAGTTCTTTTCTTATTATTGCAATTTCAAATATCAAGACAGTAATAGAGGTTGATTCACTTTTCTTCCAGAAATCATTGATAAAGTTTTAATGGAGGACGACAAAGATCAAAATGGCTACCTTAGTTACGCCGAATATCAACTAGCCAGAAGACGAGATGAACAGAGAATGAGAGAAGCACAAAAGAACATGACGCCAGAACAGGTTATGCAACAACAGCAAATGATGCAGCAACAAATGCAGCAACAACAACAGATGATACAACAACAACAGCAACAAATGATGATGATGCAGCAGCAGCAAGAACAACAACAACAGCAACAGCAACAAGGTCAAGGTCAAGGGTCAGTGGTGAATATGAACCAACCAGGTGTCGTACAGCCACCACAAAACTAAACAATAAAGGACAGGGATGAGGGGAGGGGTGGGGCTTGAATAAACCTTACACATACGGTGAAATAGAAATGTAGATACGGGTTTAAAAGGTGGGGGGGGGGGTGAAAAACCAATCCAATTTTATGAATTTTACAAAATAGAGAAACAACAACGATCATGGATTGTGTTTTGACGATGTAGAAGGTAAAGTTTAAAGGTTGCTATGGAATTCATAAAGGGATCACTAGATGTCCAGTCAAGATGTGGTTAAAATTAAAAACATTGCCCTGACAAGTAAATTCCATAATCTTATTATACTTAGAATTATTAATGATTATAGAGGCTATTAAAGTTCCCCGAGGGTGAATTGAGCGATATAGGAATACCAGGCCTTGCCAACTACTATGTTTAAATGTCGAATCTCTAATATGGTTTCATTCCGTTCAGGACCCTGTTCCTCGAAATCTTAACTAAAGATAAAATTCAAATTTTAGTAGATACTTCAATTTTGATTGGTTAAGCAATAAAATCAATCTATTATTATCCAATCAAATGACTAAAATTTGGATTTTTATCTTAGTTAAAATTTCGTGAAACAGGCCCCAGGATTTACAATGATGTGGCGAATTGATATTTCATCCATCTTTACTACTCCCTATGTGAACAAGACCACCGACATGCTTATAATTCGCGAATTCTAATAGATTGGTCTGTTTTTAATTTGTTGTTCTACAAACAAGTATGGCGGTTGTTTTAGGCGTTACCTTTTTTTTTATTTAATTATTTCTGTAGTTTTGTAATCGGAGTTCAGCTTTAAACATACATTATGCAAGAGCTAAATTTGCCTATTGAAAGTCTTTCCTTATGCCTTGAATGTTATCTAAATTATTAATTGGACATTGATTAACATATCCAAACCATAATCAACTCTCGATGGCATCGCTAGCCTGCGATATTTACTGGACTAGGATCCGATCTGCTGCTCAACGCTCATTCATGATTAAACCAAGAAATGGATAATCGGGACTGTATCTTTAATCGTAGGGACTTTAGTAATGATGTTCGAGGCTAGGTCGAAAATTCAATCGCTAAATTCTCGGTTCAGAGTGGATCAATTTGACTGAACTTTTCAGCAAATACCCTTTACATTATCTAGTGTTTAACTATTATAGTGAGAACTACCAGCTCTTTATCGAATCTCCCATAATGTATGTATAATAGAACTATTAAAGTGAGAACTGCCAGCTCTTCATCTATAATGTATCTTTAATTGAATGTCAACTAATCAATAGGAGTACAGATTAGCGTGGATAAAACCTTGAGAAATTAATGTTTATTGTTATCATATTATGTTCTGTCTATATTAAACGTCATTTGTAATTAAATTCATTGGCATAAGTTTTATTTAATAATAAAAATTGTAAAAATCCAATTCCATTTTTTATTACTAGAACAATAGATATTTATTTTTTTATATTTTAAGATAGTGGATATGTAAATATCTTGTGTCTGAATTTGATTCTGTTTCTATGATTTGTCATACAATAAAGACCACTACTGGAGTCACTGAGCCACCGCGGCTCGCTAACCTGGAGGTCCCGTCTTCGATTCTGAGAAAGTTTAACAGAATTTTCCGATGTGGTTCCTCCTTGTCAGTGGTGCCGGACTCTTCTTCTTCTATTTATAGTCTCTCTAAATGAACGGAAGGATATTTTTGGTTTGCCTCTAGATAAACACAGTTATCCCCCTTTAATGATAAACGGAGACAATAAATCGAGACACGGAAGAAAAATGTTTTAACGCCAGAGAATTTGGTGGTTTGCCTCTGGAGAATATTTGGTGGTACGCATCCACGGAATAAACGCAGTTATTCCCCTTTAATGATAAACCGGATCAACGAATGGAGAAACTGTTATTGTTTGATTTTATATTTGTTTCCTTTTTTTTATACTTTCGATAGCCTACACTATATGAAGATAAGACTGGTTGTAGTGGAAGGTCGCGTTAGAGGTTGAACGAGCGGCTTTTGACCCTATGACGTCAGACATTGATTAATCAATCAGCGTTGACGTTTCTAGTGGTTTACCACAGTTCCGTGCACAAAACGCCAAAGACTCGCTGTAACAGACCGTTTCATTGGCTAATCCCTCACTTCAACCGAAACGCGTGCTATATAACAACTCTTCCAGATCCTAGTGAAGTAAAGACAAGTAAAACTAAATTTTGAACTATAAAAAACGAAACGAAATAGGATCTGTGTTTTAATCAGATTGCGAAAGTTTCAGATCTATTTCCTGAGTTAAATGCCCAGCCCCCCCCCCCCGCGCCCTTCTCTAAATGATATTTTGTCAGTCTGGAATTGACCGAGTTGTACAATCGTATAATAGATACCAGTGATTCTCAACTAGTCTGCCGCGAGATCTTACTAACTGTGCCGCGAAATTTTGAAAGGCACACTAAGAAAATGTGAAAAACCACGTGATTCAAATTTAGTATTCACTGGTATCTACTGATAAGTTCATAGCTGTGTTTTTCTTTATTTATGTGTCTATGACTAGTCTCTGTCTACGGTCGTGTTCCGTCTGACTTTTTATTTGAAAAAATTCAAATATTTTTCATATATTTAGCCAGGTGTGCCGATATTTTTTCATGTGCTCCAAGGTGTGCCGTTGGCCAGGGGCCCCCAAATTAGTTGTAAAATATGATTTATGATTCTATTTATTATGTTTGTGCTAAATGATTCTATTCATCTAATATTTTAAACTACAAATTGCATCATTTGTGTAGGGACGGACAATAACCAGAATACCCCCCCCCCCCCCCTCCACCAACCGCCTCACCCCTTTTAACTGTTGATGCAAGAGCTCAATTGACATCTTCAGTCAGGTGCCTCATGCAAGGTTATTCCAGCCCGGGATGAAATACAAATACTGAAGACTATTTAATGAATATGTTTTATTGCGCTCTATACATGTAACATATTAATATAGAACTTGTGCGTATCCGACTGTTTATGTTAAAATATCTCTTTTCAAAAATATATATTTAATAATTACAACATAACAAACAAATAAAAAACAATCTGATTAAAACACATATCCTATTTCGTTTCGTTTTTTATAGTTCAAAATTTCGTTTTACTTGTTTTTACTACACTAGGATCTAGAAGAGTTGTTATATAACCCGCGTTCTGGATGATGTTAGGGATTAGCCAATGAAACGGTCTGTTACGGCGAGTTTTTGACGTGAGGTGCGGCGAACTGTGGGTAACCAACTAGAAATATTAACGCTAGTTAATCAAATGTCTGACGTCATAGGGTCAAAAGCCGATCGTATAACCTCTGACGCGAACTTCCACTACAACTGGTCAGATCTTCATGGCTAAATCTATTTATTAAGGCCAGCTCAATTTTTGTCAGGTCGCTGAGATGTAAATAAGGTTAGGGCACGTGATTGTTGGCAAGCTTGTAGGTTGGGGCTAGGTCCAGGGTTGGGGTTGGGATTAGCACTAGCCCTGTTTACATCTCGTGACCTTTGACCAAACTTGAAGTTGGCCTTATCAAATAGATACACGTATAACCGATCTTCATGTAGTGTCGGCCATCGAAAGTATAAAAAATAACCGAAACGAAATTTATAACTATCATGGTTTATTTCTCTTACCCAAATAAAATCTACCACAAAGCCCAAATGGAGCATTTCCGCTAAACCATCTTCAAGCGATCGATAATACGTCGGTACGTCCATGGGTCCCCGATACCAAAAACGTCTAGATTCGTTTGTCTTAAACACAAGGTTATTATTATTCGTGTTTGAATGACCAGTATCCGAATCCAGAGTCGACGTATTAGCTGGAGAAAGTTCCATATAAAAAGAGTGTGCGCGTGTGTGTGTGTGTGTGTGTGGGGGGGGGGTGTATGGTCTGGGTGAGTGTGTGTGTGTGTGTGTGTGTGTGTGTGGGGGGGTGTCTTGTCTAGTGGTTCAACCATAGAAATATATACAGACGGAATGTCCACGCGAAGATTGGACAGGCAACCCTACTTTTTGTTTGGATTCACAGCTTGAACGTCAGTATATATTTCTATGGTTCAAAGCATGCGCGTGGAATCACAAGGTCTGTCATTACGACAAGTGGCGTTGTTTGGATTCCCAGCTTACACTTGACAACGAGTAGGGTCACCTGTCCAATCTCGTGCGTTTTCTCCGGGTCCTCTCGGTTTCCCCCAACTGCTAAAAAAGCAGACGCGCCAGCGAATTATTGAAACTAAATTGAACCTTATTATGTTAGTCCCAAATTGACCTAGTTTGTGCCATATATAAATGTAAAGCGAGTCTGGCTAACTGCGGCCATAGTCGCCATTTTGTTAGCCAATCTGAAAGCTGGTCAGACCTATATCAGAAGCCACCTGCGGATCTCCCAAAAGGTCACGAGATGTAAACAGGGTTAGGGCAAGTGATTGTTGCCGAGGATTGTGGTTTAGGGTTAGGGTAAGGCTTAGGGCTAGAACTTGAGTTAGGGTTAGCACTAGCCCTGTTTACATCTCGTGACCTTGAGGAAATCTTCAAGTGGCTTTCTGAAATAGATCTACGCTAACCCAGAAAGCTTGACATATCAACATCAGAACAAAATGGCCGTCAGTAAAAACGAACGAAATACAATTTATGTGTGACGGATTGGTGATAAGAAATAGGGTACTTTATTTTTTTCGTTGTAGTTTTGCTGGGAACAACTCTCCCGACTAAATCTCTCGGGGGTTGGAGGCGAATTTGTGTTGTCGCCATCTTTCCCTTCCGTAATAAACACCATTTTTCCAATTCACTAAATTGTCATTCATTTCTTCACAGGTTTACCGAATCATCACTTGACCTCTCAAAGAGAGACAGGTGAAGGAGCTGTGGGTAACATATGCTTAAGAAATACATGTAGTGGGTCAGAGGCGGGTCCCGGCGGCAATCGTGGAAGAATCTGTAAATTCGCAGCCAGAGGCGTAGCCGTGAAATGTATATTGGGGGGGGGGGGGCGCAAATGAAATTCTATAAAATGTTGTCAATCTGTGACGGCGGAGTCACGAGGCTGCGCAGCAGCCGATGTAGCGCGATAGGGAGAGTGTGGAAGGGTCATATTGGGATATATAAATGTTTTATACAGATAGAATCTTAACTAATCCTAATAATGGTTGTAAATAAATAGGAGTTAGGGCCTACTATGTAATATTTTTTATTTTTTTTGGGGGGGGGGGTGTCCAAGTATATTCAGACCCCCCCCCCCCACTAGAAAAACAATTGGAGGGGGGGGGGGGGGTGACGCCCATGTGCACAGCATTAAGATTATACATGTGTTACCCACTGACAACTGAGACTATAGCTGGCCAGGTTCTCTCTATATACGGTGCTGACGATGAATTCCGTAGAATAAATAAAAAATTAATCAAATCAACGACAAGAACCATCTTGCTGTAACCATAGAAACAACAAGTGACGTCAGACAAACTATGCCACACTTTCTTTATGGGAGAAATTAATTACGGACTGCTAAATGGGCATCCGTTTATTACTGTTCCCCAAAAAAAAAAAAAAAAAAAAAAAAAAAATTAAATACAAGCCGTCTGAGGATCTGCAAAGTTGATTTTGAGCTTGTCATGTAAATCAGTGCTTTCATCGGCAGTGATTAACGTCAGTGATTAACAGTGAATGTTAGCTTGGGCAGTCATTTATTGATTTAATTATTAAATGGACTACTGTTTAAATCCAAGCTGTATACAAGCCACCCGAGGGTCTACAAAGTTGATTTTGAGTTTGTCATGTAAATACAGGTCTAATTAATAACTTCTATAAAATATCACCTTAGGTGGAAGTGGACGTTAAACCCCAGAAACGAACGAACGAACTTCTATAAAATCTGAAGCCTAAAGAAATACTTGCATTCGGCAGATTTAGCTCTTAGAAAAAAAAGTATCTTTAATGACAATTTCTTATTGCCAAAATTGCAAATATCAAGACAGTTGATTCACTTTTCTTCCAGAAATCATTGATAAAGTTTTAATGGAGGACGACAGAGATCAAAATGGCTACGCCGAATATCAACTAGCCAGAAGACGAGATGAACAGAGAATGAGAGAGGCACAAAAGCACATGACACCAGAACAGATTATGCAACAACAGAAAATGTTGCAGCGACAAATGCAGCAACAACAACAGATGATAAAACAACAACAGGAACAAATGATGGTGATGCAGCAACAAGGTCAAGGTCAAGATCAGGGATCAGCAACAAATGATGAAGATGCAGCAGCAGCAAGAACAAGAACAACAATAGTAACAAGGTCAAGGTTAAGGATCATTGGTGAAGGTCAAGGTCAAGGATCAGTGATGAATATGAACCAACCAGGTGTCGTACAGCCACCACATAAATAACCAGTGGAGGACAGGGAGGAAGGGAGGGGGTGGGGCTTAAATAAGAGAGAGAGAGAGAGAGAGAGAGAGAGAGAGAGAGAGAAATGGGGTTTAACGTCCACTCGACACAAACTAGGTCATTTCGGGACTAATATATGGTTTAATTTTATTTCAATAATTCGCATGCGCGTAGGGGTCTTTAGCAGTGGGAGGAAACCGGAGGACCCGGAGAAACGAGGACAGGCGACCCTACTCCTTGTCACGTACAACCGGGGATTCGAAACCACGCCAGTTGACTCAATGCCAGACTTTATGGTACAGCACGCACGTGCTAACCATTCAGCCATCCAACCCCCCTACTGGAATCAGATTTGCAATTCTCTCCGCAGTGTCGTGAATGTCATATTCTCCTCTGTAATGATAAACGGAGACAAGAAATCGAGACACAAAAGAAAATGTTTGTTTTGTCTCCAGAGAATGTGGTTGTTTGCCTCTGGAGAATATTTGGTAGTATGCATCCACGGGATAAACACAGTTATTCCCCTTTAATGATAAGGCCCCCCCCCTTTAACGGAAACAAATGATAAGGCCAGCTCAATTTTCCGTCATAGGTCATGGGATATAAACAGAGCTAGCGCTAATCCCAACCCCAACCCTTACACTGGACCTAGCCCCAATGTTTACCCTAACCCTAATCTACTATCTCGCCAACAATCACGTTCCCTACCAGTTACTGTTTGAGTTAATATTTTGTATTCCGCTAGAGTTATAATAATGCATCATCGTGAAAGTTTCAGATGTATTAGATTATATATTTTGGTTTTGGTTAAAGTAACTGGGTAATAAAACAGGTGAAAGGGGAGACAATTTGAATTCCAATACATTTTATCAACAAATTAGATGGCTTCAGTTAATTTCCGGGGTTAAATGCCTAGACCCCGACACACCCCACCTCTCTCTAAATGATGGGTTGTTAGTCCAGAACATCAGAAATTGACAGAGTTGTACAATCGGGTAATCTAGCCAATGACCTCGATATTCTCATATGTTGACAACTCGTCCGGATTTGTAAGACGTTTGCAAGATAAAGACTGGGGTCAAGCATCCTCAAAACCCTCGCGTAATACCCTGCATAGTTCGGCACTTGGGATCCTATCATATTTCTCGATCATCGCGAATACCAAGTCTCGCGCTTTCTAGCTAAAATGTCTACCTGTGATAATCGAGTTGCAAAGTTCAAGGTTCGTTCAAGGTTTCCGTGGAGGTCGCGATATCGCAACGTCCAGATGCTGTAAAAATTGCTGTGGTTGCTTCAGGAACATGGTGGTCAAGATGAATCAGTAAATATGGGTGGGGTGGGGGGTCACTGACACTGACTAGGAGAGATTGCAGGATCTATACCATGTAGGCTGAGAATAAAAATGAGAGTCGGATTGGAGTAGAAAAATAACACAACACACAGATTAAATCAGACCCGGAATAAAGGGGGGGGGGGGGGCTAAACAGGTTGTTGTCCCAAGGGCTTCCATTTTAAAGTGGCCCCCAATTTAGTTCTAAAATACAATATATGATTCTATGCACCTACTATATTAACCTACTAATTGCATCATTTGTGTAGGTGACGGACAATGACCAGAATATGTCCCCCTTTTAACTGTTGATACAAGCCCCCCCCCCCCCCCACACACACCGCCAGTGACAATTTTAGCCCCCATACAAGCTTATTCCAGCCCTGGATGAAATACAAATATACTGAAGACTATTTAATGAATATGTTTTATTGCGCTCTATACATGCAACATATTAATATAGAACTTGTGCGTATCTGACTGTTTATCGTAAAATGTCTCTTTTTAAAAATATATATTTAATAATTACAACATAACAAACAATAAAAAAAAACAACCAAAACAATCTGATTAAAACACATATCCTATTTCGTTTCGTTTTTTATATTTCAAAATTTCGTTTTACTTGTTTTTACTACACTAGGATCTAGAAGAGTTGTTGTATAGCTCGCGTTCTGGATGATGTCAGGGATTAGCCAATGAAACGGTCTGTTACGGCGAGTTTTAGGCGTGAGGTGCACGCAACTGTGGGTAACCCACTAGAAATATTAACGCTGATTGGTTAATCAAATGTCTGACGTCATAGGTCAAGAGGCGCTCGTATGACCTCTAACGCGACTTTCCACTACAACCGGTCAAGGTCGCTGAGATGTAAATAAGGTTAGGATGCGTGATTGTTCGCAAGGGCTAGATCCAGGGTTAGGGTTGGGGTTAGCGCTAGCCCTGTTTACATCTCGTGACCTTTGACCTAACTTTAATTTGACCTTATCAAATAGATATGACCGATCTTCGTGTCGTGTAGGCCATCCAAAGTATAAAAAAACGAAACGAAATATAGATCTGTATTTTAATCAGATTGCAATCAAACAGTAGTCAAATAAAAATTTATAACTATCATGGTTTATTTTTCTTGCCCATATAAAATCTACCACAAAGCCCAATTGGAGCATTCCCGCTAAACGATCGATAATACGTCGGTACGTCCATCCAGGGTCCCCGATACCGAAAACGTCTAGATTCGTTTTTCTTAAAATCATTTCTATTTTGCACAAAGTTATTCGTGCTTGATCCAGGGTCGACGTATTAGCTGGTGAAAGTACCATATATAAGATAGAGAGAGAAGTGGGGTTTAACGTCCACTAGACACAAACTAGGTCATTTCCGGACTAACATATGGTTCAATTTTATTTCAATAATTCGCTTGCGCGTCTGGCTTTTTAGCAGTAGGGGAAAATTGAGGACCCACGAGATATGACAGGCGACCCTACTCCTCGTCACGTTCTAGCTGGAAATCGAAACCAAGCCACTTGACTTAATGACAGACCTTGTGATTCCATACCCCTCCTCCTCCCCCATCCCACCAACACTTTATGGTCTCCCCCGTTGTACGTGACAAGGAGTAGGGTCGCCTGTCCAACCTCGTGGGTTTTTTTCTGGGTCCTCCGGTTTCCTCCCACTGCTAAAAACTATATACATGTAAAGCGAGCCTGGCTAACTGCGGCCATAGTCGCCATTTTGTTAGCCAATCTGAAAGCTGGTCAGACCTATTTCAGAAGCCACCTGTGGATTTCCCCAAGGTCACGAGATGTAAACAGGGTCAGGGCACGTGACTGTTGCCGAGGATTGTGGGTTAGGGCGAGGACAAGGGTTAGGGTTACATCACGTGACCTTGAGGAAATCTGCCTTCTGAAATAGATCTAAGCTAACCCCGAAAGCTTCACATATCAACATCAGAACAAAATGGCTGTCAGTAAAAATGAACGAAATGAAAGTTATGCATAATAAATAGTGGGTCAGAGGCGGGACAGGCGCGGATCCAGTCAGTCCACCCACCGAGGGTCGGACTTCGCACTCCCAAGTAGGGACATCCCCCCCCCCTTTCTGAAAATCCTGGATCCGCCCCCTGCAGGAACTGAGGACGAATCTGTAATTGAACAGCATTGAGATTGTCCATGACAACTGAGACTATAGCTGGCCAGGTTCTCTCTATATATGGTGCTGACTAGAGACGATGAATTCCATAGATTAGAATAAATAAAACATTAATCAAACAAAAGACAAGAACCATCTTGCTGTAACCATAGAAACAACAAGTGACGTCATACAAACTATGTCACACTTTCTTTATGGGAGGAATTTATTACGGACTGCTAAATGGGGCACCCGCTTGAAACTGTTCTAAAGAAATATTATTAAATACGATTATAAAAACATGCAATAGATATATTTAGCTCTTACATAATGCGTTCCGATAGGCCCCGTGTACACACTGACGTACACGTAAGAGATCCCTTGGCAGTTGGAATAAGTGTGAAAGCCGTAGCGCCGTTTCCGGGCAAAATTTCCCTCATAGTACACTGTATGGCGTATGCCCGTCTTCATTAGCCCAGTCGGAGCAGAACAGTAGGACGTCAAACCCCATTTCATTTCTTACATAATGCGTCTTCATAGGCCCTATATCATGACATATCTTAAAATCGCACACGCTCTTCTACTAATCACGCTAACGATAAACACACTATTTCTATGATCCATAACGCCGTATGACGTTTGGTGACGTATGGTTGATGACGTCAAATTATAAACAATATCACAGTGTCAAAAACCTTCACCGGAAGTAATTTAGGCAAAATGTAAAGAATAACAAGCTGATACAGCAGATTATAATAATTCTATCCACAGAATTTTGGGTACGATTTTGTAACACAGTACCATGGAATAATTATAAAGATGAAATTCTACAGATGATTGACCAATGTTAGATAGCTACTGTGGTCTGGTGGGAGAAACGGTGGTCAGGTCCCCCCACTAAAAAATATCAAGTTCTGATTAAAATACAGATCTATATTTCGTTTCGTTTTTTTATACTTTCGATGGCCTACACTACATGAAGATCTGACCGGTTGTAGTAAAGGTCACGTGACGTTCTACGAACGGCTTTTGACTCTATGACGTCAGACATTGATTAATCATTAAGCGTTGACGTTTCTAGTGGTTTACCCACAGTTCCGTGCATCAAACACCAAGAACTCATTGGCTAATCCATCACTTCCACCAGAACGCGGGTTATATGCAGAAACAGTTATTGTTTTGACCCTATGACGTCAGACATTGATTAATCAATCAACGTTGACGTTTCTAGTGGTTTACCCACAGTTCCGTGCATCAAACACCAAGAACTCATTGGCTAATCCATCACTTCCACCAGAACGCGGGTTATATGCAGAAACAGTTATTGTTTGATTTTATATTTGTTTCGCTTTTTGTATACTTTCGATAGCCTACACTATATGAAGATCAGACTGGTTGTAGTGGAAGGTCGCGTCAGGGGTCGAATGAGCGGCTTTTGACCCTATGACGTCAGACATTGATTAATCAATCAGCGTTGACGTTTCTAGTGGTTTACGCCAAGAACTCGCCGTAACAGACCGTTTCATTGGCTAATCCCTAACATCATTATATATCAAGTAAAACGATATTTTGAACTATAAAAATAAACGAAATAGGATCTGTGTTTTAATCAGATTGATATTTCATAAACCAATAACGAGGTCAAATATCCCTTAGTGTTGGCCAGGGGTGGGGACGGGCATTGACGACCCCCCCCCCCCCCCCCCGTCGCCTTAATGTCACCTTCGGTTGTAATCATTTGCACCATTTTGGTCTGACGAGCCATACAACCACATTTCATTCACCCCATTTCCACCCCTTCGTAGAAAAGCCATGTTGTTAGGTCGGGACTGTTTACGGAATAAATAATAATAAAGATTTTAAACAAATACATAATCATATCTAAATTACCTAAAATGTAAAATTTGTAGAAAACATTCCAATCACAATAACCACTATGAATAAACCCACAAATATCATCAACTACACATATAAACTTGTGGCGGGAAATCGTGACTCCAACGAACAGATTCGGAAGGAAGGACAACTCCCGTCAAGGAAGACAACTCCTGTTCGATTCCTCGTATATATAAGCGAACATTCGGACACTGTCCGATATTTAGAGCAATGAGTTCTGGACAATCGAGATCCAATTTGTGGATGTCCCTGCAGTCAAACATATTCAGAAACTTCAGAGGTGGCGCCTCGATCGAAATCTGCTTAATGTTTCTGCATTTCTCCAAGTTTAGGTTTGATATATTTGGACATCCATTGAGCGCCATTTGTAAAACGTAATCAGACACGTGACATCTGTAGAGAACGACAGTGCGTGCTAGGGGTGTGCTCACCGAGAGAAGATTTAACTTACAGTCGAATAAACGTAAAAATCCTATAGACCCTAACGCCTGTATAACGCACGAGTCCAGTAATAATTGGTCATCACTGCATAGATTCAGTTCTATGGAATCCACGCTCACACACTGAATAGTCATCGTTTTTAAAGCCGGCATCCCCACCAGGGCTACCTTACACAGATGATTGGCTGTTATGTACACGTGATTAAGCGTGATGATGTCCGTCTCAGATTCAGTGTGAAATAAACGTAATGTGGGACTCCGAACATGAAGAGCCTCACAGGCGAAATCTCCCAACAGACACAGTTCTTGTAGATTGGGTATTATTAGTTCATCCAGAAGAAGACTGTCTTGGGACAAGCTGCCCAACTTCATACACACTAAGGAAGGGTTGGATTTGAGCATGTCTCTTAACGAGGACATTTCCAGTTCCTCGCAGTTACACAGGTCCAATAACGAAAGTTTCTTGCTGCGGATCCCTAATGTCCTCAAGATGTTGCTGCCATTGACGACTGCACGACGGAGTTTTGGTGCGTATATTTCCACATGCTCCATGGACTCTAGGCCGGCGTCAATGGTCACGCTTCGCAAGTCAGTACCATCGATACTGACAAACAAAACATTCCATAGGTTAAACAAACACAGTTTCTGAAGGGAGTTGGATACCAGACGAATCCCATGAAGATGCTGAAAAGAAAAAGGATTTTCATTAAATAATGGAAATGAAATGGGGTTGAACGTCCTACATTTCGGCACCGACTGGGATAATGACGACGGGCATACGTTAAAGATACATTTTGTAAGATTTAGATAAAGAACTAGCCATTATTGCTATAATAGTTCGAAAGTAGATGATGTAAAATGAATAATTTGAAAATTGCATTCAAATTTCTCTATTCATAATTGCAAGCGAAGATATTAGCCTTTGAAGGTTTGACAGACGTGTGCAATAATTTCAACCACCGTACTGGTTGATCGAAGCTATGTCTCGATCTTCCATATTTGATTAAATCAAAGTATCGCTGAACCATTCTAATCTATTTAATATCGGAGAAATCTGATGCCATCGAGAGTTGGTTAAGGCCTGGATCAGTTAATTGATGTCTAATTAATACGTTAGAAAACATTTCAGGCCTAAAGAAAGACCTGCAATAGGCAGATGTAGCTCTTGCATAATGCATGTTTAAGCTGCGTAATGTAAGAGATATTTTGGCCGGACAGTGGCATTTTGGCGTACTCTTCATCAACGTCTGCCAGGGGTTGTTATACTTGCACACCAACGTGAACACTGGACCTTGGGTTTTAGTTCGAACGACCAGACGCTGTTCCCTGTCCGGGCCTGAATAATCCCGAGGAACTTTCTCGGCCAAAACCTGGATCCGGAAATGCTAATTGCTTGCTTTGGATAAATGAGTGTTTTGGGAAAACTAACCCTAATCCGTTTAGAAGACTGAACTTGGATTAAATTTACCCTTTAATCATCTTAAAATTGTTATGGTTAGTATTCCCCATAATACTAATTTATATAAAGCGGTCATTGTGGACTCCGGAAATTTCCGAGCCTCCGATGTCGGTCTATAATTAGCATCTAACCTATATTAGCTGTCCGGACAAAATTTTCCTCATAGCATACTGTATGGCGTATGCCCGTCTTCATTAGCCCAGTTTGGAGCAGAACAGTAGGATGTTAAACTCTATTTCATTTTATTTATTACTTACATTCTTACATTAAATTGCGGATAACATTTCATAATGGAAAAAAAAACAACACTATCTTCAATAGAATTAAAAATATATATAATAGAAAATCCCACCAGATGTCACCCAATCCGCCAGAAAGATGTTTAATTTATTACATTCGACATGTTTACATGCGCTGTGTATAGTTTATATGACATGCGTATTGACTTTCATTGACGGAATTCTTTCTACACGTGTTCATTGACGTCATAAAGATGGGACAGATGTACAGATATTTTAACGCCTTATGTCAGCATACTTAAAATATCAATACCATATTTAGCATTGATAATAATACCTAATATGGTTTACAGTTATCCGTGTTTACAATATACATGTATTATTGACATAATATCAATAAAGAATGTCGTAGGAGGGATATGTAATGAAATGAATTGGGGTTTAACGTCCTACTGTTCTGCTCCGAACTGGGCTAATGAAGACGGGCATACGCCATACAGTGTGCTATGAGGGAAAGTTTGCCTGAACAGCGGCACTACGGTCTACTCTTATATCTAATTCCAACTGTCAAGGGATCTTTTAAGTGCACGCGAATGTGTACACGGGACCTCAGTTTTTCGTCCCCTCGAACGACTAGACAGCTGTCCTTGTCAGGCCCCCCGTCCTGCATCACTGACAAGGGGAAACCACGACGGAAAATCGGGATGAACTTTCTCGGCCAATGCAGGAATCGAACACCCGACCAACAAGCTAGCGCGCCAGCGTCTTACCCACTTAGCCACGTGATCCCCGGGATATGTAACGGTTTACGATGTTGCCATGGAAATAGTACGGGTATTTTTCAGCTCTTTATACGATATCACCCTTGGTGGAAGTGGAAGTAAAACTCCAGAAACGAACGAACCATGAAATTTTACTTGAACAATAATTGTTCATTGGGGGTATGGGGTTTTTGAAAGGCCGATTGGTTAGCGCGTGCGCGCTGCACCATAAGGTCTGTCATTGAGTCAAATGGCGTTGTTTTTATTCCCTGGATGTACGTGACAAGGAGTAGGGTCGCCTGTCCAACCTCGTGTGTTTACTCCGGGTCCTCGGGTTTCCTCCCAATGCTAAAGACCACTACGCGCAAGCCAATTATTGAAATAAAATTGAACCATTTTAGTCCCGAAATGTCATAGTTTGTGTCCAGTGGACGTTAAACCTCATTTTGTTTCTCTCTCTCTCTCTCTCTCTCTCTCTCTCTCTCTCTCTCTCACTGGGGTATAGCGAAGAACACTGTAGAATTTAACATTTTTTGAAACTCAACTTTCGAATGAGTTTTGCAGGGTTATCGTTCTGTAGACATTTTTGTACCAGGAACTGTTGCCAAAGCGCTACCCATCTTGTTGTAATGATCTTGCTATTCTTCGGGGCAACGCTCTTCGAAGAAAAAAGCCTACGCCAAATCATGTACGATCGACACGAAACGTGGCATGCTTGTTACTTGGACGGACTTCGATTTTGATAAAATGACGCCACAATTCCAAGATGTCGGCGATAACGTCATGTCCAGACCTGGGTCCATATAGAACACTTTGTCACTTTCTCAACATTGGAACAAAGTTCATAGTGAACTTGTTTTTTATTTTACAATTTGCTCTGCGAATTTGTTGACAATGATTTTCGAACTAGCCCAGGTAGCTTTGTTGCTGTTGGAAACCTGATCACTCTATGTCACAGTATTTTGTGACTTGCACAAGAATTTTAAAATCTGGTTTTGACTTGGCAGGGGAATTCCAGCATGGCCAGCGAAATAATCTGATTTAAATACAGATCTATATTTCGTTTCGTTTTTTATAGTTGTAGTGGAAGGTCGCGTCAGGGGTAACACGAGCGGCTTTTGACCCTATGACATCAGAGATTGACTAATCAATCAGCGTTGACGTTTCTAGGGGTTTACCCACAGTTCCGTGCAGAGCACTCCAAGGACTCGCCGTAACAGACCGTTTCTTTGGCTAATTCTACACAACAACTAGAACACCTGTTATATAACAACTCTTCGAGATCCCAGTGTTGTGAAGACAAGTATAACGAAATTTTGAAGTATAAAAAACGAAACAAAATAGATCTGTGTTTTAATCAGATTGATTCAGAAATGAAATGAGGTTTAACTTCTGACTTTTCTGCATTAATCTGGACAAATGAAGACGAACATACGCCATTCAGGCCTGGATAGCAGCGTTTGAAACTGTCATGGATGGATTGTTTTACGTGCACACTTGACCTTGGTTCGTCCAGCATCGTACCCGGGAAATCCTGGTCAGTGAGTCAGCGATTTACTTGCTGGGCCTCGGAGGCTTTCGAGTAATGTTAGAAATGAAATGAAATGAAATAGGGTTTAACTACCTATTTTGCTACACCGACTAGGCCAATGAAGACGGACATACACCCCAAGAGGAATTGTGCCCAGACAGCGTCGCTTCAGACTACTCTCATTTCCAATTCCAGCTGTCAAGGGTTCTTTTACGTGCACCCGGCTAACATCGGTTAGCGAGTCAGTGTCTTACTCACGTATCCACCGCGGCTTCCAAGTAAATTACGAGCTTGGTGATGAGGGACTTGGGCACCCTCCTTAGTCCCCACAATATTAGGGACCTCGGGTTCAATCTATAACTTGTAGAAACAGTCATTATCGGCAGTGAAAAAGCTCCCTCACAATGCACAGTTTAGAAGCAAGATCCCGGATTTTGAAATTAAAATTAAGGAACTCAGATCACCCGAGGTCTAGAAAACAACCTGATAGGGTTATGTACAACCTTCAGCGCCACTAGGTCATGAGATTCCAGAATAAATTATCTTAAAGTCGTTATTTGAGTGTTAGCAAAGTGTGGATCATTTAAAGGAAGATAGTACTGAGCTGGAAGAAGCTGGAAGCATATAGAAAGTCAGCCTTTAAAGCTCATTTGGTCTGATAGAAAAAAAGAACATTTATGTTTATATCCATTCTCATTGATGTATTCACCTGAACCTCCATTCTTTTATCTTATTCCAACCTCTTGGGTTGTCTCTGGGTTCTCCGGTTTCCTTCCACTGCTAAAGACCCCTACGCGCAAGCGAATTATTCGAACAAGATTGAACCATGTTAGTCCCGAAATGACCTGGGTTGTGTCAAGTGGACTTTACCCCCCCCTCTCTCTCTCTCTCAATTTCCGAGGCTATGGCACCGCTGTCCCTACAACATTTCTCCGGTTTCCCCCCACTACTAAAGACCCATACGCGCAAGCGAATTATTGAAATAAAATTGAACCATATGTTAGTTTCAAAATGTGTGTCGAGTGGACACAACATTGTCCCTACAACATTTGCCTCATAGCACACTTCATGCCCGTCCTCATAAGATCGGTTGGTGCAAGAACCCTATTTCATTTCATTTCCCCGTTTGGTGCAGAAAAGTAAGACATTAATTTCTGTCCAATACTAATATATATATATTAAAATATGGTTAAATAAAAGCAATGACGATCGCCAGAAATATATAATAGTTCTCAAGCTATCAGATAAACCCACACAATTGTTCCAATCAATATTCTAAATCTAAAATGGCGGCGTGAGGTCATGTGAGGTTATGAATTAACAGCTGTTCGTTATATACGTCATAAAAAACCAATAAACTATCGTAAAACAGATATACATAAATATAAATATAATCCACTATAAGCACACCATGACGTTTGTTGAACATTTTATTGTAATATCACCCGGTTATGTAAACTTGAATCAACAATCAAATGTCCGATGAGCACTGATATAGTTCAGAAACAACTTTGTAGTAAAAAGTGCTCCGAAAAATTGAATGTTCTATACTTCGGAAATTGATTAAGATGAATTATTGTAACGCCAGACCTTGAAGATATGAGCAGTATTCATGGACGACATTCAATTGCATCAACTAGGCTAAGCTGATTCTGCCCATGCACCTATGGTAGATATTTTGATGGTTGTCAACTGGTCAGAAGAGATTGGTAATCATCAAAGTAGCCATCAAAAAGCTACAAGATTCAGACATTTCGGACCCTTTAGAAGCATTAATTGGGCCAGCCTTCTGCAAATTGAATGAAATGGGAGTTTAACGTCCTACTTTTCTGCAAATTTAAAAAAAAACAAAATGTGGATACCCTTAATGACAGAATAAAGACCGGTTGTTTTAACAAACGGATCTCAATCGAATCCTCAGTATGATTTCAATAAAATCTTACCTCACAATTGCTGATACTAAGCTTTTTTAGGTTCGTCATTTTGTTGACAATATCCCATAACTCATCCATTTCTATAGGAACAAAATGTAAACAGAGAACACCAACCATGGAAGCAAAAACAGTGTATCTGACGGCCAAGACAATCCTAGCTCCTTCTCTCATCGATTCCTCACTGCGAGCATCTTCTAGAGGCAACCCCGAGTTAATCTTTAACGTCACGTTCTTCAGGTTCTCCAGCGCTCTACAAAACGTCACCAAACCTGATGACGTAATGCACCAACAAGCGTTCAATGAAACTTCTTTTAATTTGGGGAAATATCTTGCTATATTTTCTAAGTCAGCATCCATTAGCGAGTATCCTCCATTTATGTGAACGGATTCCAAGTTCCCCAAATTCTGCAGACTGTCCACAACGACACTATTCCATAAAATGGGAAGACGTAGGAGCTTCAGACTGGTCAAATGCTTGACCAGTGCAAAGATATTTTCATAAACCGGGGAGTTCTCCCTCCAGACTAGCTTGTATAGATGGTGTCCATACAGTTTCAGTATCGTGGTGATCAGACTATAGTGGATGTGTGCATTCGGCCCGGGGCTCACGTTCAGCACGCGCCATAAAGAACCGGAATACTGCAATACATGATGCCATTTCTTACAAACCAAAGCCAATCGCGGGAGCTGGTCCTCAACTGGTTGGAAGTAACCGAAAATCCGCACCAAAAGTTCATCTGGCAGATCAAGAATGTGACGTAATGGCGAAGTGTAGTATATGCTCTCGTCCATTGATGACATGCCACTATCTGATAAGGACAACGCCTTCTTTCCTCTTGTGTTAACGGCCATTTTTAGGCCGTGTGGCCGGACGACGTCTCTCTGGTATTTGTTGTTGATTGTATTAGCTCGTCTGCGGTTTGGTTCTAATACGATGATTAGTCATCTATTTACTACACTTAGCGTAGAAATTCCCTCTTCATCCAGCAGCCCACTCCATTCACAAATCGCCCACGTAATACTGAGTCAAACGAATCATAGTGTAGCTCGATAACCCGAAGTCGTGAGTTTGAGCGATCTCGATTCGAAATTCTGTTGCCTTCCTATTCGTCAAATCGACTGGCACTCGTGGCGTTATGAGCAACACACAACAGAAAACAATATAAAAGAATTACGTTGTTTTCAAGATGTTCAAATTTAGTAACTTACAGAGCTTGCCGTTGTTGCGGTAAGTACTAAACCTCACATGCATGGTAGGCCTACTATTGTCAATACTCTAGCAATGCATATGTAAAGTTTATTTAAGTTGTATGGTCGCTGAAATGCATTATCGATTCGTGACGTATAGTTGTGACGTCAATAAAGTATTTAGAGTAAAACCAGCTGTTGAATAAAAGAATTTCAAGTAAAATCAATATATGTATATATATATATATATGTATGTATGTATTTATATTATCTATATCAGCTTTATATATATATGTAACTGACTCCATTTCTATATATATATACACACATGCTGATTAAACGATACATACATATTATACTAATCAAAACACATAGCACTTGTTCAACCTATTTGAACATTTTAACAGATATGATGCAATAGTTTGAACAAGATTCGGTCCTCGGTTCTGTTCTGGCCTAGATAGTTCGCCGGAAAGGCCAGACAGAAACAAAAACAACTGTATCCGCGCCCAGGGGGGAGGAGGGCGTGTGTAGCCTGGCCCTCGGTGGGCGGACTGACGGGCAATCAACCAAGCCAGCAACCGACTCGTTTCGGAGTAAATTACGATTTCCAACCTAAACTGACTGTTAATTCCTTTCCCGCGAGAATATATGGGGTAAAAAAATGTTCGCCACTGCCAAAAATAGGGGAGGGGGGGGGGCGTGCACCGGGTGCGCCCCCCTCCCCCCCGGATCCGCACCTGGCGCCTGGCGCCTGCATATTTCTTAGTTCTGAACTGTTTCGGCTTCTATGCTTCTAACAAGATCATGGAGCCACGGTGACTAAGTGGGTAAGACGCTGGCTCGGTAGTCTGGAGGCCGAGAAAGTTCATCTATTTTCCGACGTGGTTTCCCCTTGTCAGTGATTCAGGACGGAGGGCCTGACAAGGACAGCTGTCTAGTCGTTCGGATGGGACGAAAAACCGAGGTCCCGTGTAAACATTGGCGTGCACGTAAAAGATCCTTTGGCAGTTTGAATTTGATATATGAGTAGGTCGTAGTGCCGCTGCCCGGGCAAAATTTCCCTCATAGCACTCTGTATGGTGGATGCCCGTCTTCATTAGCCCAGTATAGGAGCAGAACAGTAGGTCGTTAAACTGCATTTTCATTTCAATTCACAACAGTATGCCGCGCTCAATCAGATGGCGTTTTTGTGAGTCGATTAGATTAGGTTTTGATTTGCTAGTACGATTTGGTATGATTTCGATTTGATTAGCTATGGTCCACAAATGTGAAATTTGATAATTACGATTTGGTAAGATGGCTGCCATCACGGACACCGATCAGAAAAAAAAATGTCTCTGCTAATTATTGATGACTTGTTAAAGACAAATAAAGGTTATCTACGCAAAAAAGGAAAAATGGTTGCCGTTAGAAACAATCTCCTATGTCCAACAAGTTCAAGTATTTTTTTGAAAACTGAAGTGACAAAACATGTAAAAAGTTTACTGAGAAAACCTAGGATCGAGGAATATATTGAAAAAACTGTAAATGAATAAAATTGCTTAGAGGTGATCTAACATTCTTGTGGACTATAAAGTTAACATTAACACGTCAAATGCGTTTTAAAAAAACATTTTTTATGGAGAAAAACAACAGTAAGCATTAAAAATTACTTACGACGTCGAACATTCCGCCATTTTGAAAAAGTCAAATCTAATCGCCTAAACACCTCCTGGGACGATTAGGTCGATTTGCCTAATCAGTTGAGTTAAATCGTCTGAGAGAGAGAGGGGAGAGGGATAGAGAGAGAGAGAGAGAGAGAGAGAGAGAGAGAGATGTTTAACGTCCATTCGCCACCCGACACAACCTAGAGCATTTCGTAACTAACACAATTTTATTTCAATAATTCGCTTGAACAGTCGGAGGAAACTGGAAACTGGAGCGCTTGGAGTAGACCCACGAGGTGGGACAGACGACCCAACTCCTTGCCACGTACAAGCGGGGAATCGAAACCACGTCACTTTACACAATGACAAATCTTACGATTTCACGCGCACGCGTTAAAATATTTGACCACCCAACTCCCTTTACTCATTAGGAACAAAATAGTTATTATAGGTGATACTCGATTGAACGTTCTGGAATTAAATTCTCTCAATTGAGTGAAAAGGAAAATTTCAGAGTACAACGCATGTGCCGACTGCATAAAAAATATCTCAACCAATCATGACAGCTGAAACATATTTGTTACTTAAAAAAACGTCACGATTCTTCTTACACCACCTCAGCAGATAGGACTAGCAGAACTGTGACAAGACTGAATTCTGTATCACTTGATTGTAATTCTGTCAATTCGGGACGTTCCGGACTGACAATCGAGCACCCTCATAGTATCTCAGACTGCTGATGGTGGGATGCATCATTTCAGCTTTTACCTGATCAGTTAATATCGCCGACTGAAGCGTGGAACGGGCTTTGTACCATGCGGGTTCCAATTGCCACTAGCGTTCTTTTCATCTTCTCTTCTTGCGGAAAGTTCGTTTGTCACCGGGAGCAAACGTTCGTGATAGCAACTTCAAAAGTATTTAAACGAAAAAATAACGAAATTTTTACCAAACATCTGAAAAGGGGGGTCAACAATTTGATAGTGTCGTGAGTTCGAACGTAAAGGAGAAGATTACTCAACAATTTGGGACTCTGATTTCATCAGGAACATGTCGGAACTAGCCCCCAAGCGCCACTTATCTTGCTCTCTTCGACAAAAGCCCATGGCTCAACCTATTCAAGTACGATCGACGTGAAATGAAGCGAATCAATTGACGGCCTTCGATTTTTCATATGACGTCAAAATTTCAAGATGGCTCCCTGTCCACATAGTACTTTAGTACTTGTTTTGATAGAACGAGGTCACCCGCTTCAAAGTTCTCTCGTACCACGGTAAGACAGTGGCGAGAGAGAGGGAGAAATGGGGTTTAACGTCCACTCGACACAAACTAGGTCATTTCGGGACTAACATAGGGTTATAGTGATTGAACATATGAACTTTAGATCATAAGGATTTTGTTTTTCTTTGAGTCCACCTATTTCCTCCCACTGGAAAAGACACCACCATGCCAGCAAATTATTGTATATCGCTTGTGGGTATAGTATTAAGGGGACGGACAAATCTCCATGCATTCATTGAGGCAAGAGAGAGAGAGAGAGAGAGAGAGAGAGAGAGAGAGTTTGACCTCCAATCGACACAAACTAGGTCATTTTTGGACTAACATATGGTTTAATTTTATTTCAATAAACCGGAGGACCCGGAGAAAACCCACGAGGTTGGACAGTCGACCATAATCCTTGTTATGTACAGCCGGGGGATCGAAACCAAGCCAGTTGACTCAATGACATACCTCATGATGCAAGGCGCACACGCTAACCATTCGGCCACCCAAAACAGTGGCGAATTACCCACGGTGCACGTAGAACACCCGAGGTTTGGGTGCCCCTTAAACAGAATACAGAATTGTTTTTTTACTTCACTCCAAAAGGTATTTATTATTCCGTGAAGATGTTTACCATTTCAATCACTAATTGCGCGGATGAAAATGTTCCTTCAGTTGCAAGAAACGAATTAAATCAACCTTGCGTCACACTATTACGTAGGAGTACTGGAGGTGATTTTCCTCACATATTCCTTCATTAAAGCATTTGAGTATTCTGTGATTTGGGTATTCAGTGATTTGAGAATTCAGCGATTTAGGTATTCAATGATTTGAGTATTCAGTGATTTGAGTATTCACCATGATTTGAGTATTCAGTGATTTGAGTATTCGGTGATTTAAGTATACACCATGATTTGAGTATTCAGTAATTTGAGTATTCTGTGATTTGAGTATTCAGTGATTTGAAATTGTACTTTTCAGTATAATCAATATTGTGTTTTCAAATCAATAGAATTTGTTCATATAATTCAATTGCAATATTATAAACGTAACATATTTTTGGGGAGAGGGCTGGACAGTGGCCTCTATTTAATTTAGTGGGCTAGGGCAGTGGGGTTTACCGTCTAGTTCTTATCGAGATTATGCCTTAGGTTTTATACATGTATTGTAACAGGGATCCGCGGTGGCCCAGTGTGTAATACGTCGGCTCGCTAACTTTGGCATCTTCAATAGAAGGCTTGATCTCGCTTTAACTACGTACATCTTATCAAGGCCTTCACGTAATACCCTGCATATTTCGGCACTAATTTCGATTGGGTACAAGCCCAACTTGTGAGCCTATCAGATTCCGCGATCGTCGCGAATACCAAGTCTCGCGCTTTCAAGCTAAAATGTCTACCTGTGATAATCGAGTTGCAAAGTTCAAGGTTCATTCAATGTCAAGGTTTCCGTGGAGGCTGCGATGTCACAACCTCTTATTGGACGCCACGGCTCACTTGTCTGTAGATAACGTAGCTATTAAGTTAGGGAATTGTGAAGTAAACAAACAACGGCCAAATGTTGTGAAACTCGCAGTCGTTGCTTCAGGAACAGGTAACTTTGGATGCATTAGTCAAGAGTTAAATCTGCCTATTGCTGGGTTTCTGTTTTGGCTTTAAATGTTATATAAATTATTATTTAGAAAATTATTCACATGACAAGCCAATAATCAACTCTCTAGACCATCGGATGGCTGAGATTTAAAGAGATTGAAAATACGGTCGCCATTTTATGATTTAATTTAAAAATGGAGAAGCGAGGCTCAGTCTTGAATAACAGTTTGGGCCCTGGGCGAATTTGGGTCACGGGCGAATCGGCACCCGACCTGGGCGAATTTGGGCCCCGAGCGAATTTGGGACCTGGGCGAAGCCGGGTATTCTACTAGTCTTACATGACGCATCTTTGAATTAATAAATATTAGCGTGGAATAACCGTGACAAATGCAGATGGTGCATAGTAAATTTAAACAGCTGTTTTATATCTATATCAATATACTTGTAAATATTCCCACGTTTATTGAATAGACCATGAATCATTCAACTCTTTACGTCATAACTTACTGTAAACACACAGAAAATAAACACTGGCCACCTGAAAAATTCGGTAAAATATTTCAAATATGTAATGAATAAATAAATGTGAAAATGTTTGTGTGGTCTTACGATCAAACAGAAAGTTAGGCGTCGCTCACATTCTGGTTAAGGAACAGATTTGAGCATCTATCAAAAAAACGAGGAAATGAAATGAAATGGGGTTCAACGTCCTACTGTTCTGCTCCGACTGGGCTATTGAAGACGGGCTTACGTCAAACAGTGCGCCAGGAGGGAAATTTTGTCCGGACAGTCGCGCTATAGCCTACTGTTATATCGAATTCAACGCCAAAGTGTACCATCCCATCCCAAGTTGCATGCTGGTGGTTCTTGCTATAATATCTCAAAAAGAGATAATGAAACATGAACAATATCTAACATTTCAATCAAATTACGGAGTAAAGTTATGAAAATTTTAAGTTTGGACAAGAAATAAACAATAATTGGTAGATGGAAATCGGTCATATTAGTGTTTAACGCAGATATGGTGGCCATTGTCTACTCCACTCAACATCTAAGACATCCGATAGCCTAGAGAGTTCATTATGGACTTGTCATGTGAAAAATGTCTAAATAATTTTTATAACATTTCAAGCCATTAACTCGCTGGAAATAGGCTAATTTAACTCTAGCATAATTCCTCTTTAATTTTAGCCAATTCAACATACGAGTTAATTTTAAATCTTGACATAATTAAAATCGGCTAAAATCGATGAACAGAAAGCAGATATAAAAGTTCAGTAAAACGCTCCAAGAACAGATCCCTGTGGCGCTCCACGTATTGAAGACATGGTGTATCAAATCAAATGATCGACAAATAAGATCTAGGCCATCGAAGAGCCAATTATACCAAATAAGAATTTAACCAGCGAAATAATACCATTCATTTATTACCAATGTATTATAGAAATATTACTTGTCTATTCTACGGTAATGACGACACTATCTCCAGACATCAACATCGATATTTTTCAATCGTTTCACTCCGTAAAATACAACCATAAAACCGTGTGGTGAGGAATTTATTTTTTAAAATTATCTACTTATTTGTACCATAACTAAAATAGTGTAATTAGTTTTTGTCTGTATCATACCACAAACCTAGTCTACTTGGCTTGTTTTTGTACCCTATTCTTTATGTTTTAAATTGTAAAATATTTTCAAAATAAATACTGTTTAACCTATCCTGTTCAATTATAAGGCATGGACAATTATTGTGTCACCCTGGTGAGTAGTAGTCCCTGAATGTTTTGAGGGACCCAAGCGCTAAAAAGAGAGAGAGAGAGGGAGAGAGAGAGAGGGAGGGAGGGAGAGAGAGAGAGAGAGAGTTAGTTTAAGGTCCACTCGACACAAACTAGGTCATTTCGGGACTAACATATGGTTTCATTTTTTTTCAATAATTCGCTTGCACGTAGGGGTCTTAAAGGGCTAATCCCGATAATTTTTTGGAGAATAAAACTGTTTAATTTTGTTTTAAAATCCCTGAAAATCCTCTACCTAAGGGCCGAGCAACTAACTCAATATTTGTGACAAGTTTTCAAATAACTGAAATCCGTCAGTCTTCATCTGGAAATGGAGACCAGTATCCCAAGCTGTATTATGCGGTGTCTAGATAAAACCAGACATTTTCTGTATAAAAATAATGTGTAGGTGAAATTTACCTTTCATTATCAAGTACAGCATTTGGGTCATTCACTGTATAGACCTCTCAAGGAACGGGAATCGATTATCAGGTCTCCCAACGAAAAAATTGACCCCAAATCTTAAAAGGGTTACGTGTCCGGATAAGCAGTTTTGATGGTCACGTCCAAACGACTCAATATTTTGAGCTGGAATTTTGAGATACGGTCCATACACCATTCCTCTATAGTTTGGCGTTTAAATTTCATACATACTCAGACTTTTATTTTTGAGACTCTGTTCAAATAAGGGATAGTCCCTTTAAGCAGTGGGAGGAAACTGGAGGAACCAGAGAAAACCCACGCAGTTTTACAGGTAATCTTAATAAATACAATCAACACAACTGTTAATATCAAATTATTTTATTATCCATTTCGTAAAACATCTATTTTATTGATAATATCTTGTAAGAGATTATCCAGTCCTTTACATAATTCTTCTATTGATGATGGTAGCGTCTGGTTGACTGGGTCTGTATGATGTTGCTGAAACAAAATTTAATTTTCTATCATTATCAATAAAATATGAAAATGAAATAAAATGGGGTTTAACATCCTACTGTTCTGAACCCACTGGGAAATTTTGCCTGCAGCGATGTGGCCTACTCTTTTGATTTCCAAATGTCAAAGGCCCTTTTATGGTCAATTCTATGACTATACGTTGTCCATTGCCAGGCCCTTTGTCCTACACAACTGACAAGTTGGAACAAAAACGAAAAATCTCAATGTACTTTCTGGGTCATCTGTAAGATTGATTACCGCATCCAGGGTTAGCTGAGCTAATATCTTACTAATTTTCTTACCCGCATTTTAGTAACAACGCCCTTTATCATTAATTTAGCTGATGATAAATTCTGTAATTTTAATGTTTTATCTGTAATATTCTCCGAACATGTTATATACACTGAAAATACAAGAGAAGAATTCATTACAAATAACTAACATTATTATTATTATTATACATGTGTATTCAGGTGACCTTTCCAATAAATATTGAAAATATATAAATATGTATAAAATCAGTGAAAAATAAAGAAATAAATATAAAATAAGTAAGAGAGAGACAGAGAGAGAGAGAAAGAGAGAGAGAGAGAGAGAGAGGAGAGAGAAATGGGGTTTAATGTCCACTCGACACAAACTAGGTCATTTCGGGACTAACATATGGTTCAATTTTATTTCAATAATTCGCCTGTGCATAGGGTCTTTAGCAATGGGAGGAAACCGGAGGGCCCGGAGAAAACCCACGAGGTTGGACAGGCGACCCTACTCCTTGTCACATACAACCAGGGAATCGAAACCATGCCAGTTGACTCAATGACAGACTTTATGATACAGTGAGCATGTGCTAACTATTCAGCCATCCAACCCCGCCAGTAAAATATAAATATAAATACAAAAAAAATACATGAACAAAATAGTACGTCACAATCTTCCAACAATAATCAAGGTAAGACCACCTCCCAACCCCCCACCACACCCTAGTCCCCCAAAATAGTATGTCTCAATTTTCAATACAGTAATCAAGATAAGACCCCCCCCCCCCCAACCTCAATTTAAAAAAAAAAACCCCAACAAATTATGGTTAAATGGTAGGTCAAAATTAAATATTCTTTTGTGGTGTGTGTGTGTATGTGTGTAGGTGGGTGTGTGTGTGTGTGTGTGTGTGTGGGAAGAAGAAAAATGTAAAGGGTCTGTGATTTTGAGGGGGGTTGGATGGCCGAATGGTTAGCATGTGCGTGCTGTCATTGAGACAACTGGCGTGGTTTCGAATCCCCGGTTGTATGTGACAAGGAGTAGGGTTGCCTGTCCAACCTTGTGGGTTTTCTCAGGGTCCTCCGGTTTCCTCCCACTGCTAAAAACCCCTACGCACAACCGAATTATTGAAATAAAATTAAACCATATGTTAGTCCCGAAATGACCTAGTTTGTGTTGAGTGGACGTTAAACTCTCTCTCTCTCTCTGATTTTGACTCCATACAGTAGGGTCGGTCTGAGTAAATTTAAACACGGGTATTTGGAGTGGCTCTAATAAAGTTGTCTTTATACCTTTAAATTGTACTGTGTAAACAACCCAGAAATACCAAAGCTGAAAAATGATAGGATAAGTGAAAATATTTCCTACATTTAGCCAGTTCCGTTGATTGTTCCGTAGTTTCTGTACAAGTTTTCTCATCTTTCTCCCAGTTTGACGTCTGTACAACACAACGATGAGATTTCTGTAAATACTGCAAACCCTATAAATACACAAAATATAGTTCTATTATACACACCTTGCTTTTCTATTTTCATCCAGGATTTTCCTGGATTTCGACTAATCGTTTTTGCTGTATCATCCGACACTTTGGCCAACATTCAATAGAGAGAGGGAGAGAAATGGGGTTTAACGTTCAGTCGACACAAATTAGGTCATTTTGGGACTAACACATGGTGCAATTTTATTCCAATAATTCGCTAGCGTGTAAGGGGCTTTAGCAATGGGAGCAAACCAGAGGACCCGGAGAAACCCACGGGGTTGGACAGGCGACCCTCCTCCTTGTCACATACAACCGGGGAATCAAAACCACGCCATATGACTCAATGATAGACCTTATGATAACCATTGGGCCATCCAATTCCCCCCCCGCCCCCAACATTCAATACATGTATTTAGAATATTTCATATCATAACCCAACCAAAATCTGGTGTACTTCTCTTCAGAGAAGATTATATTTTTTTTTTCAATTTACGTCTATACTCTCCGTCTGATCTACGCCTGTGTACTAATCTGTACTCTGTACAGGACGGGGATCACGTGGCTAAGTGGGTAAGACGCTGGCTCGCTAGCCTGGAGGTCGAGTGTTCAATCCCTGCATTGGCCGAGAAAGTTCATCCAGATTTTCCGGCGTGGTTCCCCCTTGTCAGTGATGCAGGTCGGAGGGCCTGACAAGAACAGCTGTCTAGTCCTTTGGATAATATGAAAAACCGAGGTCCCGTGTATACATTGGAATGCACGTAAAAGATCAATTGGTAGTTGGAATTCGATATAAGAGTAGGCGATAGTGCCGCTGCCCGGGCAAAATTTCCCTCATAGCACACTGTATGGCGTATGCCTGTGAGCAGAACAGTAGGACGTTAAACCCCATTTCATTTCATTTCATTTCTGTACAGGACGTCATAATTGATAGTTACATGTCAGAGGTCGATGGTAGCTATGTTTAAAAAATGGGGTTTTAAAAAAGATTTTTACAGTGTTAAACTTGCCACTTAAAGAATTAGTGTTAAACTTGGCGAATAGGTCCAACAGGTCCAGAGAAATGTCGGTCAATTTTTAAGACATATAGTCAAGCCTGAGTTGGAATCCATGGATCCAGCAGTTTGGTCAGATTGGTCAGTCCAACATTTTTAGCTCTTTATAAACAGAGTGTTGCCGATCCTTTCTTTCAGTCAAATATTTGTTAAACAAATAATAATTAGAGAAAATAAAAAGCCTGTTACTTTACCTTTTCTATATTTTCTGGTTTATTGTTTAATAAAATTAATCTGGCATACAATCTCCAAATATCACCATTACCAGTAGTCTATAGAAAATGTAAAACAATTAATTATAGAGTTGATCTAGTGGAGAGGAGAGGAGAGATGAGGGAGAGAGAGGGTGGAGAGGGGATCATAGGAGGGGTGAGGGAGAGGAGAGGAGAGGTGCGGGAGAGAGAAGGCAGAGAGGGGATCATAGGAGGGGTGAGGGAGAGAGAAGGCAGAGAGGGGATCATAGGAGGGGTGAGGGAGAGGAGAGGAGAGGGTGCGGGAGAGAGAAGGCAGAGAAGGGGATCATAGGAGGGGTGAGGGAGAGGAGAGGAGAGGGTGCGGGAGAGAGGAGGGGTGCGGGAGAGAGGAGGCAGAGAGGGGATCATAGGAGGGATGAGGGAGAGGAGAGGAGAGGGTGCGGGAGAGAGGAGGGGTGAGGGAGAGAGAAGGCAGAGAGGGGATCATAGGAGGGGTGAGGGAGAGAGAAGGCAGAGAGGGGATCATAGGAGGGGTGAGGGAGAGTGAGGGTGGAGACTCGAAAGTGGTTTCAGGTCCACTGCACACAAATTAGGTCATTTCTGGACAAACTTACCTTAGATTTCTATTTGCTTGTATTTAGGTGTCTGGATAGAGAGAGAGAAATGGGGTTTAACGTCCACTCGACACAAACTAGGTCATTTCGGGACTAACATGTGGTTTGATTTTATTTACATAATTCGCATGCGCGTAGGGGTCTTTAGCAGTGGGAGGAAACCAGAGGACCCGGAGAAAACCCACGAGGTTGGACAGGCGACCCTACTCCTTGTCACGTACAACTGGGGAATCGAAACCACGCCAGTTGACTTAATGAGAGACTTTATGATACAGCGTGCACACACTAACCATTTAGCCATCAAATCCCCCTTTAGGTGTCTTGAGCAGTGGAGAGGAAACAGATGAACCCGGAGAAAACCCACAAGGTTAGGCAGGTGACTCTACTCCTTGTCATGTACAAGCTTGAGATTGAAACCATGTCCTTTCACTCAATGACAGACATTATGATTTAAAGCAACAGGTCCTGTAGTGAGTATTTGTATAGATAAAGAATATATGTCATTTGTATTTATTGTCTGCTTATAAAGAGACTTCAGTACGAACGAATAGACCCATTGCATTGCCCGAGACCCTTAGTTCTGCAAAACTGACAGCAGCTCCATATTCACTGAAGATTACAGAATCACTTCCTATTTTATTTCAGGAAAACTGATATAGAATTTACCTTGGCTGTAATCCGACCAAAAAGTTCTTGAACTTTAGGTTGCAGTCGTTTACATGGTTGACCTTTCTTATCATCTAAATCGTCTTCGATACATCTTACCAACACTTTCAATACCTACAATATATTACATGCAATTATAGAATAGATTGCCAAATTGACAAATGTTAAACCAAAACTACAATTTTCTAGATATTTTAAGTCTCTTCACAATTTTCTAGACGATCTTGTGAAAAACTGGCAACATCCGTCTTCATACTATGAACTGGGCACTGTTTCTCGAAATCTTAACAAAAGATAAAATCCAATTTTAGTAGATACTTTAATTTTGATTGGCTAAGCACTAAAATCAATCTAATAACATCTAATCAAATTACTAAAATTTGGATTTTATCTTAGTTAAAATTTCGTGAAACAGGCCCCAGATCCTGTTCGTTTAATGGACAAGGGGAGACCACTCTAAAGAAATTCTACTTACTTCTACATCCACCCATTTATCTTTGATATCCATTAATCTGTTATACGCTAATATCACATCTTGAAACTCTCCACAATCAGTTCCTATCTAAAAATACAATCAACTTTTTTAACAATAATTCATCATCTTGTCAGATCTTACTTTTGTTTCATTCTTAAAAATGCACCTGCGTTTGTTTTTTTTTGTTGTTGTTTTTTTTACCAAATATCACATATTGTTATTTATGACATGTACATCTATACTAACATTTGTGACTGTCGTTTGTCTGTCTGTTTGTCTGTCTGTTCGGGGTTGGCGGCTAAACTAGGTCTGCCCCGAGTCTGAAATTTGGGGTATAGGGGAAGCTCGGACCGGGGAGTAACATAAGCCAGGTGGCGTAAGTCTACCACTTCCGGTTTCGGAGTTATGACCCCCAAGCGAAGCCGGGCATTCTGCTAGTGTGTTTATATTCTAGGCTGTCCTCAGTGGATGTTTCAATACAATAAAACAATCTTATCTTATAAGCACAATGAGACCAACAAATGGTAATATTATTTATATGATTATGTGGCTGAACAGAAGTTGGGGAATTTTTCCCTGACAGCAGGGTTTCTAACTAATCTACTATCCCAAATGTGAAGTTTTTTTTAAATTTTCATGCAAATGTGAACCTAAGGAAGAGGCCCGGACAAAAAGTCGTGGAGGTTCATCTTGATCTGAGCCACGATTAAAACCTGACACATTCCAGTCCAGTGCCTTACCCACTTGACTACCACCCTTACCCACTTGACTAACACCCCTACCACTTGACTTCCATCCCTACCCACTTGACTACCACCCCTACATCTTGACTACCACCCCGACCCACTTGACTACCATCCCTACCACTTGACTACCACTCCCACCCACTTGACTACCACCCCCACCCACTTGACTACCATCCCTACCACTTGACTACCACTCCCACCCACTTGACTACCACTCCCACCCACTTGACTACCACCCCCACCCCATATAACCAACACCCCGTACCACGCACACCCCTTACCAATTGACTACCGTCCCCACCCCCTACCAATTAGCTGTGGAGGAAACTAGGGCACGTGGATAAAACTTGTCAGGTACCAGCAGGTGTCAGGTACCAGCAGGTAAGCAAAAATCATGCTACTTGACTCAATGACAGATCTTATGATCCCTTGCTCCAGCATTAAACCATTCCCCCCCACACACACCCCCACCCCCCATCTCCCCGAACTAAAATAAATGGTAAAACTATATTGATTCGCTCATAGATAGGTTTCTGACAGAAACAGGAAAATATATTCAAGGAATGGGTCCGGAAGCAAAGAAATAAGACCTTAATTTTCATATTATAGATTCTTAATGCACGTAATAATTTCAAACATATTGATTATTGACCGGGTTGTTGTCAATATGGAGTTATTAATTCCATTATTTTCGAATGGCAAAATACTAGTAAAATGTCCAAATCATATATATATTATATAAGGACTCCGGGCCCTTGAGAGATCCCCGCCCTCTTTATATGAGATATAATTGATAACTTACCACCATCATATTATCCCACAGCTGCCATGATTCATAATTATATTTTATAGCTTCTTTCATTGTTAAAAACGCTTTAGATCTGAAAGAGATAAATTGACAAATTAGATAGAGAATTTAGTGTACACTTCAGTGTGAACTGGGGGCTTACCGAGAGAGAGAGAGAGAGAGAGAGAGAGAGGGTTTAACGTCCACTCGACAAAAACTAGGCCATTTTGGGACTAACACCTGGTTCAATTTTATTTCAATAATTCAAATTGTCGATTGGAATGTAATGAGGCTTAAATGTTTCGTCCTTACAAAACGTACGGTTATATTTGCTTCCATAAAAATATGACTTTTTTTTTGATCCTTGAGAAAGAAATGATGTACGCCATCTTCATATTAGAGTAGGATGTTAAACCCCCTTTTCATTTCATAAGTCACCCCAAAATGTTTTCCAATTTATATTATAATTAAATTGGGTTTTTATATCCTACTGCCCTACTCCGACTGGGCTAATGAAGACGGGCATCTGCCATACAGTGTGCTATGAGAGAAATTCTGCCTTGACAACGACACTATGGTCTAAAGGGTTCATCCCATCCAAACAATTCAGCCTTGTCCTTGTCAGGCCCTCCCGTACAGCATCACTGGCAAGGGAGAACCATGCTGATAAATCCTGAAGTACTTTTGCGGTCAATACCAGAAGCAAACCCGAGACCTCCGGGTTAACGAGACAGCCCCTTACTGACTGTTTTCCGCCGTAGTTCCTACTTGTCAGTGATGCAGGACAGAGGGCCTGACAAGGACAGCTGTCTAGTCTTTCGGATGGGATGGAAAACCGAGGTCCTGTAAAACCATTGGCGTGCACGTAAAAGATCCTTTGGCAGTTGGAAGTCGATATAAGAGTAGGCTGTAGCGACGCTGTCCGGGCAAAATTTCCCTCAAAGCACACTGTATGGCGTAGCCCATCCTCATTAGCTCAGTTTAGGAGCAGAACAGTAGGACGTTAAACCCCATTTTATTTCCTTATTGACCGTGATTCCCCCAGTCTATATTATAAAGTGATGTATAAATATATGATCTTACTTCTGTTTTAGTTTTATATAAGCTGTACCCAAGTTATTCCAAGCTTCAAAATTCTGGAAGAAAAAAACAAAAAAAACATGTAATTGGTTATCCTTGAATGACATTTAGAGAGAGAGAGAGAAATAGGGTTTAACGTCCACTCAATAAAAACTAGGTCATTTCAGGACTAATATATGGTTCAATTTTATTTCATAGATTCGCTTGCATGTGGGAGGAAACCGGATGAACCAGAGAAAAACCCATGAGGTTGGAAAGGCAACCCAACTCCTAGTCACGTACAACTGGGGAATCGAAACCACGGCAGTTGACTCAATAACAGACCTTATGATACAGCGCGCACGTGCTAACCATCTGGCCATCCACCCCCCATGACATTTACTAAGAATAATGTAATTGGTTTATAAAATATTTTTTTTCATCCGTCTTCAATAGCCTGGTAGGTCAGTGTCGCAAGGTGGAGGTTAAACCACATTTAATTGGCTAGATCTATTTGTTAAGGCCAACTCACTAAGGCCACAGATCACTAAACATTTGCCCATTGATTTTAATGTTAATTCTCGTCTCTTAGACCGGCTCTAACTTTTTCCCAAATTTTCGTTGGGTAGAACGCTTTCTACCACAGATGGAGCAACATGTGGCAACCTCTTGCCCAAAAGCACGTATGAGGTTCACCATGGAAAACTTGAGATACACAAGCTGGAAGTAGAGACAAGAAAACATGCAATTTTGGACCCTACATTTCAACCTAACCAACCTCTCAACTCTTGTATCCTTCCGCCTCAAAATCATGAATATTCACCAAAACCTGGTAGAAAATGTATTTTCAAACCCTTTTCTTCGATTCTACACCAAAAAGTCAACAAAAAACCGCCATGCAAAAGGGGAAAAAGGGAAAGGGAGAGAAAGACTAAATCACACCATAAATGATTATCTCCCTTGACACAAGTGAAGACTGGGAACTTGACATTTCAAATTCAAACATTCAGAAAAAGTGTTAGCTGTGTGCAGTTCTAAAGAAGTGGTATGAGGAGGTATTATTAACTTACATCAGAATCTATCATAACACATCTCTTAAAACCTTTAACAGCCTTTTCATATTTATGTGTTGTCAAGGCGATACAACCATATGTAAACCAGACAGGTATCTAGGTAAATAAAAAGAAAGAAGAAACTAAAAAAAAATAACTTGATCTTCTAAACCATTTTAATCCTTTAGAGGCTTGATGGAGAAGCGAGGCTAAGTCTCGAATATTCCAGCACCATGGTTACGACAATAAACAATCAATGCACACATCTTGTCAAAACTACAAACAGTGATAACGTCACTCAGAATAAAGTAATTTGATAAAATTTTCAATATATTCATTTTACATTATCTATGTTTGAACTATTAAAACAAGAAAGGCTAGCTCTTTATCTAAATCTTACATAATGTATCTTTAATGTTTTTTAAGACCTGATTGTAATTTCTAATTAATTATGTTCTGTGAAATATATGTGTAGTCCAAATTGAATGGCAGTTGCTCGCATCTGGTTAGTCCAGTCTATATCAGAAGTACCTTTTGACATTTCACTTATGACGCTGAATATTTGCCTTTTACATCAAGACGGAGCATATACAACTAGCACTAGATCATTTGATATCCAATCAGATTAAAATACAGATCTTTAGTGCGTTTCGTTTTTTTTATACTTTCGATGGCCTCTTTGGGAGGTCGCATCTGAGGTCATACGAGCGGCTTTTGACCCTATGACATCACACATTTGATTAATCGATCAGCATTGATGTTTCTAGTGGATTACCCACAGTTCAGTGCACCTCACGCCAAAAGCTAAGCCCTAACAGACCATTACATCATTTAGAATACGTCAATGATAACAACTTTCCCGATCCTAGTGTAGTAAAGACAAGTAAAACAAAATTTTGAACTATAAAAAACTAAACAAAATAGGATCTGTGTTTTAACCAGATTGATAGATATCAGGAGTCCATATTTTCAAGGTAAGATAACAAAATCAATATTGATTGAAATGGACAAATATTTAAAATGCAGATCCTATTTCGTTTCGTTTTTTATAGTTCAAAATTTTGTTTTACTTGTCTTCACTATACTAGCATCTGGAAGAGTTGTTATATAACACGTGTTCTACTCAATGACAGACCTAATGATTCAACGCGCAGATGGTAATGTCGAAGAGTTAGAGCTTAACGTCCTTTTACCTACCTGTAGAGAGTTAATTTATCTACCTGTAGAGAGTTAATTTACCTACCTGTAATGAGTTAATTTACCTACCTACCTGTAGAGAGTTAATTTACCTACCTACCTGTAGAGAGTTAATTTACCTACATGTAGTGAGTTAATTTACCTACCTGTAGAGAGTTAATTTACCTACCCGTAGAGAGTTAATTTACCTACCTGTAGAGGGTTAATTTCAAGAGATTTCTCAAAACAATCTAAAGCTGTTTCGTAATCTTGCTTCGTAAAATACAGAAATCCCATACACCTCATAGATCTAGCACTTCTGTGATTGGATAATTCCCAGGCTTTCTGATACCATTGTACATCATTAGTTACGTCACCAAGGAAACAGTATAAATTAGGCGTTTCCTGTTTGGCTAACTGTTCTCGTATTATTACTTCTACCTGTTGATAAAATAACAAGTTATGTTTACATTTAATTAATCGTCCACACATGCCTGGAAATAAGGCACCTATCACAGACATTGTTCTGGCAAGAATTTCGGTTTTGTCAGGCACAATTCTTCTGGCATCTGGCATTTTGTTTGGCACTGAGGTTTGGAGTCCGCTTGACACAAACTAGGTCATTTCGGGACTGACATATGGTTCAATTTTATTTCAATAATTCGCTTGGGCATAGGGGTCTTTAGCAGTGGGAGGAAACCTGAGGACCCAGAGAAAACCCATGAGGTTGGATAGCCGACCCTACACCTTGTCACGTACAACCGGGGAATCGAAACCACGGCAGTTGACTCAATGACAGGCCTTATGATACAGTGCTTGCACTAACTATTCAGCCATCCAACCCCCCAAGACTTTCTTTGAACGTTTTTACAGGGATTCCATTGATCCAGGGTAGTTAATATTGACATGTACCAAGTGCTAAGAGAGAGAGATAGAAATGGGGTTTAACGTCCACTCGACACAAACTAGGTCATTTCTGGACTAACATCTGGTTTAATTTTATTTCAATAATTCGCTTGCGCATAGGGGTCTTTAGCAGTGGGAGGAAACCGGAGGACCCGGAGAAAACCCACGAGGTTGGACAGGCCCAAGTGCTAAGAATTTAACAAAATATGTGGAGTAAATTAATTGAAACATTAAAATTAGAATATTACCTGATCAAGTTTGCCCATTCTCTGATAACACGGTATAGCTTCATCCCACATCTCAAGAGATTCATATAAATCTTTAGCTTGACTTGTACAACCTAATGACAGTAGTAGATACCCTAACTCTTTCTATAAAACAAATACAAAAACCATTAGCTTGACTTGTACATCCTAACGACGGTAGTAGATACCCTAACTCTTTCTATAAAACAAACACAAAAACCTTTAGCTTGACTTGTACAACCTAATGACAGTAGTAGATATCCTAACTCTTTCTACAAACGAACAAACAAACACAAAAACATTTAGCTTGACATGTACAACCTAACGATCTACTGTAGATATCCTAATTCTTTCTATAAACAAACAAATGAAATGAAATGGGGGTTTAACGTCCTACTGTTCTCCTCTGACTGGGCTAATGAAGACGGTCAGGTATAAAGACATACATGTAAATATTTAGCTTGAATTGTACAGACTTACAGGCTTAGAAAAGAAAATGTAAAAAACAAACAAATATTGACGGCCTATCTGAGTCACGTCAAATAATTACGTGTACGTATGACAAATGGTTCCAATTAAACAGAGGTATATGACATACCAATTAATGAAAAATTTGTAAATTATGGAGAATTCACTGAAGATTTGGTTTCAGCTTCAAAAGATAGGTTGCCACGCAACGAAACATACGCCCACAGCAGCTAAATCGTCCAGGCAGTCAACAAGAGTTGTCAACATTTTTACTTTTTTCAGTAATGAAACATTTATAATACACTAAAATGTGATTAAGAGTAACAACTCATTCAGTAATTATCAGAAAATCATTAGAATTTGTTTTGTCCATGCTAACGATTAGTATACAAAACATTTAACATCATGGATTTAGCTGTTCAAAAATCATTGAAAATCAATATACTTGTTTGTCTCAAGACCTTAAACACTGTGTATCAATCTAAAGTCAATCGAAATGATTATATATAGGCGTAAACACGGTGCATAAATATAAAATCAATCAGATAATAACTACATGTATGGTCTCTAAAGCATCCAAAAGATTTTTCAAAGTGATCAAGGGTAATAAACTCTGGCAGTAATTATGGGAAATCGGTGAAAATCAATAGGCTTCCTCGTCGCATGACCTTAAACACTCTGTATAAATTTAAAGTCAATCGGATATTAACTTAACCTCTAGAGTGTCCATGTGGACGCGGGTCGGTCGTCCGGATGGATGGACGGGGGCAACGACAACATACAACCACGACAAGTACAGTATCATGAAATAACTAATCACAGATCTATTATTTATTTACCTTTAAATTCCAGATACTTGGAACGCGATTAGCGTAGAAAAGTTGTATTCTGTCTATATTACTACTTTCACTTCTACTAATTTGATTAACAAGTTCCTGTAAATATACAAATAGTCAATATTACTTTCATATACATAATTTTACCAACATTCACATACCCTAACCTTATTTACACCTCAGCAACCTTGACGAAAATAGAGTTGGCCTTAACAAATAGATCTAGCCAATTAAATGTGGTTTAACCTCCACCTTGCGACACTGACCAGGCTATTGAAGACGGATGAAAAAAAATATTTTATAAATCAATTACATTATTCTTAGTAAATGTCATGGGGGGTGGATGGCCAGATGGTTAGCACGTGCGCGCTGTATCATAAGGTCTATTATTGAGTCAACTGGCGTGGTTTCGATTACCCGGTTGTACGTGACAAGGAGTAGGGTCGATTGTCCAACCTCGAGGGTTTTCTCCAGGTCCTCCGGTTTCCTCCCACTGTTAAAGACCCCTACGTGAAAGCAATTTATGTCTCGGCTCAATCTGGTTAAAACACAGATCCTATTTCGTTTCGTTTTTATAGTTCAAAATTTCGTTTTACTTGTCTTTACTACACTTGGATCTGGAAGAATTGTTATTTAACTTGTGTTCTGGATGGTGTCAGGGATAAGCCAATGAAACGGTCTGTTACAGCGAGCTTTAGGCGTGTCTTTAACGGAACTGTGCGTAATCCACTAGTAACATCAATGCTGATTGGTTAATCAAATGTCTGACGTCATAGGGTCATAAGTCGGTCTTTTGACCCCTGACGTGACCTATCGTTATAACTTGTCAGATCTTCATGTAATGTTGGCCATCGAAAGTATAAAAAAAAGAAACGAAATATAGATCTGTATTTTAATCGGTCTCGGCTGGATTGAATCTGATTTAAACAAGGCCCATCAGGTTTCTTGGTTACCAATAAAAGATGGCAGCGTCTTGTTACGCTCGTGCAGCATGGATCAATGAAATTTCAGGTTATCATAACTTTGTAAATACTGATATTTCAACTGATATTCCTAATGGAGATTCAACTTTCACAATATTGTAGTGTGCACAGGATTCCTTTAGTACTAAAATGACGCATCAAGTCTTTAAGCTTCAGTAAAAATTAGAGGTTGTTTGAAAAGATGCAACAGACGATCAGCGCCTTTAACATTGATAAAGTAGTAAACAAATAGAGTGGGGACCCTTAGGGAGTATATTTTATCGTTAATACCATCGACTATATAAAGGGGACAGCTGCACATTCTCAATTAAGCCTGAGGAGTTTGAATTAGTCGCTTGCAGAGAGAAATCTATGAAGGCTGGTCGTCACTCTACAGATTTTCAATTTTGATAGGGGGTCACGGTGGCTAAGTGGGTAAGACACTGGCTCGCTAGCCTGGAGGTCGGGTGTTTGATCCCTGCATTGGCCGAGAAAGTTCATCCAGATTTTCCAGCGTGGTTCCCCCTTGTCAGTGATGCAGGACGGGGGGCCTGACAAGGACAGCTGTCTAGTCATTCGGATGGTACGAAAAACCAAGGTCCCGTGAACACATTGGCATGCACGTAAAAGATCCCTTGACAGTTGGAATTCGACATAAAAGTAGGCTGTAGTGCTGCTGTCCGGGCAAAATTTCCCTCATAGCACACTGTATGGCATATGCCTGTCTCATGATACAATAGATGTACTATCTCACCTCCAATTGCATCATAGATCTTTCAACACGTCGTCTACTATCCCTCTCTAACTTAGATCTTAACTTTAAACCAACCACTCCAACATTCCAATTACATAGCTGACTTAATATACACTGTAATAACATGACACAAATATACACTCCATGTAATAAATTTACATAATTATACACTTAAAATAATACAATGATGTCAATATACACTCACAGACGCAGATCCAAGGGAGGGCACACACGGTGCACGCCTCCCTATTTTTTTGCGGTGGCGAACAATTTGCGGGAAAGGGGAACAAAAATATTTACTCCGAAACGAGCCAGTTGGTGAATTGGTTGATTTTCAGTCTGCCTGCCAAGGGCCGGGCTTCGCACTCCCAAGTGGGGGCAGCATTCCCCCCCCCCCTTCTGAAAATCCTGGATCCGTACACGACTCATGATTATTATACACTTAGTGTAATACAATGATGACAATATACACTCATAATTATACACTTAGTGTAATACAATATCAAAATACATTCATTATTATACACTTAGTGTAATACAATATCAAAATACATTCATTATTATACATTTAGTGTAATACAATATCAAAATACACTCATAATTATACACTACAATAATATATACACTGTAATAATATTATAAAGTCTTTTTGGGTTATTTTTGTTTGTCAAGTTATTATTACCTATATTACAATGTTTATTTTGACATATAAACAAATATTGTATGTAATAAAAACTGTGCCGTATATTTAATACAATTCTGTCCATTCTTTAAGAAGGTATTTGTATTTTGGACATGCTTAGTTACATTACATTAAGATAGTATGTGAATGGTCTGGCTCCTTATGCTTTAATGTGTGTGGAATTTCATATTAATAATAGATCATTTTGGGACTAACGTATCGTTCTAGGGGTCTTCCGCACTGGGAGGAACTGAAAAACCCCAGAGAAAACCCATGAGGATAGCAAGGCAACTCTATTGCTTGTCATGTAAGTGTGTGGGATTACAAAAACTATACCAGGACTCAATGAGAGGCCTATCTTAAAGCTACAATTTCATATTTTTAAGTTATATTTTTAAAATTTATTAAAATAAAGCCTTAAAATAGATGGTATCCATAAACAGTCCTACCTTGTTAAAGAATAATCCTATTAATCCTATAATTCACTATTGCCAGTTGAGAAATTGGCAAAAATATCATTTTCAACTTCAAATTCAAATGTTTGAACATAGCTATTCCATGGAGGTAATAGGAAAACAAGGGAGGTAATTGTGTTATTATTTCCTGTGTCAATGATTATTAAGGGTGGGAAATAATGCCCATGATCGTATAATAGTGATTTGATAACCTATTGAGCAAAAGATATAGAAATAATTATGTTTTGACTTTCTTAGAAAATATGAAATTCTCGCCTTAAGCAAATGTTTTAGATGATTCGACGATCAACCCCTTATAAATAATAAGATGACTTACACTTAAATATGTTAAAATTTCTTCATCAGTTAATCGTTCACTGGCCAAACTTCTTCTATACGCTTCCCTAGAAATTATAATATATAACCATGATATAACAGCTTAACTAGCAATTATAATATATAACCATTATATAATAACATAAAAGCTTCTATAAGCTTCCCTAGAAATTACAATATATACTATTCAAAAAAAGTAGGGGATATTTGATTTTGGGGGCATAATACTAAAATATGCAAATGACTACGAAAAAAGTCACTATAGAACCTAACAGAAGAAACATTTCCAGTTACATGTGACGCCCAAACGCACCAATAGATACCGCATGGAATGCAGGTGATGCTTGGGATCATCATGGGGGTCCGACCCAAGATTTGCACGACTCTGACTTTGAATGTTACAGTCATTGTGGCATTGAATTCCAGGGTGGAAACATCAGTTTAATTGTTTTAGTGACCAGAAAACAAATTTTGATATGCGTCGGCTTACCCAAAATGAAAGGTTACGTGCCCTTGGCATGCTACAGATCGGCACAACACAGGCGGTTGTGGCGCGGACGATGAATGTTTCTCAGTCTGTCATAAGCAGGCTATGGTCCAGATACCGTGATACACAATCTGTACAGGACAGACCACGCCCAGGTCGACCAAGGGCGACAACTCAAGCCCAGGATCGATTTATCCGTACCTTGGCCTTGAGAAATCGTGTCATCACAGCAAATCAGATCAGCGCTCGTCTTCAAACAGACACTGGTGTGAGAGTGAGTGGCCAGACGATTCGGAATCGACTGCATAGGGGTCACCTTCGCGCCCGACGTCCTCGCGTGATCCCTTGTTTGAGAGATCATCACATTCAAGCAAGACGTCGTTGGTGTAGGGATCGTCAACACTGGGATAATCGACGCTGGAGCAATGTGATGTTTTCAGATGAGTCAAGGTTGACTGTTGATTTTTTGGACAGACGTAGGAGGGTGTGGCGTTGTCGAAACGAGCGCTTCCAAGACGTTAACGTCATCAGACATGATCGATTTGGGGGTGGTTCTGTTATGGTGTGGGGAGACATCACTGTTGCTGGAAGAACGGCTTTACATGTTGTTGCAGGGCGTGTTACAGGCCAGTACTACCGGGACAACATCTTGGCAGTCCATGTTGTGCCGTTCGCACGACGTCATCTTCCAGGATGACAACGCAAGATGTCACAGGGCCAGGATCGTTACAGGTTACCTCCAACAACAGAACATCACCACATTACCTTGGCCAGCACTGAGTCCCGACCTCTCCCCCATCGAGCATGTCTGGGACATGCTTGGACAGAGGTTACGTCAACGTCAACAACGTCCTGCCAATGTCCAAGAACTTGCTGCTGCGTTGCAACAGGAATGGGACAATCTGGACCAAAATGACCTTAGACGTCTCATTAGGAGTATGCCACGTCGGATCAATGCTTGTTTGGCAAACAGAGGAGGATTTACCCGTTACTGACTTGGTTGTGATGCTGTGGTAACTTTGCTGTTTGACCCCGGGTATCATTTTACCCTTATAATGGTCAGTCTGTGCCTTACTTAGTCTTACGATCATTTGGAATAAATCGATGAATGTGAACTTCATTTCATTTTGTCATTTGTTTCTTCGTCAGTTTCATTAGGTGACTTTAATAACACTTAAAAATCAAATATCCCCTACTTTTTTTGAATAGTATATAACCATTGTATTACAATATAAAAGCTTCTATACGCTTCCCTAGAAATTATAATATATAACCATCATATAATAATATAAAAGCTTCTATAAGCTTCCCTAGAAATTATAATATATACCCATTATATAATTATATAAAAGCTTCTATATCCTTCCCTAGAAATTATAATATATAACCATTGTATAACAATATAAAAGCTTCTATATCCTTCCCTAGAAATTATTATATATAACCATTGTATAACAATATAAAAGCTTCTATACGCTTCCCTAGAAATTATAATATATAACCATTATATAATAACATAAAAGCTTCTATAAGCTTCCCTAGAAATTATAAAATATACCCATTATATAATTATATAAAAGCTTCTATATCCTTCCCTAGAAATTATAATATATAACCATTGTATAACAATATAAAAGCTTCTATATCCTTCCCTAGAAATTATAATATATAACCATTGTATAATAATATAAAAGCTTCCCTAGAAATTATTATATATAACCATTATATAATAATATAAAAGCTTCTATATCCTTCCCTAGAAATTATAATATATAACCATTGTATAACAATATAAAAGCTTCTATATCCTTCCCTAGAAATTATTATATATAACCATTGTATAACAATATAAAAGCTTCTATACGCTTCCCTAGAAATTATAATATATAACCATTATATAATAACATAAAAGCTTCTATAAGCTTCCCTAGAAATTATAAAATATACCCATTATATAATTATATAAAAGCTTCTATATCCTTCCCTAGAAATTATAATATATAACCATTGTATAACAATATAAAAGCTTCTATATCCTTCCCTAGAAATTATAATATATAACCATTGTATAATAATATAAAAGCTTCCCTAGAAATTATAATATATAACCATTATATAATAATATAAAAGCTTCTATATCCTTCCCTAGAAATTATAATATATAACCATTGTATAACAATATAAAAGCTTCTATATCCTTCCCTAGAAATTATAATATATAACCATTGTATAACAATATAAAAGCTTCTATATCCTTCCCTAGAAATTATAATATATAACCATTGTATAACAATATAAAAGCTTCTATATCCTTCCCTAGAAATTATAATATATAACCATTGTATAATAATATAAAAGCTTCCCTAGAAATTATAATATATAACCATTATATAATAACATAAAAGCTTCTATACGCTTCCCTAGAAATTATAATATATATCCATTGTGTGATAATATAAAAGATTGCACATTTAATGATTAATCTTGTAAGATTTAGATAAAGAGCTGGTCGTTCTTGCTATAATTGTTAACAAAATAGATCATCAAAAATTTAATATATTGAAAATTTCAGTCAAATTACTTTATTCCGATTGCCAAGTACCGTTGCTTCGATAATAAAAAAAAAGTCTCAATCATTTTAAATGGTGATCTTGTTTTCGTCCATTTAGCTCTTACATAATGCATCTTTAAAAATAATTTATTCGTTTATACTGTGCAACTAGAAAATCAACCCAACAGCTCCTCTAAATGAATATTCAACCATATTGCAGCTATTTGAGAATTTTATATGTATACTATGAACATTTGTTTTTCATCCTACATTTTCCTTGAACCAGGCTTAAAAAATCGTTTCTTCTCAAATCCTTAAAATCCTCCTAAGGATTCAGAGTTTAGATTGGCTAGTACAGATTTGAATTATTATCCAGTATTTTAAGTATTTATGAATAAGGCTCCTGAACATTTAAATATTTTCTACTCACATGCAACCAATGACGATACTTTGTTCTAAGGGAGTTAACTGTGGAGCGAACAGATGATCTTTATCTGTGAAATTAATCTGATTTAAAACTGTATCATCATCCAGTTGCATAACCTGAAATATGGGAGAAATGAAAATGGGGGTTAACAATGTAACCTGAGTATCATTTAATCTTGTGTATGTAGCATTAATTTATTTCTCATTCATTCAATATCAAATCTTTGCTTAAAAACTCGCAAAAAATCGTTAAAATGACCAAAATTCATTTAATTTCTACTTGTGTCGAGTTTAAAGCTGACCATTCAGTTTTTATAATGAGTGTCCAATTTACATTTCTCAATTTTCATTTCTCAATCACTGTTAAAAATAAACAACCTAATTGATTATTGATGTATAATGATTAAGTTTGGTTTAAACATATTTTATTACCACAAAGTAAATGGATCGGATGTTTTGAACAGTGGTCAGGAAATTCAATGCTTGTAAATTGAACACTAATTATCAAAATTTATCAGTCAGCTTTAAACTGGACACAAGTACAAATTAGATGATTTGGGGTGATTTTAAAACAAAGATTTGATATTAAACGAACGTGAGAGAAATTAGTGCTAAATACACAAGATTAAATGATACCCAGGTTTCAATGTAACCTCATTCTGTTCTGCATTGACTGATTTAATGAAGATAGCCAGATGCCATTCAGTGTGCTATTGCTCAGAAGCGACACTACAGCCAACAGCGGAAGTGAACCCATGACCTCCAGGCTAGGGAGCCAGTATCTCACTTACTAAGCCACCATGGCTCCCACATACGTATGTGAGAACAGATATTAATATATTTATGACACGTTACAATGAGTACCCTCTCCAAGTTTTCAACCAGAATAGCAACAAATATAGGCAAGCAATAACAACAAATCATTGGTATATTTGTAAGGCAATGGGGTTTAATGTATTTTTCTGCACCTACAGGGCTATAAGTGAAGTAATACCTTAGGTAATGAAACATTTTCGTCAGGTTCAAGTCCAACCTTTTCTTTTGACCTTTTAATCTCGAGTGCAAGTTGAGCTTTCTCATCTTGTTGATAACGGGTTCTCTTACCCATGGCTCCTACAAAATAAACATTAATTATACTCGCTGATTGTCATGTTAATTATACTCGCTGATTGGCATGTTAATTATACTCGCTGATTGTCATGTTAATTATACTCACTGACTGTCATGTTAATTATACTCACTGACTGTCATGTTAATTATACTCGCTGACTGTCATGTTAATTATACTCGCTGACTGTCATGTTAATTATACTCACTGACTGTCATGTTAATTATACTCACAGATTGTTGTGTTAATTATACTCACTGATTGTCATGTTAATTATACTCACTGACTGTCATGCTAATTATACTCACTGACTGTCATGTTAATTATACTCACTGATTGTCATGTTAATTATACTCGCTGACTGTCATGTTAATTATACTCACTGACTGTCATGTTAATTATACTCGCTGACTGTCATGTTAATTATAATCACAGATTGTCATGTTATTTATACTCACAGATTGTCATGTTATTTATACTCACTGATTGTCATGTTAATTATACTCACTGATATCGTCAAGTTAATTATACTTGCAGATTGTCATGTTAATCAACCTTTTTACAAATGACAACAATATAGTGTACAGTATGATCTAATGTTCATTTTTCTAATAACACTATGGACATAACCAAACTAAAATACAATTTATCATGGAAAAGAAAAAAATATTTGAGTTTCTTTACAGAGCATATTTTAATACTAGTCACTACGGTCACCAGCTTCCTGTGCTCATTTTTATTATAGGCTATCACGTTCGATAGCATTCTTTGTAATACATCATTAAAGAACCTCATAAAGTTATAAAGTACTGTAGACATTCGCAAGTACCATGTGAGAAAGAAATTAAATTCATGTGAGAAATAAATTAAAGTGAGAACGAAGTAAGTAAGAAAAGAAATAAAATTCATGTGTGAAAGAAATTAAATTTGTTTGTGAAAGAAATTAAATTCACGTGTGAAAGAAATTAAATTCACGTGTGAAAGAAATAAAATTAAAGTGAGAAAGAAATTACTGTGAGAAAGAAAAGAAATTACTGTGCTATATGTTACAAACCTGTTAAATGCATTTCAAGACCTGAGAGTTTTTTTGCCTGGTTAAAATGATCTTGACCTTGTTTATATTCATAATAAATATGACAGAGATGACCAGCCTCTAGATGGAATTCTATAACTTGGTTCCTGATAATAAAATAAAAGTAGAAATTATACAAATGAGAAATGAAAGGAAGATGGGCTTACACCATCTATTATATTGTGCTATGAGGGGAATTTGACCGACCAAAGCGGCATTGCATTTTACTTTTATTACAAATTCCAACTGCCAAGGAATCTTTAAGTGCACTACCAATTTGTGCACAGGACCTTGTTTTTTGTTTTGTTCCACAGATGAAATGAAATGGGGTTTAACGCTCTACTGTTCTGCTCCGATTGGGCTAATGAAGACTAGCATACGCCATACAATGTGCTATGAAGGAAATTTTGCCTGGGCAGCGGTGCTATAGCCTACCCTTATACTGAATTCCAACTGCCAAGGGATCTTTTACGTGCACGCCAATGTGTACACAGGACCTCAGTTTCTCGTCCCATCCCAACGACTAAACGGCTGTCCTTGTCAGGCCCTCCGTTCTGCACCACTGACAAGAGGAAACCACGTCGGAAAATCCTGATGAACTTTCTCGGCCAACACCGGGAGCGAACCCGCAACCTCCAGCAGTGATTAAGCCATGAATATTCAGGGGAAGACCAACGACTTTCACCAAGGTTTCCATAAATCGTTGGTATTCCCCTTTAACCTGTTAACTGCGTAGGGCGTTATATAACGTCCTGGACAACTGCCACTCACCGTGTGTAGGACGTAATATAACGCCCTCGAGGTATTTTCCCCAACCTATTCTTCGAACACGATCGCAGCATGTGTAGGACGTTATATTACGCCTGGTCGAGGAAATCTAATTGAAGGGAGACAACTCTATTTACCGTTAGTTTTAATATGGTTTGAGACTATTAAAATTTGTATTCAGGAATAAAAAGGTCCAAAAATGACGTTTTTCGTCAAATTAATTACACAATAGGGGGTAGTTAACGTTTTAAAAACTACGCAGTTAAGGGGTTAAATATTTTTTTGCATGATTACTCACGTATATTGATCATGTGTAAATAATGGTTCTTGTTTCACGATAGACTCTATTAATTCTAATACAGTTGATCTTAATGTTGGGGCACGATCATCCAGTACTTCTTGTTGTATATATAAACATCTCAATAACCACCATTTAGATGTCTGGAATGTAAGAGACAAAAATATGTAATAGACCATACCTGGAAGCTTGTCAGTCCTCTTAATACCTCCATGAATTCAAAAGTGCTCTTTCTTTTTGAGGGGGATTCGATGGCCAAATGGTTAGCCCATGTGAGATGTATCATAAGGTCTGTCATTGAGTGAACTGGCATGATATCGATTCTCCGGTTGTACATGACAAGGAGAAGGGTCGCCTGTCCAACCTCATGGGTTTTCTCCGGGTACTCCAGCTTCCTCACACTGCTAAAGACTCTCTCTCTCTTTCTCATCTCTCTCTCTCTCTCCTCTCATCTCTCTCTCTCTCCTCTCCTCTCTCTCTCCTCTCATCTCTCTCTCTCTCTCCTCTCTCTCTTCCTCTCTCTCTCTCTCTCTCTCTCAATGAATAAATAGAGATTTGTTCATCCCCTTAATACTATACCCACAAGCGATATACAATAATTAGCCCTAGCTATTTTCCATTTTAGTTCAGTTCCATCAAACCGGACGTCTGATTTTGTTATGTAATGATCCAAATAATCTGGTTCCATGAAAAAGAATCAGAGGAAAGTGGGTTTTTTGGCTTACTCTTGAAAAACGTCTGAAATTAATACTCCCCACACAATTCCCTGCTCTTATTGAACTAATGAAGCATAAAGTACAGTGTGCCTACTCTTATTTCAAATTCCAACTGTCACGGGTTCTTTTTCCGTGCACGCTAATGTGTACACATGACCTCGGTTTTTCGTCCAATCCGAACAACTATAAGGCCCTCTGTCCTACACCACTGACAAGGGGGAACCATGCTGGAAAACCCGATGACCTTTCTCAGCCAATGCCATGATTGAACAGATTAGTGAGCCAACATCCTATTCACTGAGCCACTGTTTTGGGTGGATTCAGCTACTAAAAGATTAAATAAATTTTGATAATATAACTTACATGTAAATGAGAGAGGAAATCTCTAGATTCTAATAGTATAATATTAGCTATATATAAATACGGGAGATATCTAGTTAAATTATACACAGCTTCACCGTCAACACTTAAATCACTTAAACCACGTTTATTTACCTGAAACATACAACAACACCTGTACAGGTATGTACATCAACAACAAAATCAAAGCTTTTAACAGGGAAATATCTTCTGTAATGGCTGGGACCTCAAATTAATGATGCTCTAATTCTATCTGGTCATAGAAATACAGAAAATAGCAATTCTGAGAAATTTTCAGTCAGCAAAAGGCACAAATGTCAAATACTATATTGAGTTGCTGTGTGTACAAACTTTCATAAAGAAATCTTGAATAGTTTATGAGATATGCTTCGAAATATAAATTGGATATATAAAACTATGTCAAATTTGTTTCCGTGGAAACACAAAGACAATTCAATTCGAAAATGTTTTAATTTAGCAAAGGTACAAGTACTACAGGTTGATGTGTGCAATGTAAATAATATTTACTGTATTACCATGACAACGGTGGTGTTTAATTATTTTTACCCTATCACAACAACGTTGGTGTATAAATTATATTTACCGTATCATGGCAATATTGGTGTATAAATTATATTTACCGTATCAGGACAACAGTGGTGTATAAATTATATTTACCATGACAATGTTGGTGTATAAATTATATTTACCATGACAATGTTGGTGTATACATTATATTTACCGTATCAGGACAAAGTTGGTGTATAAATTATATTTACCGTATCACGACAGCGTTGGTGTATAAATTATATTTACCGTATCACGACAGCGTTGGTGTATAAATTATATTTACTGTATTACCATGACAATGTTGGTGTATAAATTATATTTACCGTATCACATTGGTGTATAAATTACATTTACCGTGACAATGTTGGTGTATAAATTATATTTACCATGACAATGATGGTGTATAAATCATAATTACCGTATCACGACAGCGTTGGTATATAAATCATATTTACCGTATCACGACAGCGCTGGTGTATAAATTCTGTAGGTAATGATGAAGTTAAAGGTCCTAACCAATTATTCTGTACAAAGAGCTGTAGAGATGCCACGCCCACTAATAAAATCTCCAGTTCCCTGAAACATATCAAATAAAATGAAATAGGGTTCTACTTCCTAGTGTTCTCAACCAAGCAGACTATTGGCGACTGATATAAACCACACAGTGTGCTTCATGAGAGAGACATTTTGCTGAAACAGGCGTTGTTCCAGCCAATGCTAAGGGTTTTTTTATTTGCATGTCAATGTGTGCACAAAGCATCAGTTTTACGTCCCATCAGAATGAACAGACACATTTCCTTGTCAGATTCAAACTACATTAAAATAAAGTTGTTTTGTTATGGAAAAATTTATTGACGGCTTACTAAATTTTTGTCTCCATAAAAATGTTCTAGTTCTCTTTACTGACATTCTCCTTATTGATAAGTATGTGAGTGACAAAGTATGCTACGGCTAGAAAGTGGTACACATGGGACTTTGGTTTTGATTCCATCCAAACAAGGTTCTTCCTTGCCAGGCCCTTGATCCTGCAGCATTGACTAGGGAACCCTTACTGCAAAATCCTTAGAAACTTTCTGAGATCAAACCAGGGACCTCTTGGATTTTCAGCCAGTTTTGTATTGGTCGATTCCTTCCATTTTAAGAGAGAGAGAGAGAGAGAGAGAGAGAGAGAGCACTCAACACAAACTAGGTCATATAGGGACTAACACATGGTTCAATTTTATTTCAATAATTCGTTTGCGCGTAGGGGTCTTTAGCAGTGGGAGGAAACCGGAGGACCCGGAGAAAACCCACGAGGTTGGACAGGCAGCCCTACTACTTGTCACGTACAACCGGGGAATCGAAACCCCAAAAGTTGACACAATGACAGACCGTATGATACAGCACTCACGTGCTGACCATTCGGCCATCCAAACCCCATATAGAAACAACAAATGAAAGGGCAGCATGCAATACTTACGCTGTGTGAAGATCTGTATTTTCACTGTGTAACAAGTTTTCAACATTATTCTTTATCAATAAAACCAAATCTTCCGTATCTTTGGGATTTTCTCGTAATAATTTTTCAGCTGTCTCACTTTTTAAAATATTTTCATATTCTCCATTTAGATATTCCACTACCAAGAGATTAATATTGCTGCTTTCTACAATATACATAAATACAAGATGAACAAGATACAAATACAACAAGAACAACATAAAAATACAGATGAACAACATACAAATGCACAAGATGAAAAATTGTAACAAGTAAAGAATAATGAAATAATAATAATATCGTCATTTATAAAGCGTGTTAATACTGAAGAAAACAGTTTCTAAGGCGCTGTTGGTTTTTATATTCACTGATTATTTACAAATCAGGGTTTTGAAATAAGAATGTTTTGAGTTGAGATTTAAAATGGCCCACAGACGGTAGTTATTTCATTGACTGTGGTAGTCTATTTTATAGAAAAAGACCAGCAAAATACACTAGGGACAAACTGGATGGTTTTTGATGAATCTTGATGGTATTTAACACTTTCAGCATGGCAATCTATTAACTGAATATGTGTATTAGATTATAGATGGTAAGCTCAGTTTCTTTCCTTTTTTCATCAAATCTGAATGATACCCGGTCCCTAGTGATAAAAGGCACATTTTCCAAGTTGTAAGTTAATAGCTGGAGATTTTAGAAGATGTTTTTTCTGAGAATGGAGATTTCAGCTGGTAGTAAAGGGTACTACTACAAAACTTTTTATATAAGATGGAGCTTGGCCGTTTAACGCTTTGAAGATGAAGAGGAGTAACTCGAACTTAATTCTTTGGTGAATTCCGAGCCAATGTAAAAATTGCAATACAAGGGGGAGATGCGATGATGGTTTAACATCCTACTTTTCTATAACATCTGGACTAATGAATACTGACATACGTCCATGCAGTGTCCTAGCTAGACAGCAACATTTCCACCTACTCAATTGTGATCCAAGGATATTCCCAACCTAGTTTTTTTTGGAACAGTCTCTCGACGAGTGAGCCTCCGTGTCTGTCCTTATTAAGCTGCCATATGAAAATATCGCTATTTTTAAACCACTCTACTCCATCACTGTACTCAGTTGAGTATGCCAGCGCAGCTTGAGATCCCCACCTACAGAATGATATGAAAAGAATCGATATGGTCCAACGTCGAGCCGCAAGATATGTCGTCAACAACTACACACAAACAGCTAGTGTAACAGACATAATAAGTCATTTAGCAAGGACTCCGCTGGACATCAGACGAAAACAAGCAAGGCTGATTATGCTTTATAAGATCCACAACAACCTCATTAACATCACAACAGACAAGCTAATCCCACTAAATAGGACAACTAGACACATATGCACCCTCAAACTTTTCAAATTCCATCTGCCTGGAATGACACCAAGAAATTCTCCTTCTTCCTAAGAACAATAAGAGACTGGAATGCTTTACCACCAGACATTCCATCCTCCGACACTCTCGAGATCTTCAAGTCCAGGGTGTCTGGGGCTCTGTGAGCTTCAACACCACGTCATTTTTATCCTGTTTTTAACTTTTCATCCTGTTCTTAATTTTTCATCGTCATGCCGGCCATGCGCAACCCCCGCCGTGTCAAAACGATCAACCATGATTGTGGACACTACCTGCCGTAGGCGTAGAAGTAGAAGGCCTTGCCTTGTCCTCTATTCACAACGCGGAAATCCTTTGAGGCTTTTAGATGGCTGTGGGTATAGACAGTTTGAGCAGGTCACTATGGGTACTAGGGCTGGAAAAAAACTCTTGACTTGAATCTTTGAATGGGATTGGGGCTTAATTAATATAATAAAATGTATAGTCATGGACTATCATGGAGGAGTCGTGCCACCGATTTGTACAATTTGTTTTTCGTGAGCCACAACATTAGCATTAAGAGTGAAAATAAATTATAGATACGAACCTTCTTTAATAAATGTCTTAATGTGGCTGATAACTGCCACTTCTTGATTCAAAATATTGGCCATGCTGTTCTTGAAATAGTTGAAAACTCTTATTGCGTGTTGTTCATGGGGGCTGACATATTGGATTGGACTTCTGGGAGGCAAACAGTTGAGGGGAAATAACTCTGTTTAGTGACTCAGGATTCAGACCACAATTCATTAAAGTTAACTTCGATTTTAAATGCAATCCAACTACGGTCCAAGCAAGAAAATCACCATAGTAAGCAAAGAAAAAGGGAGAAATAGAAGACGTCTACTTGACTCAATGCTTTGATAATTTTGAGACTAACACAGGGTATTTTTCATTTCAATACCGGTAGTTACTAGTGTTTTATAAGGTCCATTCTGCAACAGTAGAGGTTTGGGGTACTCTTTGTCGAATTCAAACTTCTAAATATTCCTTTACATGCACGAAAACCTGTACATAGGGCGATCTTGGGTTTTTCATCCCTTCCAAACAACTAGGCACACCTTCTTCCTTGTTGTCCCCACAGGCAACACCCCCGACAAGTAAGACCAGAAGTTCCTTCTCGGCCCACACGAACATCTGAAACTGGGGCATTGCGATCAAGAGACCATTGCCGGGACTAATGGGGCTAATATCAGCAGAAAATCTTTCAGTTGCACTAAAATGTTAGAAAAATCGTTTACATCTAAGAAGCAGATTTAACATGAATGATTTTCGTCAAGAAATTTAAAACGTGAAACAATTTTAAATTATATATTGTTTATTTCAATTTGATTAAAATAAACACATTGGGTTTTTTTTCTTCTTTAAATACACAGATATTTACACAATAAAACTACAATAAATTATAGATACACATTTACTTTACTTCAGTGAAAACACAAAAATATGTAATGCTGTGGAATCTCTGGAAATTAGTGATTAGACTTAAAGATACTATCCCAGAGAAGTATTTATCAGGTGATTATTTCCAATAAAATTATGGCAATTTTGGTATGTGGCAAGTAGAAACACCAATGGAGCTCATACAAATATGTAAGGATTTCCCGAATCGGCAACCCAACAATTAGGGACTGTAAAATAGAGATTATTTGTAAATCGAACATTTTATTGGTTATCTATTATTTTAGGTACTGCATGAAATCATACGAATTGACTTCCATCTATTCCAAGCAAACATGCCCATCAATGGAGTTAACTCTAATATGTTTCCCTTTACCATTAGAAAACTGTAACTGTCGGTCTCATATAGAATATTCACATTAATACGTGTAAGTGTAGATCTTCTCGACAATAAACTTTAAAGCACAATATGAAACATTTATTTCATATCTTGTTTATACAGGGGTACACAAACAATTGATGACAATACAGTAAACTTCGCATAAGTTGGATCTAAGTGGACTGACCAATTTTATCCGAGTTAAGTGAAGATCTGAGTGAGCCGAAGACCGAAATTCAATCTTAGCTCGATTAGAAATAAACTGCAAGAGCCAGATAATAATTGATTCAAAGACACATTTCAAGCTTTTGTTTGTATGTGTGAGTAGATAACTTCCATTTTGTCGCCATCTTTGAAAAATGTCCTAAAAATTTTCCCGGAAAGTGTCTCGAACAGCAGACAGCGAGTTTCGAATTTTCCAGGAAAATTATATTATTGCGTCGCGTCAAATAGGGTGATTTGGGTCAAAATGATAGAGGAAAGTATTTTGGGGCTCTGTGCATGGAATACCTAACCGTGTTTTATACCATCGGGACAAAACTGACAGTGACATTCTGAACATACTGCCGATCCGACTTAGGCGAAGGAAAAAAGCCGGAATTAGATCAAATGGACCAAACATTCTGATCCGAGTTGAGCGAAGATCCGACTTACGCACAGAAATTTAATAACAAAAAACGTGCAGGATTAAGGGGCCAATTGACTTCATCCGAGTTGAGCAAAGATCCAACTTATATGAATCTGACTTATGTGAGGTTTACTGTATCTATAGCATTTTAATTAACTGGCAAAAACATGGTAGGCATTAAACAGATTGCAAAAAAAAACAATTACATAGCTTAGTACGTTAACCCTAACTCTCGAATTCCGGATAGATGAAATGACCTCCTCCAAGGAGCCTGATTTATCTTCTCCCCAAACGGCCTGGCCCCGAGTTTACAAAACGTTCTCAGAATTAAGTTAACATTTTACTCAAAATTGTTTGCCTTATTTTAACTAAAATATAGCCCTTTATAAAACTTTTATTGTTTTAATGTATCAAATACATCAATAAGAAACTATATGTGCAAAGTTTTATGTTCCTGGATCAAAGATATTTCTCATGAACAGTGATTGAAAGTTGAGTAAATTCTTAATTTAAGTCTGAGAATGCTTTGTGAACTTGGGGCCTGATCTAGTCTGTCAACACCAAATATGGAATCTCATTACTATACAATAATTTCGTATCTGTTGACGACAGATCACCGTTAAAAGCCAAATACCGGTATATATATAAATTACACCGTGAATTTCAACGACTTAAGATTCTGAAGAACTCGGAGTTAAAGTACGAACAGAACGACTGCTTTGATTGGATGAAGGTCTCTTATCGCAAGATGGTGGTCGTGGTACAGGAGTTATCTCCCCTACATCACTGTTACAATCAGAGAACGACTCGATAGTCATACTACTGCTATTATTATTGTCTTGTAAACTGTTCCGTATAATTTGAATGGAGCCCGGATCACCAGAAGAACCATGTCGACCACTGCTTGTTGGACGGACAATTTCATTATTCAGTCCTTGTGAAATTAAAAATGGACTTTTACTGATTTCAGGTAAAAATGGCCGCTTTTCGTATTCTGGTTTATAAGTTTCACTTTGAGAGGAGAAAATATTCTGATTATATTCTTCAAAACTAGATTGTCGAGATCGTGAATTTCTGAGATGGCTGTCGCTTGTTGAATGCTTGTGTGTGATGTTTATGTTTTTGATTGCTTCATCATCGACTTTCTGCTCGGCAACCACTCTCCACGTTTCAGCAGATATTGGACCCATTTCTTCTTCTGAAAATAAAAAAGATGAAAACTCAATTATTATCAATTTATGTTTATTATCCATTTTTTAAGAATGATTCGTTTGATAACATTTGTTGATAATGGATGTTTCTCCTTTCCATATATACCAAAATTGCCATACTTTTATTGAAAATAAACACCCAATAAATACTTTTCTGGGAAAGTATCTTTAAATTGCAATTGACCAAACACTGTTTATGTGTATGTCAATGTCTCAGCCCCATAGCCACCGCCTATAATGAGTGAGGGGGATCACGGTGGCTAAGTGGGCAAGACGCTGGCTCGCTAACCTGGAGGTCGGGTGTTTGATCCCTGCATTGACCGAGAACGTTCACCCAGATGTTCCGGCGTGGTTCCCCCTTGTCAGTGATGCAGGACAGAGGGCCTGACAAGGACAACTGTCTAGTCATTTGGATGAGAGAAAAAAACAAGGTCCCGTGTACACATTGGCGTGCACATAAAAGATCCCTTGGCAGTTGGAATTCGATATAAGAGTAGGCTGTAGTGCCGCTGTCCGGGCAAAATTCCCCTCATAGCACACTGTATAGCGTATGCCCTTCTTCATTAGCCCAGTTTGGAGCAAAACAGTAGGACGTTAAACCCCATTTCATTTCATTTCATTTTTATAATGCGTGAAAACTGGTCTTTAAAATTCCCAAAGGTTTTCCATTTCGTGATTCAAACCTGCGAGATTCTATATAACCTCGGCCCCCCAGGAATTTCGAAAAAATATAAATGCATGATGTTTTCAAAATTTTGTGAACACCTTTTCTTTAAGTTCATGGACTGAAACTCAACACAGTACTTCCTTTTAAAATCAGCTCTATAAATACCCCGAACCTACATATCGAAAGAGAGAGAAATAAATGAACTAACCTTCATCAGTTTCTTCTTCGACAGATGAAAGCTTGCTACTGATTGGACAATAAGCTTCAGCTAGTAATTTTTGTAAGACATCATGAGGAAGAACAGGTGGGTTGTCATAGAGACTAGATCTAGATGATGATTGGACTGATCTGTGGAAACACAATAATATCATTCATTAAACATACATTATGCAAGAGCTAAATCTGCCTATTGCAGGTCTTTCTTTAGGCCTGACATGTTATCTACATTATTAATTAGACATTAATTAACTTATCTAGACCATAATCAACTCTCAATGGCATCGCTGCGATGTTTATTGGATTACGTTCCGATTTACTGTTCGACTTCCATTCATAATTAAATCGAGTAATCGAGACTATGTTTTTTATCCTAGTAATGATGATTGAGGCTAGCCCCACTATTCATTCGCTAAAATCTTGGTTCATAGTGGATCAATTTGACTGAAATTTTCAGCAAATTGCCTTTACAATATCTAGTTTTTAACTATTGTAGCAAGAATTGCCAGCTCTTTATCTAATCTCCCATAATGTATCTTTAACATAATGTATCTTTAACATAATGTATCTTTAACATAATGTATCTTTAACATAATGTATCTTTAAGAAAAAAAACCCAGATAGATTAAATATATCCTGACAAATTCAGAAAACTTGGATATATGTGCTGGTTTTTGCCACTGCAGTCACGATAGGTCAATATATACCAAGCAAACAACAGAAACAATGAATAATTGGTATTTTTAGTCTTGTCGATCTCGATGAAATAAGACTTAAGTTAAGATTTTACTCAAAATTGTTTCTCTTATTTTGACTAAAAGAGTGACAGGTTACTTAATGAAGCAAAAAAAAAAAAAAAAAAGAATCGTGAAAAATCTATTTAGCATTTTGCATTGCAATACACGAATCGTGAGAAGGTGAATTGTGATACATCGATTCAACGATATATCGTGCAAGAACTATTAGATATAGAAATGACTATTTGTTTTGGTACTAACCTGGGAGTAGTCTCGGGTAACGAGTCATTTTCTGTCATACATGATGTCCTTGACATTGATCTAGCACAATCTTCTAATAAATCATTTAACTGATCCCCAGATAAACTCGGTGTTTCAAACTATATACAAGAAACAAAATATTCATATCAATAAAAACATAAACCGACTAATCTGTGCCAGGGCGAAATGACAGGTACTACATCGATTGTAGTAGACAAAGCCCATGCTTGCCGGGCATATACATTGATAAAAAAAACAACATTTCACGGCCACCAAACATGCCTGGATACAAGGTCATTTGATTTTGAAAAGAAAGAGAGAGAGAAATAGGATTTAACCTCAACTCGACACGTACTAGGTCATTTCGGGACTAACACAGGATTCAATTTTTGCAGTGGTTGGAAACCCGTAAAAAACCCACGAGGTTGGACAGGCGATCCTCCTTCTTGTCACGTACAAGCGGGGAATCTAAACCACGTCACTTGACCCGATGTAAAGAGCTGGACAGTGGAAAACCTGACCTGTTCTGCTCCCATTACCATCCATTTTTCGATAACAACATTTTGGGAGTAAACAATGAAAAATCATATACACAGATTTAATATGCAATAAACCGACTTGGTGACCTTGATGTGAGCTTACAAAGATGACCATGCCATGCTTTCAAAAGTTATAACAGCAAATAGTGTGAAAGGAACGGGTTGCATTAAGTGAAGATTTGCATTTGAAAAATCATACGTTCATTAATAATGAAAAATTGTTGAGGGCTCTTTTACGTGCACGCCACCATGACTAGAAACTGTTCCTTATCAGGCCTTCTGTCCTGCGCTACGGACAAGGGAAAACCACGCTTGATAATCCCTTCTTGATTAAAACCGGGACCGAACCACAGACAACCCATCTAATGAGCGAGCCTCTTATGTGCTGAGTCACCGTGGCTCTAAGTAATGGTATGTCCACAACTTCGTCCACTTGTTTCCAGCAGAGCGTGAAATGAAATGGGGTTTAACGTCCTACTGTTCTGCTCCGAACTGGGCTAATGAAGACGGGCATACGCCATACAGTGTGCTATAAGGGAAATTTTGCCCTGACAGCGGCACTACGGCCTAATCTTATATCGAATTCCAAGTGTCAAGGGATCTTTTACGTGCATGCCAATGTGTACACTGGACCTCGGTTTTTCTTCCCATCCGAACGACTAGACAGCTGTCCTTGTCAGACCCTCCTTCCTGCATCAATGACAAGGGGAAACCACGCCAGAAAATCTGGATGAACTTTCTCGGCCAATGCAGGGATCGAACACCCGACCTCCAGGCTAGCGAGCCAGTGTCTTACCCACCGTGATCCCCCTTCCACCAGAGCCGGAAAATCTGGATGAACCTTCTCGGCTGATGCAGGGATCGAACACCTGACCTCCAGGCTAGCAAGCCAGCGTCTTACCCACCATGATACCCCTTCCATCAGAGCACCTGTTTTATACCTGTCACTATTTACCTGCATTTCTCGAGGGTTACTAAACAACGCCAATTCTTCTTCAATTTTCTTTAATTTTTCCTTCATTTCTCGTTGTTCTTTAGTTTCAACTAATGCCCGCTCACCATATTTCTCGAAATCTAAAACGGATTTCACGCCCACTCTTGTGAAAAGTTTGTGCTGTAGAAAACATTCAATGTGCTATCAAATATGCAAATAAATATGACATACAAATATCCACATAGTGACCCCCAAATATCTACACAGTGACCCCCAAAATCTAAATAGTGATCCTCAAAAATCTACAGAGTGACCCCCAAAAATTCTAAATAGTGACCCCCAAAAATCTACACAGTGACCCCCAAAAGTTTCATACACAACTTAGTGAAAGTGAGCCTAATAGTGTAAGTTTTGAACTCTGTTGATATTGTCATGCACAATTCCTGAATTGATGTCATTTCTTGTCTATCGCCCGAAACATATATTACCGTCTGCTTCATATGTAAATAATCATAATCAAAATCAACATGGCCATATTATCATTAACGATGAGAGTGAGTGAGAGAGAGAGAGAGAGAGAGAGAGAGAGAGAGAGAGAGAGAGAGAGAGAGTTTAACACCCACTTGACACAAACTGGGTCATTTCGTGACTAACACATGGTTCAATTTTATTTCAATAATTCGCTAGTGCGTAGGCATCTTTAGCAGTGGGAGGAAACCGGAGGACCCGGAGAAAACCCACGAGGTTGGACAGGCAACCCTACTCCTTGTCACATACTACCGGGGAATTGAAACCACGTCAGTTGACTCAATGACAGACCGTATAGTACAGCACACACGTGTTAACCATTCGGCCATCCAACCCTCCTCCCTCAATAGCATGCAGAGTTATAGTAAATATAGATTTCTGTATGATACTGCGCACACATGCTAACAATTCGGCCATCCACCCCCATTACCAATGTATCAGACGTTAAAATTGTAATCAACAACAATAATATATATAATGTATTTGTTAGAAAAAAGTTGAGAGAATGCTCTTCGAAATGTCGCCCAAATATTTTATTCCATCCAACCCAGTAAATGGTTTAATGTCGTTAAGCCACTTATTCAAAAGGGAGATAATGACGATAATCTCAAATTAAAATGCATAATGGTGAAGCTTTTATAAAATGGATAATGAAGACGGGCATACGCCATACAGTGTGCTATGAAGAAAATATTGCTCGGGCAGCGGCACTATGGCATACTCTTAAATCGAATTCCAACTGCCAATGTATCTTTTACGTGCATGCCAATGTATACATGGGACCTCGGTTTTTCGTCCCATCTGAACGACTAGACAGCTGTCCTTGTCAGGCCCTCTGTCCTGCACCACTGACAAGGGGGCTTTCATGAAACAAAAACCAAAATACAAATAAAACAAAAAAACCCAACTACATTATATTAATTTATCACGATTGTAATTGAAAATAGATTCTAGTTCCTATTATTAAACGTGAAATAATTAAGGATTCTCTAATTAACAAAAAATAAAATAGAATTTAGTGTTCATTTATTTACCTGTGGTGAATTATTGTTAGGAAAACTCATCAAAGATTCATAGTCGTCAGAAGGCATGATATGTTTTAATTGACTGTCAATATTAGCTAACGAACGTAATTCTATATTATCAGGTAAAAAACCTTCACCAGGTCGAACAGCTATCTGAAACGGATTCTCCTCAGCCTAAAAATACAGATGAATATCATTAATTACTGGCTTTCATAGGTCTACTCTACCCTGCTGTAGATGCAATGTTTCTATAGGCATATATCAAAATTAAATAGTAATTCTTAAATACTGAACAAAAGGGGATTAAAGTCACACTGATCAGCAGTGAATATTCGCTAGGTGGCTACAATCACTGAGAGGTATGACATCGATGCGGCTTAATGAGCTCGCAATATTCACTTTTTTCTTTCTGCAAATTAAATTCTAGAACCTTTTTTTTGAAGTATTAGAAAAGTAAAAAAGGTGTTTGCAGTATATGCAGGCAAAAGCGTTTTAAGTTTCATTCTAAAATTACATAACTGGACAAATTAAAAGTATCCTCCAAAATGACAAAACTGGACAACTAAAAAAAAAAGATTCTGCTGTGTTACTAAGAAGTTTACAAACCATAAACATAGAAATATCATCTGGAACATCTGGTAACGATTCTAGATCATCTAATAAACCACTGACACGTTTCTTTTCTTCATCTGTCATAGCTATACTCTCTTCAGCTTGTGATGCCAACTACAAAATAAATAAAAAGGGTTTTAACATCCTATTGTTCTGTTCTAACTGGGCTAATGAGTACGACATATGCCATACAGTGTGCTATGAGGGAAATTTTGCCCGGACAGCGCCGGTACGGCCTACTCTTATATCGAATTCCAACTGCCATGGGTTCGTTTACGTGCACGCCAATATGTACACATGAACTCAGTTTATTCGTCACATCTGAACAACGATAAAGTTGCCCCTCCGTCTGCAACACTGACAAGGGGGAGCAACACTAGAAAATCCTGATGAAATTTCTCGGTCAACACAGGGATCGAACATAGGACTTCTAGGTTAGGGTTTGCGAGTCAACGTCCTACTCACTGGGGAGGTTGGATGGCCGAATGGTTAGCACGTGTGCTGTATCATAAGGCCTGTCATTGAGTCAACTGGCGTGGTTTCGAATCCCCGGTTGTACGTGACAAGGAGTAGGGGCGCCTGTCCAACCTCGTGGGTTTTTTCCGGGTCCTCCAGTTTCCTCCCACTGCTAAAGACCCCTACGCGCAAGCAAATTATTGAAATAAAATTAAACCATATGTTAGTCCCAAAATGACCTAGTTTGTGTCGAGTTGACCTTAAACCCTCTCTCTCTCTCCTACTCACTGGGCTACCGTGGTTCCCACAAAATAAATGAAACAGGGTTTAACTTCCTAGTTTTCTGCACCTACTGGGCTAATGAAGACAGACAAGAGCCATGCTGTGTACTATGAGGAAAACTTTGATCGGACAGTTGCGTTTCCACCCAACCACTATCAAATTTCAACTGTCATGAGTTCTTTTACATGTATGCCAATGAGTACTTTGTTTTTTTGTCCCATCTGAACAACTAGATGATTTTCCTTGCCCTTGGTCCTGTACCTTTTTCTAGGTCCCACCGGGATCAACCCCTAGACCTCTTGGTTAGTACGGCAGCGATATACTCACTGAGCCACCGTGAGGGATTGTGCACTATTCACTGTGGAGAGAAATAGTACACCGTCCACTGCCAAGAGATATAGTACATAGGTCACTGCTAATGCCACGAGAAATATCACAACTTGTACACTGTACCCAAGATTGTGGTCTCATCTGAAGGACTAGACACGTTGACAAATGAAAATTACTTAGAAATTCATTATCAATGAGTGTAAAATCAAAATTGTTCTCCTTCCTTTTTCTCCATACCTCTTTATTTCTCTTAATAAAATCCTTCTTATTTTTCCTCTTCTTTTTGCCTTCTGTTGCTGAATTGAGTGGACGGCCATTTTCATCCGTCGTGACGTTTCCTTGGTCATCTGTTGATTTAGTTCCTTTTTTTTTTTTTCCGCCTCCCCCGTTAAAATCTGTTTCATCCACTTGTGTTTGAAAAACTGGGGTAACCGACGGAGAGTCTAACAAAACACCTGAAATAAAACAATAGGAAAATATGGCCATTAAAGATACATTATGTTTTATTAATCAATTTGTGTTAATTAGTGGTCTACATGCCATATTGGATGTTGTTATTAAGATTAAACTTTTATAATTACAGGTACATTACCTTAATTAAGTTAGGTTTCAAGGTAATTAGAAGGGTATCTCTGGTTGGTCAGCGTTAACCAAGTACTGTTGTGTACAATGTACATGTATATTTTATCATTCCTTGAGAATGACAAAAGAATCCTAGCTGAAACATCGCTCAGTTAGAAAAAGCCTAGCCAAAATTTCGCACAGTTAGAGAAGCCTAGCCGAAACGTCGCTCAGTTAGAGAAGCCTAGCCGAAACGTCGCTCAGTTAGAGAAGCTTAGCCGAAATGTCGCTCAGTTAGAGAAGGGTGGGTTTAACATTCATTCCACAAACTAGGTGATTTCGAGACTAACATATGCTTTAATTTTATTTCAATAAATCGCTTGCGCGTAGGGGTCTTTAGTAGTGGGAGGAAACTGGAGGACCTGGAGAAAACCGAGGAAGTTGGACAGGCGACCCTACTCCTTGTCACGTACAACCTGGGGATTCGTAACCTAGCCATTTGACTCAATGACAGGCACAGGCCTTATGATACAGCATGCACATGCTAACCATTCGGCCATCCAACCCCCCCTCCCCCTGAAAAGAAGAGTCTTGAAATACACCTTCAGAAATGACAATTAATATGGAATTTATTGTTTTTACCTTCATTGTGACTTGGTGGTAACGCCAATGCCAGATATTTATCGGTGTTAGTTTTAGATTCACGATGTTCTTTACCAACAGTCTTTAATCCAGCGATCTCTTCTCTCATTCTTCGCTCCAACAAGATTCGATCTTTCTTCACTTCTTTCTCACGTTTCAACTTTTTATTTAAAATTCGGTCAAGTTTTCTCATTTTAATCAATGCTTCTTTTATTTTTGGATCCATGTTCTCTAAGTCTTCGTCTCCATTAATTTTCTTTTCATCATTGCCATCATCAATTCTACCATTTTCAATTGCTTTTAATTTCTCCTTATACATCTGAATAAAGAATAAAAAAGTGTTTAAAAGATTAAAGATACATTATGGAAAATTAGATAATGTGCTGGAAGTTCTCACTAAAATAGTTAAAAACTAGATAATGTAAAGGGAATAAGCTGAAAATTTCAGTCAAATTGCTTCATCTAAGCTGAGAAAACCTTATTTTAAAATCACTGTAGCCTCGATTGTCATTAATACTGCTGTCACTGTCACGATAATTAACAAAGTCTTGATTATCCATTAATAGGCGTTGAACAGCAGATTGAATTTAAATCCAATGAAAATCGGACACATAAGATGGCATCTAGAGTTAATTATAGTCCAATTAATAGTTTAGATAACATTTCAGGACTAAAGAAAGACCTGCAATAGGCAGATTTAGCTCTTGCATAATGTATGTTTAAAAGAAATCACTTTAAGACTGGTATCGTTTAAAACAGGTTTTTTACCGCTAGAAAGTATGCATATAGTTTACTTTCATCGTTTGAAAATAATGGATAAAAATCATTTGAAAATTACAAAAATGGTTTAGTTAGTAATATGGTTTAATTTAATGGTAAACTGCCTAATTCCTCTGAGAGGGGTTTAGAAATGGACGATCCGTTCACTTATCTACAGTGTTTACTTCTTAGACAAGCAGTTCAATTTCCAGAAATGAGTGTATAAATCAACACCCAGTTAATTAATCTACTGTGTTTAACTACTAGATAAACCCTTTAATTTCTCGCGAGCCATTTATTTGATTGGTTCATTTTGATTACGATTATTTACATATGAAGTACGAATAAAAAAGGTGAATATATAAAAAATGCACACCCATATACATGTAGATGCTCCCCTTACCATGCTCTTAAGTATTATTATCCATTATCCATTAAAAATAGTATTTCCACCATTGACAAATACATCAAAAATCACGTCCCAGGGAATTATGCAATTGGAAATCGTTAAATCACATCCCAGGTATTAATTAAAATAGTCTTTCACTTGTCACCAGAAGTCAACCTCGCAATGTAATGTGGCAGGGCAATAATCCCGTGAGACGTCTGCACTGGCGCGAAAAAACGTCGCCTTGCCACATTACATTGTAAGGTTGACTTCTGGTGACGTTACAAGTGGAAGACTATGTTAATTCATACCTGGGACATGATTTTTGATGTATTTGTCAATAGTGGAATTAATTTTTTTTAATGAATAATGGATAATTGTTTTATTATGGGAGTGCATATATATAAAATGGTTGAATACGACCACATCAGAATGTGAGAACTCACCTCCAGTTCACTCTTCATTTCCTCTCGTACTTTTAGTTCTATTTCATCTTTTATTCCTCTTAATAAATCTCTCTCTTCATCACTACCAATATCATCATCATCTTCTATATCTTTAAACAAATATAATAGTATTCGTGATTTCAAACAACTCTAATCTGACAATCAGAATGAAACAGTGAAGTTGATAGTCTGAAGGAAGTGGTACTAATATACTCAACAAGTGCTACATGTTAGTGATTTAAGTGACTTAACAATAGATATATATATACTAACACATGATTCAATTCTATTTCAATAATTCGTTTGCGCGTAGGGGTCTATAGTAGTGGAAGGAAACCGGATGACCCGGAGAAAAACCACGAGGTTGGACAGGTGATCCTACTCATACAATCAGGGAATTGAAACCACGCCAGTTGACTCAATGACAGACCTTATGCGCTAACCAATCAGCCATCCAACCCCCAGACAGTAATACAAGATCATGTGACATTTTTCCTCATAAAAACCATAAATCTAATCAATATTTTTTTGTGTTTTCAGGTTAACTACTTTGAAATTCTAATTCTATGGCATTTCAGTTGAATGACATTAACCATTTTGTATGTATCTTCTTACCTAATGGAACAAGTGCTCCTTTACTAGCTGTTAAACTGATATTATTATCACCATTCAGCGTTTTTATTTCTTTATGTTTTAATCCACCGTGAATAACAGGGAGGGACACGGGGAGGGATGTGTCCTCATCTTCACTCTCCCATTCATACTCTCCTTCGGATGACACATAAAAATCATCTGAGTTTCCAAAATCTAAATCTAGGCCAAGATCTTCACTCTAAAGATATAAAAATTAATTATTGATTATTAATATAGTTGAAGGCTGTCATTGATTTTCTAACAAATGAAATGTAAGGGAATTTACATATATCTCTTCCTATTCTGTACCAACCAGGCTTATAAAGGTGGACATATGCCACACATTCAACAAGGAGGGAATTTTGTCTGGGCAGTGGCACTACGGCATGGTCTTATTTCAATTTCTAACTTTTTAATAAGATGCAGATCAGATTGTAATTTTGTGTCATTTATTTTTCAGATTTGAACAGTACCGATACCTTCTTAATCTCACTGATTTTCTATCTCACATGTCTTTTGCCAGTTACAGTTGTATATATTAAGATTAATTCTTACTGATATGCGAATGGGTAATAAAATTCCCATAATATATACATGTACCAGTACTGCAGCTCTATAATCAGATTTTACTAACCTGAAATGTAGTAGGTATATTATTATTATCCTCCATGATATAAGTATCAAGTTCTGGTATATCCTGGTTGTCTGTGGTGGATGATATATTCTCCTGTACTGATGTAGGTTTGTTAGGTTTGTTTATATTTTTTGTCATAATTTGCTGTCTGTGTACCGGTAATCTCTTCAACCTCTTTTATTTTACACAAATGACCTTCACTTAATTCTCTTCAGTTAAAGCTAAAATTATCAATGATTTGATTAAAATATAAAATTGATTTATTAAAATTATTGATAAATCGATTTGGGAGATTTATAAACACGATATCTCCAGATGCATTCCATTAGATTAGGAAAATGAGAGAAATGTGGTTTACCTTAACGTCCACTCAACACAAAATAGTCATTTCGGGACTAACATATGGTTCAGTTTTATTTCAGTAATTTGCTTGTGTGGTCTTTAGCTATGGGAGTAAACCAGAAGACCTGGAGAAAACCCACGAGGCTGGACAGGTGACCCTACTCCTTGTCACGTACAGCTTTGGAATCGAAACCCCGCCAGTTGACTCAATGACAGACCTTATGATACAGCGTGCACGTGCTAACCAATCGACCATCCAACCCCCCGGGATGTTACAACACAGCATGGACTGTTTATTCTTAAATTATCACAAATATGGGTCTTTATTGGGAGGATGCAGGAGGACCTGGAGAAAACCCACAAGATTGAAGATTGGATCATTGTTATTAGATTAATTGTATGCAAAATTTGAGGCAGATTCATAGCCATTTTAGGATTCCATGTGAGTTGTATGAGCAGTTTTCAATAATGAAATTAATTAATAATAATAATAATACTAATAAGGCTAATCTACTATTAAATTTCTGAATTTTGTTAATTTCGTCTGAAGTCGCTTACAGTTACATGCATGATTTGAAAGTTGAAACAAATTTAAACATTTCCAAAGTAGCCGGGTCTAGTATAACTGATTGTACAACTGTAACTGGATGGATGATGAGCGATTTGTTTACATAATTTCCATGGCAATCAAGACTTGAAATTAAATTTTACACTTTTTACTCGACCACATGCGGGGTTGAGGATATACAAAAAATCCTACATAGTTTACTTACATAAAGAGGTCTTTCCTTTTTCATATTTTGATATAATTTGTCAAGAAAATAATTAAATATAAAAGTACTTTTCCGTAAAGTCGTTTACTTGGTGGCCATTTTAGAATTCCAATGTAAACTTCCGGTAAGTTCACTTCCGGGTCGTAGGTCGTAAGCATCCATGTGGTCAGAATTTGATTTGAACAACCCGGCGACTGTTTGTTCAAATTTCCAATCATGACCTAAAATATTTCTTTGGCCTGTGTAGAGTAATTGTTTAAAAGGAAATTCTGAAGTGGAAAATACGTATCGACAACATTTGAATACATTTGATTGTCGATCCAGGTTTATAATACGTTTAATTTGCATTGGCAAGTTCGAAGTTGCTGCAGATTTCATAGCAAAAACAAACGGAACGGAAACGAGTTTTGTTTTTAAATTTTTTTTAATATAATTATATCAGAATGAAGAAAATGTCAGCCTTTTCAGTTTTTTCCGGAAAGTCGAAAAGGGTACTAAATTAATCTTTTCTATTTTATTTACAGATGTAGTATGGTTGACTTTTTTATATTATTGAGAAAAGTCATATCTTATGATATGAAAGAATCTGCGGTCTTTACTGCTTCAGTCCATTTGTTTTCATATCTTCTAGCCAATGTGACATGTGTGTAGTGATGTTGTCAACACTACATGTATTTACACCTATAAAAGAGCCTATATAATCTTAAGAAATGCCTTACTCAATGTGTACGACTGCACTATAGAAACAAACTCTCTTGGAATTGTGACACACCAAAAATCGTGAGAGTCTGTCAACCGATGCACAATTGTCCAAAGAACAGTAAGACAACCCCCATCTAATTTCAAAAGAATAAGTATGTCAATTTTCATGTTGATCCTGTCCCAAAAACAAGAAAATTAAATTGGGAATTTTGTTGTTTAAAAGTGAGGAATAAAAACCATGCCACTTGACTCAGTGACAGACAATATGATCCAAAGTGCATATATTAAACCATTCGACCACCCAACCATATGAGAAGTCAAATACATCTTTCTTAATTTTTGACTGAAGTTTGAGGCAGAGAAAGCTCCTCAGAATTGTCAGTGTTGCAGGAAGAAATTGTCTAGTTGGCTTGATGGTATAAAACTGAGGTTCTTTACACATGTTGGCGTGTACATAAACGAACCTGTTGACAGTCAGAATTTGTGAATAAGATAAAACTATACAGCTGCTGTTTGGTCAAAATGTCTTTGATAGCTCACTGCATGGCGTATACTAAGGTTGCAACGATATCAAAATATTTTATTATTCCAGTTGCTGAACCCGAGTACGATTCGTTATAATATATTATGAGAAAAGAGACTGGATGATCAGTTATAACAGTTGCCTAGCATCTTCTGCCACACTGGAAATGAACTTGTCAGAGTTACTATCGATGAATGTTATTGATTTAAAATAACGTCTATTCTCTCGTTAATCAGTGGTCTGGCGATTATTAGATTTATCGCGATAACTGAACAAATCTCCCGATATACCAGGGATGGCGATTATCTGATTTTGGACCGATACTATATTATAATTTAAAAAATAATCACGATTATGCGGCACCCCCGGGGTATCACTGCAACCTTAGCGTATACCTGTCTTGATTGGTACAATAACCCAGTTCAGTCAGCGGGGGTTGAATTGCCGAATGGTTAGCATGTGCGCATTGTATCATAATGTCTGTCATTAAGGCTGTGCAAAAATATCGATATAATCGATAATCGGTAGAAGTTATTTAGCGATATGATAATCGATATTGAAATTCAAATATCGATTATCGGTATATTTACCTTCTGACGGCAAGTTACGGTCACTTTCACATGACTGAACTTGCCGTAGTCTGGCATGCAGACGAATGAACGAATACAAAACGTCAACACAACAACTATCTTCCCCCTCTGCTTACAAACTGGCACATTTTAAATATATATTATTGTAAAAAAACTAAACTTTAAGATTAAATACATTATTTTAATATTTTCGTTGTTTTTGTTGTTATTACTAGTTGAAACTAAAATAGGTCACGCACTTTGTGAACAATGACGATCGCACGTGATATAGTAAAATTAGAATTATCTCCCTTCTTTGCTCTTGATTGATTTGTAGAGAAATTGTCTGCTTTCACGATAAAACTAATTGTATTATTAATGATCAACTCAGCTTTTATTACTAAATCATGTCAGATACAGCCCATACAAAACACGTTTTTGACTTCCCGGGAAAATATCTATATCTCTCGTAATTTCTTGGAAGAATTCTACTTTGGTTTTCGTCAAAATTAACCAATCATAAAAATTCTACTTTGAAAGCCGGTAATTATTTTTTTATTGTCCAATCAATAGACGCCTTCTATTATATTTTATTATATTATTAGTAACACTGTGTGATCGCCAGTAACTTGCAAAGAGAAACCATGTATTGTCTTTGTATTTATCGGAGATATTGGAATAAAAAAAAGGTTCAAATGAATCAAGAACAAAACTTAGAATAATACTCAAGTTAATCCTACATTTAGCAACTAATTATTTTACATTAATTGATTTTTTTTCGTACATCGGCACAGTATTAGACTAGGATAATAACACTACTGTAACTCGATCAACACAAATAACAGGTCGGTAAAGTTCGTTTTTTCCGGAAGAATGATAATGGATTATTATCGATAATCGCTGACAAATTCTTGCCGATAATCGATAGTGAAATTTCATATCGATTCCCAGCCTTATCTGTCATTGACTCAATTGTTGTGGTTTCGATTCCCCGGTTGTACGTGACAAGAAGTAGGGTCGCATGTCCAACCTCGTGGGTTTTCTCCGGATCCTCTGGTTTTTTCCCCTACTAAAAAAACCCTATGTGCAAGCGAATTATTGAAATAAACTTGAACCATATGTTAGTCCCTACCTACTTCTCGTTTATTTTTATAATTGATTTGACTGTTTCAGACCAAAGCTATGACAGAACTGGACCAAGGTAAAGAAACACCGGATATTGACGAGAACAAAAGTCGTGGGAAATCTAATTTACGTAGAGCAGACAGTACACCAACAGTTCCTGGGGATTTAAAAAAAGAATCTGGAACAAAAGGAAAAAAGATTTTGGTACTTAAGTTTCTATTTTAAAATATCTTAATGTGGCAGTAAAAGGGATATTTAATGATTTTAGACAGTATAGTAAAACTGAAATAACACGTAAATATTCCTTATTACCACATTCTAAATTGTTGTCCCCTTGTCAGTGGTGCAAGACGGAGGACATTACAAGGGCAGCTGTCTAGTTGTTCAGATGGGACAAAAAACCAAGATCCCTTGTATACATTGACGTGCACGTAAAAGATCACTTGGCAGTTGGAATTCGGTATAAGAGTTGGCCATAGTGCCGCTGTCCGGGCAAAATTTTCCTCAAAGCACTCTGTATGGTGTATGCCCGTCTTCATTATCCCAGTCGGAGCAGAACAATAGAACATTTCATTTCTAAATTGTTGCAAAGATTATTAACAGATGTATAAGGTACATGTAGTTTGAATAAATTATGCCGTTCATGTTTAATAATAAATATTGCCGAGATAATCAAGGCTATACTCAGCAACTATATTCCTTCCACCTGTTGACTGAGTCTGGACAATCAAAGCTATATTCAGCAACTATATTCATTCACTTGTTGACCGAGCCTGGAAATAAAGCATATATCAGACATTGTCAGGTACCGTACTAATTCAGCCACAATCCCTCTGTTGTTTGTCATTTTTTTAATCATAGTTTTCATGATATTTATTTACGATACTTTCTTAGTTTGAAAGGATGAGCTTTGGAAGGAATGAAATGAAATGGGGTTTAACGTCCTGCTGTGTCTGGTCGGCAGTGCTACGGTCTATTCTTATATTGAATTCTAATGGTCAAGGATTCTTTTAAGTGCACGCCAATGAAAAAACAGAACCTCAGTTTTGGTCGTATCCATCCGTAGGACTGCGTTGTCTAGGGCTTGCCACGAGACGCGAGTAATTACTCGCGCGCATGCTACGCTCGCGTAAAACCAAATTTACGTGAGTGATTAAGTACTCGCGCAAATATAAAAAATAATTTAATCAGAAATAATTGAATATCGTAATATAAAAAGCCGTAAACAATTTGTATGCCTTCATATCGATGCACTATTGCGCACGCGGCGTGTCTTTCCAGTGCCAACTGTTGTTACTAAAAATACTTTGAGACGCGTACTGCCAGGCGGTTTTTAAGCGGATGTCCTTTGCCGTGTCTGGATAATCAAACATTGAGCGGATGTTGTCGATTCTATTAATAGCAATTCTTTCGATCCCGCATCTTTTCTGCAAATTGATGGGATTGAAATTGTTTTGCCTGTTCTTTTACCTTTCTAAGCTTTACCCGAATCCCCTCAGCACGCCAACGATGGCAAAGGGAAGCCCAGTTTCTCTTGCAACGTTCTTGTCATGGGAAGACGATTTACAGATAATATTACTGCCAAGGAAATAAAAGAGTATGCATTGTCATTGTGTGTGAAATAGCTTTATTCAACGTCTGCTTCCACCGAAGTGACAATAACATTGCCATTAGGCACATGAAATTTAAATGGCTACTCACGCACATCATTCTGTGTGAGTAAATACATGTACTCGCCTCACTCGCGCAAGTCTATATTTGCGTGAGTAGTCATCTACTCGCCTCCAATTTGCTCGTGGCAAGCCCTGGTTGTCCCTTGGCAGGCGTTACATCCTGCATCACTGACAAGGGGTAACCATTCTGAAAATCGTGATGAACTTTCTCGACCACACCAGGACCAAACACGGGACCTCCAGGTTAGCGAGAAAACTTCTTGTTCACTGAGCCACTACGAATCCTGGAAGAAATAAAGGCTTAAACTCATAAACTAGTCTAGTATCACTGTAAACCGAGTATCATTTAATCTTGTGTATTTAGCACTAGTTTCTTTCACATTCATTATCAAAATTGAATGGTCAGCTTTAAACCGGACACAAGTACAAATGAGATGATTTGGGTGATTTTTTACAAAGTTTTAAACAAAGATTTCATATTGAAAGAATGTGAAGATTAAATGATACCCAGGTTACAGTGTATGTTGTGCTGTGAAATGATAACTTTATTTTTATAGAAAGTGTTAAAAGGAGGAAGTTTACGTAGTACATTCCGAGGGAAAGGTCGTCCATCTATTTTACCAGAAGGCCATGTTCCGAGTCCGTATATCGCGAATGATGCAGTAAGTAACGGTATTGAGTTGACAGCACTAAAGAAAAATGGCGACTTTGGAAGTATAACCAGTATGATATCAGTTGATAAAAAGACTAAAAATTCACCAAGTAAGATATTTATTTTTTTTATCCTTAAAACTGCTGTTGTTTATTGTAATATAGTGTCCAGATGATCAAGACTACTTTGTTCATATTGATTAAGTTTACACATCATGTGACTCTAGTGTCTGGTTAATCTGGATTGTAGATAGGTGTAGACAAGACACCAGTGGATGCACGAGAGTGGCTCAGCAACACATGGTTGTTTGTTGGTCATTCAATCTGATTATCCCAAAGTTGTTATATGGGACTGTAAGAGTATATCTGACAAAAGAGAACACAAGATAAATAGAAACAGTCCGTACATTCACATGTGTTTATTCATTCTATACTTATAAAAACATATTAATGCACCGACTTTTTCTATTTTTCTTTCATGTTCTCTTATCTAGTGACAGTCAATTTTTTTGATGAATTGTCAGATATCCTCTCACAGTCTCACACAACAACTTTCGGTCTTCGAAGGAATTATTAGTGAGCAGAAATTCGCCCATGTATCTGTTATCACCCGTCACTTCAGTCAGTTATATACATGTAGAGGGATAACTCATGTTTTCCTTTTGCGTTCGTCACTTCCGATTGTTGAAACATTGATTGCGCATCTATTGTAGAAATGATCTGTGATAGAATAATATTTGGCACGTGTTTAACCAGTTCTATCACATATGTGATAATGACTGGCACCAATATTGTCCTGTAACTCAATGGCATAGTCAACCCTTATGATCTGAAATTACACCCACATTCCCTTTACATTGCAGAGGAGTTTTGTAATTACACTGAAGCACTTGTATGTAGAGAGGTGTCGCTTTTTTTTATGTCGACTTATAAGGGTCCCACAAACAGTGTTAAAGCAGCAATAAATCTAGATGCAAGTCGAATAATTTGCCATCATTAATCAACACTAAAATCATAGTTGACTATTCATCAATTAAAATTTAAAAGTCCTATCAGTTTAATGTCTATAACATCGCTAATTATAAATAAACTTTATGTTGATAGTCAGTCAATTTAAGGGGGGTTGGATGGCCGAATGGTTAGCACGAGCACGCTGTATCATGAGGTCTGTCATTGAGTCAACTGGCGTGGTTTCGAATCCCTGGTTGTACGTGACAAGGAGTAGGGTCGCCTGTCCAACCTCGTGGGTTTTCTCCGGGTCCTCCGGTTTCCTCCCACTGCTAAACACCCCTATGCACAAGCTAATTATTGAAATAAAATTAAACCATATGTTAGTCCCGTTAAACCCCATTTCTCTCTCTCTCTCTCTCTCTCTCCAGTCAATTTAAATATGAGAGTTTTCACGAATTGTATTTGAGAAATGTTAAAGTTATGTTAGTTTCAGTAAGTTAGTAGTTGATCATAATACAGTATGTTTTAATTCCATGCAAAGACAGAGGGGTTGGGTGGTCTTGTTGATTAACGCATAAAATCAAAAGGTCTGTCATTGATTCAAATGACGTGTTTTTGATTCCCCACTTGTACGTGACAAGGAGTAGGGTGGCCTGTCCAATTTCATGGGTTTCTCTGGGTTCTCCAGTTTCCTACCACTGCTAAAAAACCCTACGCGCAAGCAACTATTGAACTCGTTCTCTCTCTCTATCTTTCACCTGCACCCCCCTCCTCCCCCACATGCAAAGACTGGACATGGTTGTTTTTTCTAGATTGCTACTTTAATAATGATATCCAAGTGTGTAAGTGATTTCTATTTTATTTTATAGACAGATCAAAAGATGATGATAAAATAAAAGGTAAAAGTCCAGCATCTCCACGTAATCAGAAAGGTAAAACACAGGTAACTCCACGAGTTACTCGTACATCACCAACTAAACGTCACCTTGAATCACCAGATGTACCATCAAAGAAAAAGAAAAAAGACGTACCTGAAGAACAAATCGAGGTAATATTTCACATGTAGTTTATTCAGACTTCTTGGGGGGGCGGGGGGATAGCCAAATGGTTAGCATGTGCACGCTGTATCATAAGGTCTGTTATTGAGTCAACTGGCGTGGTTTCGATTCCCTGGTTGTACTTGACAAGGAGTAGGGTCGCCTGTCCAACCTCGTGGGTTTTCTCAAGGTTCACCGGTTTCCTTCCACTGCTAAAGACCCATATGCGCAAGCAAATTATTGAAATAAAATTAAACCATATGTTAGTCCCGAAATCACCTAGTTTATATTGAGTGGAAGTTAAACCCTATTTATCTCTTACTTCTTTCGATTTATATCATATCATGCAATAATTGGCGATCATGTTTGATCCGACTCCCTTTTCTATTTCCATAACTTTTACTCCGAAAAACTAGCAGTTAGCCGTCCATACTGTGTCCACATGGAACTTCCTACTTTCTATGTTAGGGTTAGGGTCAGGTATTTAAGATTAAAACCTATAACACAAAAATGGGAGTCACATCAAACATGAATGCCCAATAATTTTGTATTATATTTTTTTGTTTGTTCAAAAGGAACCAGCAGAAGGTCCATCAACAAAACCCGAATTAGCTTCTCGATTACCCTATATGTTTGACAGTTCTAAAGAAGCCAAGAAATTATTTGAATGTATTATAAATCCTGTTAAACTGGACAGATTTTTCTCGTGAGTTGATTTAGATTTGCTTTTTCCAGCGTTTTTTGTATTAATTGAACTGTCCGATTACATAATTTGGTGTGGAGACCTAAGCAGATTTTTCTAGCTTGATTTCCACTTGCCAGGGAAGGAAGAACTGATGTAGTGGACTGTAGCCATAGTGAGTCAGTGAGTATTCTACTGGCTCACTAAGCAAGGTTCCATCCTGATTCTGGTCAAGGGAGTTCGAACCTGGTTTGGATATTCCGGCGTGGTTTCCCCTTGTCAGTGGTGCAGGACGGTCGGAGGGCCTGACAAGGACAGCTGTCTAGTCGTTCGGATGAGACAAAAAAACGAGGTCCCGTGTACATATTGGCGTGCACGTAAAAGATCCCTTGGCAGTTGGAATCCGATATGAGAGTAGGCCATAGGGTCGCTGCCCTGGCAAAATTTCCCGTCTCCATTATCCCTTGTCTGAGCAGAAAAGTAGGATGTTAAACCCTATTTCATTTCTTATTTTAGAGAATTTTGGGAAAGGAAACCTCTACTTATACAACGATATAAGCTGACGCCATATTATAATGATGGTTGGTTTAGTACAGCGGAACTCGATCATATCCTCCGACAGGTTGGTATTAACTCATGAATATACAGGTCACAATTACTGATTATTCTCTAAGTCTTTATCAAGAATAATGTAATATGAAAGTTTGTGGGAGGTTGGATGGCCGAATGGTTAGCATGTGCGCTCTGTATCATAAGGCCTGTCATTGAGTCAACTGGTGTGGTTTCGAATCCCCGGTTGTATGTGACAAGGAGTAGGGTCGCCAGTCCAACCTTGTGGGTTTTCTCCGGGTCCTCCGGTTTCCTCCCACTGCTAAAGGCCCCTACGCGCAAGCGAATTATTGAAATAAAATTAAACCATATGTTAGTCCCGAAATGACCTAGTTTGTGTCAAGTGGACTTTAAACCCCATTTCTCTCTCTCTATGAAAGTTCGTTTGTTTCTGGAGTTTTACATCTACTTCCACCAAGGGCGATATCGTAGACCAGTGTTTCTTAAGACACTTGTCAGAAGAAGCCACAAAAATAGGTTTGGTGCAGCTTTTTTGGGTAAGACACAGTGTCTTTGCAGGGAAGCACCCAAGGTGAATTTCAAAGAAGAAAGCTCTGGGTGTTAGAAATAAAAATAGCGAGCATGCACAGTCTGGCCCGCTTTGCCATAAATCTATGATCCGTAATATGTAAATATAACAAGACAATATATACATGTACTCAACAATACTTGATTAATGCTGACCAACCAGAGATACCCTCCTAATTACCTTGAAACCTAACTTAATTAAGGTAATCTTTGAGAGAATACTCTTCGAAACGTCGCCCAAATAAATCAGTAATTGTTCTTCCATAAGTATGTGTTATAGTTTATAGTAATCTTTTAGAGGCATTTAGTAACTATTTAGACATAGACTTTAGACATATTAACTATAACACATACTTATGGAAAAACAGCTACTTATTTATATGTGTTATAGTTAATTAATTAAGGTAATGTAATTATGAAAGTGATCAAGGTTGATAAGGGTAATGCTAATAATAACATCCAATATGAAATAGACCACTTTACCTGAAAATAAAACAAATGAAAAAAGATGAAATTTAATTAATATTATTGTTGAAATAACGTAGAGGTAATGTGATTTCACTTGAATACATCTTTTGGGGGGTTGGATGGTCGAATGGTTAGCGCGTTTGCATTGCATCATAAGGTCTGTCATTGACTCAACTGTCATGGTTTCGATTCCCCAGTTGTGTGTGACAAGGAGTAGGGTCGTCTGTCCAACCTCGTGGGTTTTCTCCGGGTCCTCCGGTTTCCGCCCACTGCTAAAGACCCCTACGCGCAAGCGAATTAATGAAATAAGATTAAACCATATGTTAGTCTCGAATTAACCTAGTTTGTGTCAAGTGGAGGTTAAACTCTCTCTCTCTCTCTTTTAATACATGTTTGACTTTGATATGAATTATTTGTTTTACTATACAGGAGAATATACAGTACAGTGTCAATCTAGATGTTACATCATACGAGAACGGTAAACGTGAAACACATAACCCTATAGGTCGAGCCTACGCACCTGTTGTTTGGGACTACTATCAGGTAACTTTCTTTTTACAATATATTTAGTACTTTTAAGCACCTGTGTCGACCAACAGGCTTGTAAATGTTAGTTGAATTAAAGACATTTCTTTAAAGAGCATTTATCTGAGATCCAGCTCTGTTGATAGTCTGTAACAGGGAAAATCTTTCAAAAACTACATTAAACATACATTATGCAAGAGCTAAATCTTTCTATTGCAGGTCTTTCTTTAGACCTTAAATGTTATATAAATTATTAATTAGACATTAATGAACTTACCAAGACCATAATTAACTCTCAATGCCATCAGATGTCTGTGATATTTAGTGGATTTAAATACATTTTGTGGTTGATGAAATAACCAGTCCGTCCACATTTTATTTGTCGATGCTCCACAAATCTTGTTTCGTTTTGATATTGACGCATGTCGGACCTTTAACATCCTGGATTATGTCTCCCCCCACCCATTATACGAAAATCGATTTGTGTTTTTTAGCTTGTTCTCTGTCCATCTCTTGCAAAATGTAGATGTATCTTGCATGGCAACAGCTTGAAGGCATTGTTCTGCTATGACTGATGCCATGACCACTATTATGACTGATACTGATGTTATGATTGATGTCATGACTGATGCTATGACTGCTGTTATGATTGATGCTATGACTGATGTTATGACTGATGTTGTGGAATTTTGAATATTATTCACCATGTCTTGTCTGGTTCGACAATTTAGGATGTTTAGAAAATAATGTCGCACATTTCCGGAATATACCTTCGAAATTCCATCACTATTTAAGACTGATGCTATATCTGATGTTATGACTAATGCCATGACTGATGTTATGACTGATGCCTTGACTGATGCTATGACTGCTGTTATGACTGATGCTATGACTGATGCTATATTTACAGAGTGGCTGTTCTCTGCGATTACTTAATCCACAGACGTACAGTAGAAGAGTATGGAAATTATTATCAGTATTACAAGAATATTTTGGTTGTTGTGTTGGTGCCAACATGTAAGTTTCTTACAGTTATAGATATCGGTTGTGCGTCAAGTTATAGGGAGCGATTTGTTGCAAGGTTCTAGAGTAGGATTTGTGAGAGAACAGTTTGAAGCTAGTTGTGTGTAAAGTTCTCATACCCACGAATAATATAGATTTGTTATTATATTGTAGAGTATGAGTATAATATAGATATATTATTATATTGTAGAGTATATGTATAATATAGATACATTATTATATTGTAGATATTTAACGCCACCCGGTACACAAGGTTTCGCACCACATTACGATGATATAGAAGCCTTTATTCTACAACTAGAAGGAAGAAAAAACTGGAAATTGTACGCCACAAGGTAAGATTTGTGTGATTTAACAAGTACAGTCGTAGTATGGACCACAAACTGACCATGTTGTTGGATAAAATTCAAAAATCTAATTCCCCAAATCTTCTTAATTATATTCCAAGAGAGCCAAATTGTATTTATATACTTTAGTTTTGTCTCATTGAACTATATGTAAGTCTCTCTTTTTCAAATTTATGTTGGTTTATGGGGAATGAGTTGCTCCTTTAGACAAACCTTGTAGGGTTTCTCTTGGTTCTCCAGTTTCCTCCCACTGTTAAAGACCCCTACGTGCAAGCAAATTATTGAAATTGAACCATGTGTTAGTCCCGAAATACCCTAGTTTGTGACGAGTGGAGATTAAACCCCATTTCTCTCTCTCTATAGACAAACTAAAAATTTCAGCATTATGAAGTAACGTAGATATTTTATAAGAAAATAAAAGACGACCACAACTATGGTCGGCATTAATTTACAAAATTTTCATCCTGTTTTAGTATTTTTTTTATTTTACAGAACTGGATCTGAAAAGTTACCAAGATTTTCTAGTGGTAAGATAATTATTATTATTATTTATTTTATATAATACAAAATGATCAGTGTTTCTCCTACAGTGTTTCCCAATTTAGGGGGGGATCCACATGGAAAAGGCTAGTCCGTGAAAAGAGGATAGCCAAATATAATTCAGTATTAAATTGTGGGTATTTGGACACTAATAAAAATTGGCAATCATCTTGCTATGTATTGATGTTTATATTAAGACATTCCGTTTAGGGTTGATGAAAAATTAATGTGAAAGGAAGTTGATGGCACATGCCCATAGTTCTAACGCATCTTATAGAAAATCTGACTGAAAAAAGTAAATGCTGGTTATACAAATTTGTGACTATTTGTTTTTTATGAATTTGACAATCTGATTAAAACACAGATCCAATTTCGTTTCGTTTTTATAGTTCAAAATTTCGATTTTACTTGTCTTTACTAGACTTGGATCTGGAAGCGTTGTTATTTAACTCGTGTTCTGCTTGAAATGAGGGGTCAGCCTGTCGAATCGAGCGTTTGACCTTTTTTTGCGCGGAACTGTCGGTAGACATTAGCGGCAATAGAAATCAAAACAAAGCAAAAGTAGATGAAAAATACATGGCGGTCGCCAATTGGTTAATCGAATGACTGATGTAATCGGGTCAAATGTCGCTTGCTTGGTACCTGACGTCATAGAATGTGAACTCCCACTATAACTTGTTAGATCTACATGTAGTGTAGGCCATCGGAAGTATAAAAAAACGAAACGAAATATAGATCTATATTTTAATTAGATTGTAAATTTGAAAGACTGTGTTACGTAAAAAAAAAATACTGACTTGATAGGCTGTAGCCATGGTGACTCAGTGAGTATTCTACTGGCTCACAAACCAGGTTCCAACATGATGCTGGTCGAGAGAGTTCGAACCTGGTTTGGGGGATGACAGTGGCTAAGTAGGTAAGACGCTGGGTCGCTAGCCTGGCAGTTGGGTGTTCGATCCCAGCATGGGCCGAAAGAGGCCATCAAGATTTCCCAGCATGGTTCCCCCTTGTCAGTGATGCAGGATGGAAGACCTGATAAGGTCAGCTGTCTAGTTGTTCGGATGGGATGAAAAAAAACAAGGTCTCATGTACACGTTGGCGTGCAAGTAAAAGATGCCCAGGCAGTTGGAATTTGATATAAGAGTAGGCCGTAGTGTTGCGCTGTGGGCAAAATTTTCCTTATAGCACACTGTATGGCGTATGCCCGTCTTCATTAGCCCAGTTTGGAGCAGAACAGTAGGATGTTAAACCCCATTTCATTTTATTTCTGTTTGTTGTGTAGAAAATCTTAACGAAGCCGATCTTGGAGAGCCGATATTGAACAGAGTTTTAGAAGCGGGGGATTTGTTGTATTTTCCAAGAGGGACGATCCATCAAGCTTCGGCACTCGAAGATTCACATTCCCTACATATAACTGTTTCATGCTACCAGAAAAACAGCTGGTTTGACTTCTTTGAAAAGGTGAGTTGAATCGTCGTATTATATTGATTGTTTCCCATTGAACTATCAAGGTGTTGAATTATGTTCAATTCTAAATGCCATTCAAAGATTATACAAATACGAGCGTATGTCTTATCTCTCTCTCTCTTTGATCCCTGCATTGGCCGAGAAAGTTCATCCAGATTTTCCGGCGTGGTTGCCCCTTGTCAGTGATGCAGGATGAAGGGCCTGACAAGGACAGCTATCTAGTCCTTCAGATGATACGAAAAACCGAGGTCCCGTGTATACATTGGAATGCACGTAAAAGATCCCTTGGCAGTTGGAATTCGATATAAGAGTAGGCGATAGTGCCGCTGCCCAGGCAAAATTTCCCTCATAGCACACTGTATGGCGTATGCCCGTCTTCATTAGCCCAGCATAGGAGCAGAACAGTAGGACGTTAAACACCATTTCATTCATTCATTCATTCATTCATTCTCTCTCTCTTTAATCTTTCAATAGTCCATGAAATTATATGTATATCTTACATCAGTAAAATGTAACAAAACAAAAAATGATATGATTAACTAATTTCAATAATAATCAAAAGGAATGTTATTATTTTTTATTCATATAAAAGATAGGATGAGGCTTTATTTCAGTTTTATTTTAGAGCCCTACAGAATGAACCTTAAAATTATATTATATTGTTTTAGTTATTACCAAGAGCCCTACAGAATGAACCTTTATATTATATTATATTGTTTTAGTTATTACAGAGAGCCCTACAGAATGAAAAATAAAATTATATTATACTATTCAAAAAAAGTAGGGGATATTTGATTTTTAAGTGTTATTAAAGTCACCTAATGAAACTGACGAAGAAACAAATGACAAAATGAAATGAAGTTCACATTCATCGATTTATTCCAAATGATCGTTAGACTAAGTAAGGCACAGACTGACCATTATAAGGGTAAAATGATACCCGGGGTCAAACAGCAAAGTTACCACAGCACCACAACCAAGTCAGTAACGGGTAAATCCTCCTCTGTTTGCCAAACAAGCATTGTTCCGACGTGGCATATTCCTAATGAGACGTCTAAGGTCATTTTGGTCCAGATTGTCCCATTCCTGTTGCAACGCAGCAGCAAGTTCTTGGACATTGGCAGGACGTTGTTGACGTTGACGTAACCTCTGTCCAAGCATGTCCCAGACATGCTCGATGGGGGAGAGGTCGGGACTCAGTGCTGGCCAAGGTAATGTGGTGATGTTCTGTTGTTGGAGGTAACCTGTAACGATCCTGGCCCTGTGACATCTTGCGTTGTCATCCTGGAAAATGAAACGGCGGCCATGACGTCGTGCGAACGGCACAACATGGACTGCCAAGATGTTGTCCCGGTAGTACTGGCCTGTAACACGCCCTGCAACAACATGTAAAGCCGTTCTTCCAGCAACAGTGATGCCTCCCCACACCATAACAGAACCACCCCCAAATCGATCATGTCTGATGACGTTAACGTCTTGGAAGCGCTCGTTTCGACGACGCCACACCCTCCTACGTCTGTCCAAAAAATCAACAGTGAACCTTGACTCATCTGAAAACATCACATTGCTCCAGCGTCGATTATCCCAGTGTTGACGATCCCTACACCAACGACGTCTTGCCTGAATGTGATGATCTCTCAAACAAGGGATCACGCGAGGACGTCGGGCGCGAAGGTGACTCCTATGCAGTCGATTCCGAATCGTCTGGCCACTCACTCTCACACCAGTGTCTGTTTGAAGACGAGCGCTGATCTGATTTGCTGTGATGACACGATTTCTCAAGGCCAAGGTACGGATAAATCGATCCTGGGCTTGAGTTGTCGCCCTTGGTCGACCTGAGCGTGGTCTGTCCTGTACAGATTGTGTATCACGGTATCTGGACCATAGCCTGCTTATGACAAACTGAGAAACATTCATCGTCCGCGCCACAACCGCCTGTGTTGTGCCGATCTGTAGCATGCCAAGGGCACGTAACCTTTCATTTTGGGTAAGCCGACGCATATCAAAATTTGTTTTCTGGTCACTAAAACAATTAAACTGATGTTTCCACCCTGGAATTCAATGCCACAATGACTGTAACATTCAAAGTCAGAGTCGTGCAAATCTTGGGTTGGACCCCCATGATGATCCCAAGCATCACCTGCATTCTATGCGGTAGCTATTGGTGCGTTTGGGCGTCACATGTAACTGGAAATGTTTCTTCTGTTAGGTTCTATAGTGACTTTTTTCGTAGTCATTTGCATATTTTAGTATTATGCCCCCAAAATCAAATATCCCCTACTTTTTTTGAATAGTATATATTGTTTTAGTTATTACAGAGAGCCCTACAGAATGAACCTTAAAATTATATTATATTGTTTTAGTTATTACCAAGAGCCCTACAGAATGAACCTTTATTTTATATTATATTGTTTTAGTTATTACAGAGAGCCCTACAGAATGAACCTTAAAATTATATTATATTGTTTTAGTTATTACCAAGAGCCCTACAGAATGAACCTTTATTTTATATTATATTGTTTTAGTTATTACCAAATGCCCTACAGAATGAACCTTTTGTTTTAGTTATTACCAAGAGCTCTACAGATCGCTTATGAAGAAGATGTAGAATTACGTAAGGGAGTTCCACTAAATTATTTACAAAATATGGGAGTGGTCAATTCAGATAAGGTAATCTATATCTAACAGTTAATAACTCTTAATTCTCTCTTCAGTGGTTTCTGTTGGATAAAATCTGAATAACTCACATACTCTAATGTTGTCTTAGTGAAAACTGTGCCAGAGTCTGATCATCACTGCATTATAAAAGTCTGGTGGTTCACCAAAACAAGGGGGGGGGGGGGGTGGTAACCGAATGATTAGTGCTTACAGGTTGTATCATTAGGTCTGTCACTGACTCAACTGTTGGTTGTATGTGACAAAAATTGTGGGTGTTCGCCGGGTCCTCCAGTTAACTCCCACTGTGCGAGTGTATTATTGTAATAAAATTGAACCATGTGGTGGTCACGAAATAACCTAGTGTGTGTCAAGCGGAGGTAAAACCCCAACTCTCTCTCTCTCTCTCTCTCTCTCTCTCTCTCTCTCTCTCTCTCACCAAAACCTAATCCAAGCTAGCTGTAAGTAATTGGTCAGCGACTGGTACCAACAAGTAGTTGCATGAAATATGTCTATGCGCTCTTACAACTGACTGGAACTGATTTTTTTACCAGATGGTACCAGGTGCTCCTGTTCTAATTTTTGGAATACACTTGTGGCCAGTTTCTTTGGTCTGTACATGGTCAAGAAATTAACATATGAACATGAAAATAAATTGGGGGGGGTGGATGACTGAATGGTTAGCACGTGCGCGCTGTATCATAAGGCCTGTCATTGAGTCAACTGGCGTGGTTTCGATTCCCTGGTTGTACGTAACAAGGAGTAGGGGCGCCTGTCCAACCTCGTGGGTTTTCTCCGGGTCCTCCGGTTTCCACCCCTATGTGCAAGCGAATTATTGAAATAAAATTAAACCATATGTTAGTCCCGAAATGACCTAGTTTGTGTTGAGTGGACGTTAAACCCCATTTCTCTCTCTCTCTCTGAAAATTAATTATTTGAATTTGTTTTATTTATAATACATGTATTTGAATTTGTTTTTGCTTAATATAATATATTTGGCGTTTCAGGAAACTCCAGAAAGAAAGATGATATTGGGTAAAGTAGAGAAATTGATGACTAGTATATTTAAAAATGCACCAATAGATGCAGCATTTGATCAGATGGGACGAGGTTTTATACATGATAGTTTACCTCCAGTTTTATCTGAATGTAAGTTGTTAAAACAGTTTTATCTGAATGTAAGTAGCTAAAACAGTTTTAGCTGAATGTAAGTAGTTAAAACAGTTTTAGCTGAGTGTAAGTACATGTAGTTAAAACAGTTTTAGGTGAATGTAAGTAGTTAAAGCAGTTTTAGCTGAATGTAAGTACATGTAGTTAGAACAGTTTTAGCTGAATGTAAGTACAAGTGGTTAAAGCAGTTTTATCTGAATGTTAGTAGTTAAAGCGGTTTTATCTGAATGTTAGTAGTTAAAGCAGTTTTATCTGAATGTTAGTAGTTAAAGCAGTTTTATCTGAATGTTGGTAGTTAAAGCAGTTTTATCTGAATGTTAGTAGCTAAAACAGTTTTATCTGAATATAAGTAGTTCAATTAGTTATCTGAATGCATGCATCAAATTTTTTTTATCTGAATGTCAGTATGAATATAAGTATTTAGAACAATTAGTTAAAACAGTTCTATCTGAATGTAAATAGCTAAAACAGTTCTACCTGAATGTGGGAATCACGGTGGCTAAGTGGGTAAGATGCTGGCTCGCTAGTCTGGAGGTCGGGTGTTCGATCCCTGCATTGGCTGAGAAAGTTCATCCAAATTTTCCGGCGTGGTTCTCCCTTGCCAGTGATGCAGGACGGAGGGCCTGACAAGGACAGCTGTCTAGTTGTTCGGATGGAACGGAAAACCAAGGTCCCATGTACACATTAGCGTGCAAGTTAAAGATCCCTTGGCAGTTGGAATTCGATATAAGAGTAGGCCATAATTCCACTGTCCGGGCAAAATTTCCTTCATAGCACACTGTATGGCGTAAACCCGTCTTCGTAAGCCCACTTCAGAGCAGAACAGTAGGACGTTAAACCCCATTTCATTTCATTTCTACCTGAATGTAATTAGTTAAAGCAGTTCTACCTGATTGTAATTAGTTAAAACAGTTCTGTCTAAATGTAGTTAGTTAAAACAATTTTATCTTAATATAGATAGTTAAAACAATTTTATCTGAATGTAAATAGCTAAAACATATTATTTGTGTAACAGCTGAGAAATCATGTAGTATCCATGGCACCGGTGAGAGATGGGATAGCAAACGTAATCAAGTTACCAGTATGGTGGAGATTGAACCAGATTCGATGGTCAAAATAATACGACAAGGTGCTCTTAGGTTCGTACATACATATATTTTTTATTTATTTATTGTACTTTATCTACGATGGCTAAGTGAGCAAGAAGCTGGCTCGCTAGCCTGGAGGTCGGGTGTTCGATCACTGCATTGGCCAAGAAAGTTCATCAGGATATTTGGACCTTGTCTCACCTTGTCAGTGGTGCAGTACGGAGGAATGACAAGGACAGCTGTCTAGTCGTTCGGATGGGACAAAAACTGAAGTCCCGTGTATACATTGGCGAGCATGTAAAAGATCCCTTGGCAGTAAGAATTCAATTTAAAAGAGTAGGCCATAGTGCCACTGCTTGGGCAAAATTTCCCTCATAGCACACTGATGGCGTATGCCCTTCTTCAATAACCTGGTTGGAGCAGAACAGAACAGTCGGACGTTAAATCCCATTTCATTTTATTGTTTTCTTTGACATGAAATTACTCCCGATTTATTAAAGACAGATTTATACACACATCATGATTTAAATTAATTGTAGGTTGGTTTTAGAGGAAGATCAAGTCCATGTTTATCATAATTTAGAGAATTCACGAATTTATCAGGGAGTTGAACCACAGTTTGTTGATATACCATTAGAAGTAAGTTTTACTTATTACATATAGAATGGATGGATGGGGGCGGGGGAGATAGAGTGTAACGTCCACTCAACACAAACTAGGTCATTTCGGGACTAACACATGTTTCAATTTTATTTCAATAATTCGCTTGTGCGTAGGGATCTTTAGCAGAGGGAGAAAACCGGATGACC